ACAGATAGTCTAGAGCCTGAGAAAGGACATAGGCTATTTTTTAATTGGAAAAAAGTGTTATAAAGGTTTGAAAGATATTTATTTAAGGGCTTCAACGCGAGCAAAGCCGCGGGCGAAAAGCTAGTCTGCTATAAATATAATGTACTATAAATGTACTGCCACGGAATATTAATTCAATACTCAATTAATTAGACAAAACTTTTACTTACAGAATCTTCAACCCCCTTGTCTTAGCACTTTGTCTTATTTCCTCTAGCTGAGCATTCTTATTTACAAAAAAGAAACGAACACAACAATCTTAACAAATACCATATTCTGAACACTTCAACTAAAAAACGGTAATAAAATATTGCACACACCGCTCCGCTGGCACAAACAAACGCAAATGTTTACAAACTCCGACAGGATGTTTCGACGAGACTGTGGACAACTACACCTCCATCCGCGTAACAAGTCCTCGCCTGACTGACGTAGTGTACCCAAGAATGATGACAAAATCGCAGTCAAATCTTTCGGTTAGATCATCGTTTCCACTTTGTTCATATCTGCACAAGCAAATACTCTTACAGAAAATAATAGCAACGTTCCAATCGATCTTTCTTATTGTTATAAATCATTAACAATACAATTATATATTGTTGATGATTTATAATAAATGTACGAAACAGAAGTGCGTGGGCGCGTAGAAGTAATGTAACCAAATGAAAAATCATTTCGATCTGAACTCACAACTCGAACCCTAATTTGCCGTATACAAATAACTTTACATCTTTTGGATTTATCCTTGGAAAATTCATTACGATCTGATCTCACGACTTGAAACATTATTTAACGTATCGAAATTAGTTTTCCTTCTTTATTTTTCTTATACAGCAAATACTTGACAGCTGTTGCTATTTTTTAGGTGAATCATTGGTTAGAAAAGACAAAAAGTTCTTACCATTGCTACCAATACTATCGGGAATTAAAGTAATAATTAGTTAATAATTTTATTTTCATATGTTTTATGGTATGTAAAGGTGGCAATGACTCGGTGGCCCAGTTGTTAAGCTCGAGTTTTAGATCCGGGGGTCGTGGGTTCGATTCCCACACGGGACAAGTATTTGTGTGACCCGCAGATATTGATCCGGATCTGGGTGTTTGTTCCCACGGAGGGTTGACGTCAGGCAGGTGGCCGATCGTAAAAGTCTTAATTTATGTAATTTAAAGCTAAACCCACTTATAGCATGATTTATATGTTGTGTCGACCCCACCTAAATGGAATAAAAGCAGGGAGATGATGGTGATTAATAGATACTGTAAAATACTTATAACTATTCGGCTGTCTTGATAACTATCCACAACACAGATACACTCCGTACGATCACACACTGACTGTCAGTTGACTTCCCCCACTATATACCTCATGACTGTACACAACAGATACTTGAACTCGAATCATGAGCTAAGGGCAAGGTTACAACAATAAAACGGTCATTTCATCAACTTTCCATATATTTAATATAAACTGTGTAAATACGGGCGTCTCACAATATTAATGGGCAACAGTTAACAAGCTGAAAAACACCGAAAGCGTTTCTTTTACCACAATGGCAACACTAATATGACTACACCTTAACCCTATATTTAAATATAAACTTAGGAAACGTGCTTTGCAAAGATTTGTATTATTTAAAAAAAAGGTTAAGGATATCGTCATGAAAAAAGATAAAAAATATTTTTAAAAATGTATTAAAAAGTACTATTGTTACAAATTATTAGACTGCATAAAAATACACTTATTATTGGGAAACTACAGGATTAAATACTGAAAAACTATTGGACATAATTAAACACTTTCTTTTTTTGGATACAGACATATCAGTTTGGTAATTTGCTTACTTGACTAGCAGTCAATTACATTGTATTGTGCAGCCTAACATTTAAGCAATATATCAAAGTAAATTACGCAAAGCAATTTCAATTAAATGATTTAAAATAACAAATATAGGTTCATAATGCACAAGAAATCATCAGAATGAGAAAATTATAAGTGCGTCCAATTTTTATCAACACTGTATTAAATTCATAAACGTTTAATCTTTCTTTCTCCTTCCGTAATATCTTAAACTTAAACATATCACCAGTAGAAACTTGATTTAAACTATTTTACTTATAGCACCGTAACACAATGTTATTAAATGAAAAATATGCAAAAACGTCATTAGCCTTTAAAGCGCTCTAAAACAATATCAAATAGGATATGATTAAATTTATCGAGATGGATGTCGCATTGCACTGCGAAAGATCAGGCGAAATATCGCCAAGCACTAAATATAAAATATTTCTTAATTATCTTTGAACAATATAGAGAATAAATACGTATTACAAAAACATTTATTGTTTCAATGAACACGAATTTACAAACATTCCTATTGTTGTCATAAATGACAACAATCAATTTTAGACAAAGTTTCTAAAACTTGCAACGTATGTAAAATATTTTACTACAATTATTGCGCAATAAAATTAAAAGAAACTAACGTTTTTGGTCATTCAAGTTTAATCCTTATAGGAAGCATAGACTAACATAAACAGGCATGATTTTAGATTTTTAAATAAAGTAATAAATTATTAAATTGCACAAATTCAGACGCAAGCTTTAGTAAGCGTATAGTAATTTATGTGAGATTCATTTAAGACTAATATATTAGACCTGCAAAATAAGTTTTAACGCGTTTACAACTCTAAAATAAAACAGGCAATTTTTAACACAGCCATTTCGGCAAAAAATCCCTAAAAATCAATTGCCACATTAGCTTAAAAACTCTTAACTCTTTGTAAATCAATATCATTCCATTTCAAGTAACAAGGCTTGGCAGTGTCGAAAACTGGCGTGGCTTCTGGAAACCGAATCAACGGAAAAAAACTGAATACCACCAGAAGTCATCAGTTAGAATAACTATAACATATTTATAATTCGCAGTCTGTTTATATTTTATATAAAAACTTTTTAGAACATCATATGAGACGAAATTTTAAAAACCGAACTTTTATTGATCTTTATGTCGAAACTTCTTTGTAAAGAACACTAGTTCGAAATTTAAAATTATGTTGTATTATAGTGTTTTATAAAGTGCGTGTGTAGTATTTTTTATATAAAATGACTGTATTTTAATATGAAGATAAAAATCTATAGGAATCATATCCGCAATTAAGTACAGATAGTACAAGCTATGAATAGATTATTTTCTCGAGACTGGAAAAAATGGAATGAATATTTTATATTATCATGATAATTAAACACAGTTTGCATCAATTATAATAACTTATTGTTTTCACAAAGTAAAAAATAATGTGACTAAATGTAGCGAGATTATTTTCGACTATTACAGATGTATAAATAAATTCTATCTTTGCTCTTTCACAAGACATCTTAGCTATATCTAAGTATTTTCATTGGTAAAAATATGATCGTTCCGGTGTAAATTACAACAAAAGAGTAACTTATGGGCTTTCCATTGACACGTGGCTTAGATCGGGTAAGGGAAGGGTCCTAGTGATCATTATTTAGTAATTTTAGTTAAAAAGTGAGATGAATTTGTAAACGATTATCATGTGATACAATATAAAAATAAATGGCTACTCTCGAGACTATACGAGCACAAGTTACGCATCAGATCACAAAATGTTTTATATATGATATGGTTTTTCTATAATAAATAAATATAATCACGACAAGTATGGAAACTTTGACGTGTCCTTCGTTTTGTGTCTTTTTTTTAAATTAAATCGAAAACTATTTTAGAAAATATAACAAAAAAAACGCCAAAAAGCCAAAAAAAAGTATGCATATTTTACTTGTCAAGTTATCCACACCTCCGTACACAAAATTATATACATATATTTGTCAATAGGCTATTTATGCGGCTTGCCAGAAGTTATGAAATTAAAGTAACATTCTTCATATTTTTGAAGCGATTTTGAATTGTCGTTGTTGCTAAGATGGATACGAAAAGATTTAAATTTTCAGTTATATTGCGGTTTCGAGTTTGCTTCCTTGAAGATTTTCGAAGCAATTTTTATCAGTCGCATATTTAAGGCTTACTTACATATGCAAAATCACTGTTAAAAATAATGCATTATTTTTTAAAAGTGATATAGTCTTGGATGACAAATGTTCAACAGAACTCGATTCAAAATGTTAAAAAAATATTTTTTAATTTAATACCCGATCTCAGTACGTAATGTGGCCTACATTTACCGACCTTCTTTATCATATCTCATAACTCTCACACTAAACTACACTCGAATGCGCTCTTTCTTGATATGAATCGATGTGATTACGCCATTTTGATGTTTTCTTAGCCTTAACGTTGTCATTTTAAGAGGCAATGGACTCAATAAGGACATGACAGGGATATCATTGATTTTTTCTTAATTAGACCGCAGTTTTATACATATTATAAAGTGTGGATCACACTGGCGCTGTGTTCTTCTAAAGGGCGCTCCACACCGGCACCGGCTTGATTTGAGCCACACGGCATCCTATGGATTTTTATGCGACTCGAAAAGGCGCGTCGCCTCGGATATTATGCGTTAATGTACTTTTAAATGAGGGCGCGTCACACGTGCGCCGAAAAACTGCAACAAGGGCGCTTCACAACTGCACCAGTCATGATTTAAGCGACGCTGCATACTACGGATTTTTTAATACGACTTGAAAAGCGTCGTCGCTTCGGATATAGATAATATGCGTTAATTTACTTTTAAATAAAGCCGCGTCACACTTGCACCGGTAGATGCTTTTTTTTTTTAATTTGGCATGGTAGATGCTTATACGACGCGACAAATGCTTCAGTGCAGTAAGGTATATATAATACACTTTTAACCTCACCTCGTATGGAGGTGAAGAGGGAGGGTAAAAAACATCACGTCATCGATTAACGGACGGCCCCTAGATAGTAAACGGCGCGAAACACGTCGAAAGCGGTGACACAGTTCGAGTTAAAGGCGCGTCACACGTGCGCCGGGCTGGGCGAGCCGCCCGGCCGCGCTGCGATGTCCGCTATGTTCTGGTGGTCGCCGTGGGCGGCCAGGTCGAAGTCCGAGCCGGAGAGGGAGGCGATGTGGTTCCAGTCGGCGCCGGTCCTGTCGTCTGTTCGTTGGGAACGGAAAAAGGAAACATATTAAGCCTCCGCCTGATTAATGTTGGCGGCTTTTAAACAAGCTACCCGCCCCGGCTGCGCGCGGGTAATCAAAATAGTCTACTATGTTTCTCTACTGTATTATACAAGTATTATACGTATAAACCTTTCTCCTGAATTACGCTATTTAGTAAAAAAAAACCGCATCAAGATCCGTTGCGCAGTTTTAAAGATCTAAGCATACATAGGGACAGACAGACAGCGGGAGGACTATGTTTTATATTTTATTTAAAATACTTGTGCGCTACTCTACCAGTACAATTCTCCATTTGTTTGGATTCTAATAATTGGATGTAACGAGTAAAAATAAATATCACGAAAAAAAAAATATCTCCAACAAGCAATCGTCTTCGTACTTTTATAAAAAAAATTAACAAAATTTTTTTATGTGATTACGTGGCAGGGGGAGTGATAACCGCCAACCATGGACGTTTGCAACACCCATAGGGTTGCAAATGCGTTACCACCTTTAAATAAAGTGGGCAGGCTTTAAATAAAGTACGTACAGCAATGAAAAATTGAGAGTTTAAGGAAATAGTGAACAAAAAACGAATTTCGCTTTTTTAAGCAATTGTGTGACAGAGAAAGAAAATATGATCTTGAATGGTTGCAGAACTTCAGTGCGGTTACCGCCTGGGAGTACATAATTTCTTACCAAACTACCTAAACACTAATTCTTCTGCAGGGCTCAAACTCACTTAGTATCATATCTTTTGGCCTTTAATCACCAAGTAAATACGAGACTTCGTACACATTATTCTGGCTTATAATTAAAAGACCAGAAAAAAAAAAACAAGGAAGTTATAAAGAGCAGAAAAAAAAATACTAAATTTCAGATACCACACCATATACTATTATAATAAGCCAAATGTTAATAGCAATTCTAACAAGTTTTCATGTTAAATATTCGACTTGCATTGTTAGTTAATTTAAACTAAATCAAAACTATTACAAGCTTAAAAAGCTCTCTCATTAACAAAAATCATACATATCATTATATCGGTGAAATAATCGTGTTATTGTACTAATATTATAAACGAACTCAGACACGTCAATTACCACTCAAACAGCATTAATTTCGTCACCCGACAAAATCCCTCACTGTAATGGACGTCTCTGAGTAAGTGCATCAATTAAAGTGCTTAAACTATATTATTCGCATGCTGTCAGTCGAGAACCATGTTTGAAAATCACTCACACTAATCTCCCTCCCAGAGCACGAAACTGCCGATTGGCGGTTTACTGCCAAATCTAAGATCTACTGATTCAATAGGGAACTTCCCAAGCGCCGTTAGCAATGCGACCGAACGCGAAAGCCTAGACGGATTAATACTAAACACTCGAGGTGAGGTGTCCACGTGAAATGGTAGGGTTATTATCCGTCGAAGCTTCGCCGTTCGGCCTTTAAGACTGCGTTGGATATTTATAATGCGCGTAAATGATACCGTACTCGGCGGTAAAGATTGGACTTTGACCATTGGAAAGAGACAATCGACCAATTCCGTAGAGCGTTATCTCTGTCACACACTACCTATGTGCGGCTTGTCAGTCGTTGTAAAGTGTGTGACAGAGATAACGCTCTACGAAGCCGACATTAATTAACCGAATGTCTCTTTCCAAAGCCCGATGTGCGATATTTATCACCGTGTAATTTTTACTACTAGTTTGCGAAGCGTAAGTATTTGTTCCGTATCATCGATTCCTTTGTGTGAATATTATTATAAAAAAATGAGTGCGTGTAACCATTACACGCGGTTGAATTAAAACTAAAAAAAATCTTTAACTTAATAATAATCATATTATTAATATATTAATTAATAATAAATTATTAATATTTATTCCATTTTTAAATGTGTAGTTCAGATACATACATACCGCTCAAATATAAAAATCGGATGCTATTTACACGCATTGAATTAACGTCGTCCAAAGCATACAGTTACCTCTTAGTCGCGCCTAAAAATAGTTACTTTAAAAGTCGTCCTTCAAAGGCAGAGATGTAGAGCAATATGCAATGTCCCTTCGGCAGATTTTTGTGCAATCGTAAATAAAATCTTCTGTCTAATTATGTATTCTAATGGAAGAGTGTACTAAGGTGAATTCTGTACAAAGTTTATGAGCAGCAATGGCATACAACAATGTTCCCGGAAAATACTTTTAACAATATAAAACCGAGCGTTTCAGTTAATTATGGTTAAAGAACAGTCTTCAACTGAATTTTCTACATATCATAGTCTTGTTAATTCTAACATCGGTTATACTTTATAATACAAATTTAGCTTCCGTGTGTTTGTGACCAACAAACTGAAAAGCTAGCCGATGAAGTGACTTGGTGTTTGTTCACAACATAGCTATAAAAAGTTCTGATATTGAACAGGAGAGTGTTTTATATATCTTATATAATTGTGAATTTATTATAAAATAGTTTTTGTGTCCTATATAATTTCGTTTAGTTATCTAGGAATGTGCAAAATAAATCGAAATTTGTGTTTAGATAAGTCTTTTGGAACCTCTCCGATTCGAATAAATGAAACCTAATAAATATGAAAATAGATTTCATACAGATGGCAAATGTGTAAATATGTGTACCACAGATAGGGTTGCCAGGTGATAGCACAATGGAGAACATGTCCTATATTATCAATTTAACAAAATATAAATTGATGTAAATCATTACAAAAAAATCTCTTCTTTTATGAATGTTCTGCTTATTTAAGGGGAATTAGTCCTCTTTTATCAAATTATCATCTGGCTACTCTAATTACACATCAATGAAATTTCATCGATGCTAAGATCAACAACTAAATCATCCAACAATAGACCCGTAACGATGTTTGCAGTTAAGTGTGGTCAAAAAAATTCTTCACGCGCCCCCTACACAAAAATCGAACTCTCAAAAAAAAATAACGGCATCGATTGAGGATTATCTGTGGTTCAAACGCACAGAGATGACTCCGTGGTGCAGTGGCCAAGGTATCGGCTTCGGCGTCGGGGGTCGTGGGTTCGATCCCCACACGGGACAACTGTTTGTGCGACCCACATATAGTTCTTTCGCATCTGTATGTTTGTCCGCGTGAACTTCATGATTGTAAAACGTCTTAACAACACAGGATAATGTTATCCCAAAGCAAGAGCCATGTTTTCATAAAAAAGAAAGAAAAGAAAACTAGAAGATAGAGATAATAATTAACACCAAGTTGTTTGAGTATAAACAATGTAGTTTATAAATAATATCCCCACAAATTTCACTTACGCTTCACAAATCATATCAAAATGGACGGCGGGTGGTATTTTTAAAGATTGTTAAGTAGCACTCGGGTCTCGCAAAAGAAATAGGGACATTTACAATCAATTCTGCTAAATCTAGAACAATCCCGCAAACACACAACACAGTCTTAATTACGGCCCTCGTTAGCTAGTACAAGTTTTACAAATGCAACTCTTTTAATAGTTATCAATAAAAATATAGTAATAGATATCGTGAAAAATTCATTCAATTTACTATACAAAGATGATTGTGTATGTACTACAAAAATATTTCATGTATACATATCAGGTAAACCACCTGCTCAAAGAAAACCCTGAAAACGCGACTAGTTTTAGTTTATATAAAGATACTTCGCCATCACAGGTCTCCAAACGCGAAAACATTTGATCGTAAGAATATTTTTCAAATGTTTCCTTCAAGATTCTTGGTAAAAGAAACAAGCCTCAGATAGTACCTCCTAAAAGTAAATGTATCATTGACAATAATATATGTTTCGGGGAATATTTGTAAGGGATGATAGGGTATGCAAAGCTTTTTCGCCTGTATGTTGGTTACCTGTTTACTAATTTTCACATAAAATGATTTCTGATGAAATGACTTCTGAATTCCAACACACGTGTTCCAATTCGCGCCCAAACGCTTTAACTAAGCTAAACTCCTGATTTCAACGCAAACGAAAATCTCAACGTATTTTGTATACATTGTTTTCTAGCATTTCAATTTTTTTTCCTTAATTTATTAAGTGTATTTGACAGTTGCCTGATACCATAGTAGGCGCAAGCGTTGCTTACTTCGGGACTAAGTAACCTTGTAGAAAAACGTCATAAAGTATTTAATTATATAGCAGATCTTGAAAGGACCAGCGAACGAGGGCCGTTGTTAGTCGGGCGAACCAAGCGGATACGCTACCGTGCCGGATGGAACGCGGCCCGCTAGAGGCGGCCAGCACCTGTCGGCTGCGCGTGTGCGTGTGCGTTCGCGCTCGCGCTCGCGTGTGCGTTCGCGTTCGCGAGTGCGTTCGCGCTCGCGAGCGGCTCTATGCGCTCGGCGAGCGTGCGCGCCCGCGTCTCGTCCAGTATGAAGCTGTTGATGACGTACGCCTCGCGGCGGATCCGGTCGCGCAGCTCGCCGGACATGTCCGGTATCGCCCAGCGGACGATTATCATCACCAGCGCCACCACGTTCTGCGGAGGAGAGGGGAACGTTCATGACGATATTTAACGGGCATTGGCCGAGGGCGTTTCGAACGGCTTCGGGTTGATGACTCCGTGGCGCAGTCGCCAAGGTGTTGGCTCCGGCGTCGGGGGTCGTGGCTTCGATTCCCACACGGTACGACTATTTGTGTGATCCACAGATGGTTGTTTCGAATCTGGGTGTTTTTCCACATGAAAAATTTATGTATGTAAAACGTCAATGCAACACAGGATTATATTATTATAAAGTAAGGGCAATGTTTAAAAAAATGAAATCACACGTATACGCCGAACTAATATCGGTTAATGACGGCTCGGAAAGGCGTTGTAGTCGTAAGCACTGGTGATTACGAAGCATAGTTGAAAGTAGCAGCGTCAGTGACGACATATTATTTTCAATCTACGCGACCCTTGTTATTATAATATGCATAAAGTTATCAGCAGCCAGAGCCACCTCCGAGTCCTAGGCAATAAATACGTCATCTGCGTTATATTTCGAAAATACGGTTGCTTTAAGACTTTTTAGTAAATCTAATTTACGCATTTTATCGCATTGATCTGTCCCTTTGTTGTTTCGAACCCTTTGCAACGTCCATGAAAGCTGGAAAGGGTTCGAAACGTCGTGATTTAAAAATCAAATTAAAACACTAAAAAGTCCGTAAAATAGTTACATTTTATTTGTAAAATATTCGTGTAAAAACAAAAAATCAATATAGAAACATAAATTCGCCTATTTATTTCTTAAGAGATGAAGTTCCAAAAAAAACTATTTTAAACAACTGAAGGGATGGATTCACCAATACTTGTGTCATTTACATATTGGTACTATGTTAATGTTCTAAATAATACTATATAAACAGCGTCATATTACCTCGAAAACGACCACGAAAGCCAAGCGGGCGCCCATTATGTGCCAGTACCAGTTTGAGTGGGCGTAATCATCGCCCTCTTTGTAGTACCAATAGCCTGGGTAGCTGAAACAAACAAGTCATTAACTTCATCAACTCATCAGTGATCTACAAGTATATTAATGATTAATGTACCGTGTTTGTTAATGATTATAATCAAAATAATATATCAAAGTCAATGAAGTCCTCAGTAGTATTATATAGTTCGCGTAAGGCATACTTCACATACTATTTTTATTATTTCTCTTTAATGTTTTAGATCTCAACGATCTCACATCTGTCCAGTACATAAAAACAAAGATTTTCATGTATTGATTTGTAATATGCAAAAGAGACGTCCTAGCATTTATGTCCAATCGAGCTGCTACGTTAGCACCACTTATAAGGGACTTAAAAGAGTATTAAATCTCTTTTGATTAATATTAGACTAATCCATTATTAATCAAAGTGTATTAAACACGCCCCCCCGCCCCCCAATCTATTTTTTTATTTATTAGAAAGGGAGGGGGAGCTCGGTTTACCTGCACATAGTCTGGTTGTACTGTGTCTTGATAGGCGGGTGCTCTAGGACGGTAATGTTGAAATCCGCCAGCGTGTGGTTGACGTACTGCTGCAGGGAGCCGGTGGAGTAGTGGTACACCAGCCGCGGGATGAACTCCGAGGTGAACGCTATTATGAAGCCCTGCGAAAGTTGCTCCATCTTACGGCCAATTCAATGATTGTTTGGGCTTCTTAGGGTGGTAGGCGAGCGGACGGTTAAACTACACAGGGAGATTTTTTGAGAAGTGCCCAAATTTACACATGAGGTTCAGACTCGATAGTATAATCGTTTATTGAAATAAAACAAAGTTTTTTTTTTCTTCAAAAAATCCATTTTATTCCCAAAAACAACAGAACGTGTTGACAATACGGTAGTCATTCATAAATACCTAAATTTTACCTTGTGTGCGTGTTAGTTATGAATGACAGCGCGTAAAATAAATGAGTTGCGTATAAATCACGCACTTTCAGATAAGTTCAAATGAATGTAATTAATTACTTAAGAGTGATTTTAAATATTTATCATTTTTTATATAACATTATTTATGTCTAGAATTTAATAAAAAAAATGGATACACTTATAAAAGCCACCCTGTATATTACAACAGTATATAACATTACATCATCATCATTTTTTTAACATTGCCCTTAGGATAACATGATCCTGTGTTGTAAGGACGATTTACAAATATAAATTTCACGCGGACAAACACCCAGATGCGTAACAACTATCTGTGGGTCACACAAATAGTTGTCCCGTGTGGGAATCGAACCCACGACCCCCGACGCCGAAGGCCATACCTTGACAACTGCGCCACGGATTTATTATTCATCATCAGCCTGTTAGTGTATGTGCTGAACATAGGCTTCACCAAAAGATCGCCACGAAGCAGGATCCTGAATCACCTGCATCCATCTTATCCCGCACACTTGTACAAGTTATATACTATTGCCAGGATTCCTGTTTTCAACACCCGTGGGGATTTCAACTGTGTTGGCAGGTTCTAAGTGGTTAGGCCCGGGCTACTTCTCACATTGAATTTTTATTCGTGCATAGAAGTATTCAGTATACTCCTGCCTTTCGTCTGCAGTGTGAGATAACTGGGACTCATTCCCTGCACAGCTAAACGGCCAATGGCGGAACGGCAGAAGACCCTGCGCGGCTCTAAACGGCCAATGGCGAAACGGCAGAAGACCCTGCGCTTCTCAATGGCCAATGGCGGAACGGCAGAAGACCCCGCGCGGCTAAACGGCCAATGGCGGAATGGCAGAAGACCCTGCGCTTCTCAATGGCCAATGGCGGAACGGCAGAAGACCCTGCGCAGCTAAACGGCCAATGGCGGAACGGCAGAAGGCCCTGCGCGACTAAACGGCCAATGGCGGAACGGCAGAAGGCCCTGCGCGACTAAACGGCGATTGGCGGAACGGCTGAAGACCATGCGCGGCTAAACGTCCAATGGCGGATCGGCAGAAGGCCCTCACCGCGGCAGTACTCACGTTCGTGATGACGCTCAGCTTGCCGATGGAGTCGAGGATGCGGTACCAGACGCCGATGTCGTTGACCCGCTGCGGCACGGGGCGGCGGTAGCACGTGAGGAACTTCTTCGCGTCCAGCCGCATCTCCAGCACGTTGTTGATGAGCGCGAACAGCGGCGCGAGCGGGAACGCCGCCACGAAGATCGTCACGAACCCGTACTGCAGCACTGTCGGACGCGAGACGTGATGTGACCAAGTGGCAACGAGCTGGCCGTTCACCCGATGTTAAGTGATAACCGCCGCCCATGGACATTCGCAACACCCGCGGGGTTGCAGAAGCGTCGCCACCTTTAAATTAAATGGGCCCCGGCTACCTCACTCACCAGACGAAACGCAGAAGGGCAACACTTCTACTTTCCGCCGGTCTTCTGTGTGGCCGTGGTGCTTACCCGGACGCACCTGCCCATTAAACAAGAAACTTACAACGTGTAGATAAAACTCTGGCGCGAAACGTTTTCGATCTTAGCTCTATCGATATTGGGTTCAAGTTCCTTATTCTGTGTTAGTCTCAGTACCTCAGATGAAAGAGTGTAGATAAAAATTTTAAGCCGAAAAATTTTCACTGCTGCAGATATACGAACCTACGCCACGAAACGACCCCGTCCTGTGGCGGGGGTTGATTCCCACCCGGGATAAAAATTTTACGACCCTCAAATAATTGCCCCAGAACTGGTTATGTTTTTCTAAAACAACTTACAGGATTATCGTAAACGTAAGTAATAATGTTTTAAAAATTACCCATTTCGAGATACTCCGGAAAAAGACCCATGTTCCCGAAATCGACGAGTTTGAAATCCTTCACCCACTGCATTGGACTTTTGATTCTGGAATTTGGAAAGTAGTCATGCGCTTAAAGAAACTGTGGTTCGCCGCAAGTTTAAAGTAAAAACATCTTTTAATGCGCCCAAGAATCGTGGACATAAAACCGTAATCTCTGCAGTATAATTGTGGAGGAAAAATAATATGTATGGATAAAAGTTTATAGTTATAACACGTCTAAGGTAAGTCCTTAGTGCTTAGAATCCAATCTTTATACACTATCGAATGGATTCGATTCTTGGTTTGGTATATACTATATACTGATTTTTCAAAAATTCTCTTAATTTTCATCAAGAACGACCCCGACATGCCTTTGAGTATTCGCTATTCCTGTTCCTAAAAATTCTCCCTGTATATTAGAGAAGGATTAGTTTTAGAGTACCGGTTCTTCCGTCCGATTGTGCGTATGATGTTCCACCACTTGAGCAGGTAGGGCATCATCATCTCGACGACGGTGTTGATGAACTGCTTCCCCACCATGATGATGGCCAACTGGATGGATAGCTCTAGCAGACAGCCGCCGGGAGCGCACTGAACCAACAGATTTGCATTTAAGTTTTGTGTCGAAGGTTTTAAATAGCATTTTTTTGTTTTTATACAACCACTGCAACCTACAAGATCTATTGTAGTCTTCCCCTCGAAAACATTGCCCCTTAAGCAGTATAAAGTTATCCTGGGTTTGAGAATGTTTTTCATACATAATTTATTAGACAAACACCCAACATCCGAAACATTTATGTGCGTAACACAAATAGTTTTCTCGTGTGACCACCAACGCGCCCGGGCGCCGAATACCAAATAGGCAACTGCGTCACGGAGTCAAGTATGTCTTGAAGAAGAAGGAAAGTTTGTACGCTGTATGGATTACAAAGAAACGAAATTTCAGCCATTATAAAAGAACTACACCTTACCTCCTCTTGCCTGTGCCCGAATAGTCTCACGTAGTCCCCAGGACGGCCCACAAACTTGCCCTTGAAGAAGGCGATGTAGAATATCGACGCGTAGTAGTTGACGAACTGTAGGAGGTAGATCTTCAGCGTGAGCGAGTCGTCGAACTCCGTTTGGGTGCGCAGCAGCTCCTTCTCCGTCAGCCATTCGGCCAGGAACTGGTACACCTGGAAATTGGAGGAGAGTGACGCTGGAATTTGAACTTTATTCCTTCGCGATAAGGACGAGTCGAAGAGCACGAATGGCCTGAGACGAACCACGGTCTCGCGGAAGACCGGCGTGAAGTGGAAGTATTATACTTTCATATTTCATTTGGTGAATGCGGTAAACAGGACCCACCTTTTTAAAAGTTGCTAACACCGGGAACCACTTTTAAAAGTTTGCTATGTTCTAAAATTCGAGATGTTTATGGGCATTCATATTACTTAACATCACATAAACAAACCAATTATTTTTTAACCAACTTTCAACAATATATGTATAATGTGTATTTATTTACAAAAGAAATGTATGTTTAAGTATGTCTATCAGTTTTCTAGTACCCATAGTACAAGCGTTGCTTAGTTTGGGACTAAAGAACGTTGTGTACAAAAATGCATCCAAAAATATTTATTTATTTATTTATTTATTTAACTTTCAACAATATGGTGCTTCCAGATGTATATTTAGTTATATCTATATTTTTAATTGCCAAGTCAGAGTATAAAGTCGAAGATTTTGGGACGCCATGCGAAATTGTCGCCAGTCTTAGTTCGAATGGTCCGCTCCGAACTCAATGTTTCCTACACGCGACTCACGTAGTTGAATATGCAGATGAAGACGAGGTTGATGCAGGCCGCCGTGGCGGTGGTGAACATGATGGGGTTGGAGGTGAGCAGCACGTTGTCGTTGCGGCGCAGGATGCTCGCGCCGAGCAGCGACATGCGGTATAGCACCACGCCCAGCACCGTGGCCAGCGCCAGCAGCACCAGCAGCGCCACCACGCTGAACGACATCAGCGTCGCGGGCAGCCGCATCCGCCAGAACGGCACCATCGGCTCGCGCTCGCCGGTCACCACGTTCAGCTGCGGACGGATTGAGACCTTAACCCCTCGAATATAAGGTTCAATGTTGCTCAACGACATGGGTCGCGGGGAGCCGCGTCCGCCAGAACGGCACCGTCGGCTCGCGCTCGCCGGTCACCACGTTCAGCTGCGATCGGATTGAGACCTTAAAACCCTGCAAATAAGGTTCTTTGCTGCTCAGCGACATACATCACGTTCTGCATTGAGACCTTAACCGCTCGAATATAAGGTTCAACGTTGAAGCATCCGCCAGCCAGAGCGGCACCGTCGGCTCCCGCTCGCCGGTCACCACGTTCACCTGCGGACTGATTTAGACTTCATGCGCTCAAACATAAGGTTCATTGTTGCTGATCTTCTGTGAGGTCATAGTACACGGACGGACGTGCCCTGCCGGATATGCCCCGATACCCTCTGTACAAAGGAAGCCTTTCCCCAGCAGTGGGCAAAGGCTGCAGGTGCATACAGGCTGATACTTTACCTGTCTCCTTTTGACGTGAGCCAGACGGGCGAGGTACTGCGGCCTCGGGTGCTCCTCATATACGTCGAAGCCGGTCAGGTCCCATCTGTGGGTCATCTCCGCCGAGTACCGCTTCCACAGCTCCAGGAAACAAGCGGCTGTGAAGACGCAGAAAATTATGCCCCATTCCCACGGTGTATGGTATTGTTTAGCTTAGCATGAAATTTACAATGTAGCAACACCAAAGTTTGTAACTAAATCGGTACGTGCGAACAGAATATTGATCAAAACAAAAGTAAATGAATGAAATTTTCAAGATATATTTTGTACAACGTTATCCAGTCCCAAACTAAGCAAAGCTTTATACTATGGGTAGTAGGAAACTGATAAAAATACAATAAATAAAAATGGAACATACTTTTCTTTTGTAAATAAATATACATTATAGATATTCAAAAACCCAGTCACTCTCGAAAAAACACCATCTTTCGCAACAGTTGGGATTGAACTCAAGCCCGACACAGAAAACAGGTTCACTACCAATGACGTCAAGCGGATCGTCGAAATAAAGAAAGGTGGTAAACGGACATGCGGTTCTTCTATATTCTTTACCCGACGCCGAGCGATTACCTCTCCCATGGAGTTAAAACGCCATGGAAGATTTATAGCTGTAACCCAACTTTAGGTACCCGTGGGGTACCTAAAGTCTTAAGAGTGACACTTAAGCGGTGGTGAAAACGAAACTAGCACTTAATCAATAATCGCAAAACCGTTACAGGAAAGTTGAACGTCTCATAAATAAACAGAAGAAAAAACATGAATAACACTAAATTTTAAAGTTTTTATAGTGCTAATCTCTGCACTTAAGATTGAACATTAAAACATGTAGAAAAAGTACGAAAAGACTGTCGCCGCTGTGGGAATCGAACCCACGTCTTCGGCATTCGCGGCCTGACGCTTAATGTTGTTTAATGTTCAATCTTAAGTGCAGAGATTAGCACTATAAAAAACTTTAAAATTTATAAAAAGCAATGGCGACATCTCTCGTTCGAATTATCGTTGTAAAACGATATTCGAAATTGTTTGTATGCTGGAAAGGATATAACAATAGATGCGCCAGCATTGCTTCAAATGCTAAAATAACAATGTAGAAAGAAGGCGTTAAGATTTTCGTCGCTGTGGCTATCAGCCGTTTAGCTCAGTGGCTAGAGCGTCAGGCCGCGAATGCCGAAGACGTGGGTTCGATTCCCACAGCGGCGACAGTCTTTTCGTACTTTTTCTACATGTTTTAATGAATAATACTAGTTGTATATTCATTGAAAGGATACATTCGCGAGAAAAAGTCTCCACGAACATGTCATACTTTACGGTATTAGTTCAAAATGGCGCCGCTGCCAAAAGCTGCACAACGCATTGGTACGCCACAACCAAGTCTCCAGACAAATGAAACCACGCACTATTTCCAAGGGCGTAAGATTCAGATTAGGCGGGATAACTCCATGTTCAGGGGCTCACCTTTAATTAAATATTGTCGAGCAACCTGAGTTCGATCCCTGGTGCCGGCACCAATGAAATTGTTAAGTGCTGACTTATCACGTGCTCGGAGGTGAAGGAAAACATCGTGAGGAAGCCTACATATTTTCGAAGTAATAACAAAAAAAATATATTTCGTACATATGTGAAGTCCGCCCATCCGCGGCGTGGTGGACTTTGCCCGGATACCATCTTTGGACGAGGCCTTTGCCCAGCAGCGGGATACGTACGGGCTAGTTCTCTAATTTACTGCAAGGTCCAGATTGGCAGCGGAATGAGGCGGAAGCTCACCCCAGAAGCTCATGAATATGGCGAAGAAGACCGTGGTGGAGTTGTCGAAGAGGTAGGTGATGCGCGCCTGGCGGCAGGTGTCCCGCAGGTCCCAATACTCGCAGAAGTAGTCGCAGAGCGGGCACATCTTGATCGGTGACGAGTAGTTGCAGATGTCCTCACTGGAAAGGGCATCCACCTCATTATACGTTTTTTTTTTTTTTTTTTTATGCTAAAAGTTATCAAACGAGCAGACGGTTCACCTGATGTTAAGTGAATGTCGCCGCCCATGGACATCTGCCACGCCCGAGGGTTACAGATGCGTTGACAACCTTTTGAAAATTGGGCTCCGGCTACCTCACTCACCAGACGAAACGCGAAAGAATTTGTCATACTTCCACTTTACGCTGGTCTTCTGTGAGGTCGTGGTACTTACCCGGACGGGCCTGCCCATTCGTGCAACAGCTGAGGCTGCTGCGTGGCCCTACCACCGTTAAGTACAACGTACAACAAGTTTTGTTCTCCATTACACTATATACAGGGTGGCTTTTCTCAAGCTGCCCAAATTCACACAGGAGATTCAGACTCGGTAGTATAATCGTTTATTGAAATAAAAACAAACTTTTTTTTTTCCAAAATATTGCCATTCCATTCCCTAAAAACCAGAACTTATTGACAATGCGGTAGTCATTCATAAATGTGTCGTATACTTTTGAAACGAACTTGTGTGCGTGTTAGTTATGAATGATCGCGCGTAAAATAAATGAGTTGCCCATAAATCACGCACTTTTTGAGATAAGTTCAAATGAATATATTTAATTAATTACTTATTTAGAGTGATTTTAAATATTTATCATTTTTTATATAACACTATATTTATTAGTTTTAAGTTTTTACCATGTTTGGTCACAGATATTTATTCTCTGTCACTTTTCTGGTATATACCATAAATTTTCTTGTTTTTCTCATAATAATTGCTGTCGTCGCATACTTGGAATGTCAACTGAATGCTATAAGAATATCTTTGCTTTAATGTTTAAATACGTTGTCACTCTGCTTTGTGATGCTATGAATAAATAAACAAATATCCTGTCATGCAATTCGGGTCTATGTTATCTTAAAATTTGTCGCTTAAAAGGAAGTCGAGTGTTTCGCCGCTGTGGGAATCGAACCCACGTCTATCGGGTTCGCGCCCAGACGCTTTAACCACTAAGCTGAACGGCTAATTGCCTCACCAATGAAAATCTAAACGGTATCTACATTTCTACATATTTTAAGGTATCTACATTGTTTTATAGCATTTTAAATAATTCTTGGAGAGTTCCGTACCCAACGGTAAAACGGGATCCTATTACTAAGACCTCGCCGTCTATCTGCCACGGCCTCACAGAAGACCGGCGTGATGTGCAAGTATTATTACATAGCGTCTCATCCGTTCAGTCAGGTAACCGGTGCAGACATTTTTAATGGTTACTGATGGTCAGGAATAGATGTCTACGGGGGGCGCTAATCAGTTAACATTAAGTGAAGCGCTCGCTTGCCAACTTTTCACATACAAAAGACCCAAAGCTTAATGATTGTGTTTTTGTATTGTCGACTCGCGAGATTCTTGGTAAAATTGCCACCAATGACTAACTGCTTTTAGCACTGTCACCTTGTCACCCAATAGCCGTCTCTCAACCCCATTACGATAAAAATAGGCGAGTGATACCCATAAAGATGTACGCAATTCTCATACCTCGGTGTGTTCGAGTAGACCGTCGCGGCCGAATATATGACGCAAATGAGCCCGACTATGGAGGCCGGTATGAGCATATGCGTGTAGAAACCCAGCCAGGCGAAGTACAGACCTGTTGAAAAGTCACTCGTCAATATTTTCCGAATAGTTATATATATAATGAAATGGGACATTTGTAGCGGAGTACAGTCCTGTAGAATCGCTCCTAAATATTTTTTTATTATTTATATAATAAAATGGTACATTTGTATGTTGTGTGGAAGCGGTTGGGGAGTAAATCGCAACGACCACTGAGATACAGATAGATCTATTGTAGTCGACTGTAGTATCCTTTTTGTAAGGACGCTTTACAAACATAAATTTCACGTGGACAAAGACCCAAATCCGAAATCACGTATATGTGGGTGACACAAATACTTGTCTCGTGTTTAAATCGAACCCAGGACCCCGGCGCCGAAGCCAATACCTTGTCAACTGTGCCGCGGAGTTATACAAAATATGGTACATGGTATGGGTACATTATGAGAAGGGATGAAAGTCATGCGGGTGAAGAGCACGAATGTGTTTAGAAGGCCGTGAAATATTTGGAGGGACTCTGTGAAGAATGACATATCTGTAAAAGTGACATAATATGTTATGTTTATTCAAATAAATGTGTTGTATGTATGCATGTCTGTGCCTACGTCCCTGCCTCGTAAATACTAAGACCGTACCGGTTTTTATGAATAATATGTCGTCAGATTCGTCCCTTTTACCCGAGTGTCACTGGTTACATTAGATTTATAATGGCGGAGTGTTGGCGCCAAAATGTATGAAAACTACGAAACAGCAAAAATTTGCAGTCAGTTTTAATTTTTTTTTATTACTTACTTGTTTAAAACTGATGTCTCAATATTCGATCGCGCTAAATATTAATCTGAAATCCGAAATATTTGCCGGACGCCGTGAGACCAGTAAATACGTCAGTATGTTTACCGTCGTTATATGAACGAAAATATTTACTAAAATCCGTTCTTGAGGTTTTTTTTTAAATTCTGATACGGAAAAGTAATGAACATTTTAATAATCTTAGAACTACTGCAGGCGCTTAGACAAATTTAAGCTGTTTGATGGTAGGGCCGCGCAACAGTTTTCTCTCTCTCTCTCTCTCTCTCTCTTTAGAAGTGGAAGTTTTATACTTCTACGTTTCTACGTTTTCTGTGCAAAGAGGTAGCCGAGACCCACTTTATTGAAAGGTGGCAACCCTAAGGGTGTTGCAAAGGTCAATGGAGAGCGGTTATCACTTGACATCAGCTGAACCACCAGCTCGCTGACCGATTTCTCACATAAAAAAAAATAATAATAAGTTAGTAAATGTTATTATTTATTTATCCGTGAAAAATTAAAGAGAATTCTCACCTATTTTCACTCCAAAATAGTCTTTGACGTAATCCAAGGGCTGATACTTGAGACATTTCGAGACGCTCGCCCACTCCGTGTAGAGCAAATGCCGCATAGAGCCTGGTGTTTTTAAGTCACCCTGCAACAAAATTGACCTTCAATTAGCAATGGGAATGCACCTGCGAGGTAGTAAATGCGTGGCCAGTTAAAAGAAAGTGGGCCCCAGCTACCTCATTGGTCGGAAGAAACTCAAAAGTAATTTCCAGTTCAAGCCAGTTTTCTGTTAGGCCATGCCCTGTTCTTAAAACAGCTAGTTTACTTTATTTCTCTTTAAAATTATAATTAAATACACCGACAAAAACATTTATCTGTTTCATAATTATTAATTACACATACGATATAGAGTACAGATAACACAAAATTTAAAAAAAAATCGATACTTTGTTTTTAGCGGGTAGATAAAGGTAGCAATCAATCACTTTTCCTTTTATATCGATCATTATATAGATACCCCTATCAAACTAAGATTAGCAAACGCGTGTATATACTTATGAATACACGTAGGGAATTCTATTCGTAATAATTATACTTCTTTTTTTTTAAATAAAGACATTGCCCTCACTTTAGGATAACATTATCCTATGTTGCATTGACGTTTTTACATACATAAATTTCACGTGGACAAACACCCGTGCGAAACAACTATCTGTGGGTTACACAAATAGTTTTCCCGTGTGGGAACCGAACCAACGACCCCTGACGCCGAAGCCAATACCTTGACGACTGCGCAACGGAGTCACCATTCTTTAGTGTAACAAAAGAAAAATAACCAAGAAATTTATCCAGTGTGCCAGTAATATTTTGTTCGTGACAAAAGTCATAAAATGAATAATTAATAACGATTTAATTAAATAACTTGGTAATTATAGGTAAATAAAAAAGTTGTAACTGGTTGTCATAGCAACACCATGAAGTTGGTATCGCTTAAGATGTCGCGCATCGTGAAAAATTCACTCTGATAATAACTAAAAGAAACACGCCAAAATAAGTACAACTTCAAAAACGGTTTAAAGAAACGCATTAAGGCGCTGTATGCAGTGAATTTTTAACTATTTGGGTGGTGAAGTATGAGGAAGCGGAGGAGGGGTAACGCCAACGACCATTCATTACCTCGTGTGTAGTGATGGGCCGTAGGACACTATCGATAGTATAATGTAAGACTGTTGAAAATGTACACAGATGGTCCCTATAATATCTTTTATAGACCATGATTATATTTTACTCTTATATTATTATAGGAATAGTAATAAACAAACAAATATAAAGTTTATATATTGTAAACTTTATATTAACGTTAAAGTTAAAACAATTTTAGAAAATCTACCTATTAATTATTTTTCCTGATAATTTAGGAAACGGATTAAAATTGATTAAAAATACATGTTAAGGTCAAATAAATTAATAAAGGCAAATGACATTTATTACAACAAAACAATAAATAAACGAATAATTATTTATTTTGATTTAAAGTAAAATTTTCTCATAAAAATTTAAGCAATTTCATAGTCTCCTCGGCAGAAATTACGAATACTTTTTTGTTACATATTTTCTTAAACTTTATATCTTTAATTTATCCTTTAAATGTGAAAGACTTACTACGTTATATTAATTCTTCAATGAAATTATATTTAAAAAATTATCGATAAAATTCCTTATATCGATAAACGACAACAATTATAACTAGAATCGAAATATTGTTCCCTTCCGCAGACATCGTGTAGCCTATTGGTCCGAGCGTCATGGTTGATACATCTTTCTCCAATTTTAATTTGTTAATCGATTAATTATTTTGTTGTTATTTGATAAAATGTGGAAAATACAAAAATTATAAAACAATTATTTTTCGTGTTCGTAAAAGAATAGGTTTCGTTTGAGGGTGAAAAATTAAATATTTTTATAAAACAAATTAAAAACAACATACAATATAAGACTTGTTAAAAATTTTAAATTATGAAAACTTGGTTTATTATCTGATAGATTATTCTCCAACTGTTGAGTTCTATGTTCAACAAATACAATAATATTTCGTTGTAATTATTTATAAAAATAAAAAAGCAACAAAAATTAAATGGTAAATTAAAAAAAAGAAAATCACCAAAAAATATAACAAAGAAAGATGTAGGGATTTGAGCCCAATCCCTATAGAATGATGGTCCTTTACAACTGTTCAAAAATAATACTGCTAAAACAATTCGAAAACCGACTAAAATTTATTAAATTCAAACAAAAATTTCTAAATTTAAAATCAGGATTTTTTTATTTTAAATAATTATCTGATAAAATAAACCATGGTCAAGAACATCAAATATAACATAATTCATTTGAAATGAATACGTTAAGAATAAAATCAAAACAATATTAAAAAAAATTATTAGAATACATAAAATATTTATACCAGACACATAGGCCTTGGCCTGAAGTCATCCAAAGCAGCACTGAAATATGTACGAATACATATTTTTTAGTTTCGTGTTTTCGAAAGATCTAATAAAATTATAACCCTCAATAATAAATAAATACGGAACATATTTCGTAACGGTGAGCGGAAGACGAGCGGCATAGATCCATCTAGCAAGGCGCCTCAGCGCTCTCTGTTCAACGTGTGGAGTTGGAAGAGAGCCGAAAAACAACGCCGCGGTGGCGCGGTGTTTTGCCCATCGCGTTCGAATTAATTTTAATGAATTAAATTAATATTTAGAAATATCTTACATCAATCAAAAAATTAAAACAACAATCCTTTTTATTAATATATTCTACACCACTGATATTAATTTCATTAAGATTTGTTGATGTATTACGTTCATTTTTGGTTTGAATTTCTCTTTTAGAGGTAGTTTCATGATTTTTTTCTATCGAGAAAATATATCGAGAATATGTTTTGGAAACAATGTTCCCTTAGAATGTACGATCAAGATTAACATATTTTTTTTTGCTGCTATAAAATGTGTAGATTTTGCTAAAAAATCTTTTGAAAAACCTATTTTTACTGCATACAGCGCCTTAAAAGTAACAAAGAGTGGACTTAATGCCCCAAGGGATTCTCTACCAGTCAACCCAGCATGTAGTGAAAGTTTATGGTAGATGCAGCGGGGGATATAAAAATTACAAAATATTAGTCAAAAGATAGTAAATTATGATACATAATTATAAATACATATAGAAAAAAAATAACCGTTTTGATTATACTTAAGGTATGGATAAAACATATCTATACAGATAAATAAAATTAGAGTGTCTGTTTGTAATATTGAAATAACTGCTCTTTTCTAAATGCATATGGATGTAAACTCGGTACATATACCAAAATAACAATTTTTGTCTATCTGTTTGTTCCGGCTAATCTCTGAAACGGCTGGACCGATTTGGACGGGACTTTCACTGACACATAGCTGGTGTAATAAGGAGTAACTTAGGCTACATTTATTTTAGATTTTTTTCTTATTTTTAACAAATCCCACGCGGACGAAGTCACGGGCACATCTAGCGTTTATATATAATTATATCCGTGGGGAAAAAAAACTATTTTTTCTACGAACTCCGAGTTTACGACGCTTACATCGTGGAGCGGGTAGGCAGCGCTGTACGTGCTGTTGGAGATGAGACGGGCGATGCCGAACGCGAAGTCGTCGCTAGGCCGCGCCGAGAAGCGTTTGCGGTCCAGGATGAACTGCACGATCCTGGAGCGGATCGACGGGGTCCAGAAGCAGTCGGACGCCGTGTCGAATCTGAAAAGGAATATCCTCACTAATCCTTTGTTGGGGCTAACTCCTAACACCGGATACGATGTTATAAATGATAATAGTACTGATAAGAACACTTTATTACTAAATTGATACAGTTAAAATGATATTTATGATGATTATGGTAATTAGGTATGATACTTTGAGAACGCGTGGTTTGTTTGATGGCCGAACGTGAACTGACTGATTGTCTGATTGATATTTTAATGCTTACAACGTATTGATGAACTTTAGGTAAAAAGTGCAAACAAAGCTGTTTGGTTCAATATTGAACCGAACATCCTTACTAATATTATAAACGCGAAAGTTTGTATGTATGGATGGATGTTTGTTGCTCTTTCACGCAAATACTACTGAATGGATTTTAATGAAACTTTACAAATATATAGCTTATAGATCAGAATAGCACATAGGCTATAATTTATAAAGATATTGTGTGAATTGTCCAAAATATAGATAATGATCAACTAAGTAGGAAAAATATTCTGGTGTTAAAAAAAAAACTCATTGTTAATTGGCCGCACGGGCGAAGGCGCGGTAAAGAACTAGTTATATAATACAAAAATAATAATAGAACACTCTTTAGTGAACCTTTTTTTCGCAAATAAATTATTATTGGCGTTACCGGTAAGTTGGTTCGTTTGTGTACATCTTGTATCAGCTGAGAGCATCAAAATAATTTATTAAAAGCATAGACTTTGGTCTTGAAATAAAATATTGTTGACCTAAAACTAATATGGAGTCACACCACCACCTGGTGGAAATTATACTCCTTTTTTTATGGTAAGCGGTCACCGTCGCCCATAGACAACAACCTCTGGCAAGCTCGGAGAAGTCATAATTGCGTTGATGGCATTTAAGATAGGAATAGACTCTCTTCTTGAAGGTCCCTAAGTCATATCGGACCGGAAATACCCCCACAACTGTTTCCACGAAGCAGCTGTGCGGGGCAGAAAATTGCGTAAATACACGATGGCCAACTAACAAGGTTAAATAATAAAAATCACTACTAAACATTATCTAAAATTGATTACTAGTAGAGTGGATGGTCCTTCGAGCCGGATATTTCAAAGCATAATTTGACTGTTTCAAGACATTTTTTGGCACTTAAGGATAAACAAAACCTGATCTGATACTCACAAATATTCCTTGTCCTTTGAGTATATGGCGGTGAGCCGATGCTTCCTCTCAGGGAACTTTTCGGGATCAACTCGGATCTTTGACATGCATTTGTCCCAGCAGGCTTCAATGTTATCTATAAAGCTGTTCGTTTTCTCTTGGACGTCTCTTAAAGCCGAAAACTGCAAGATGACAAGAAAAATGAATGATTAATTTTTGAATCCAATGATATGGAGAGTTAATATTTCCTTTTGTATAGACTGATAAGCATAAGCCTTTTGCAGTAACTTCTACATCTTATACTCCTAAATAGTACAATATAGATGAATTTAACAAAAAAATTTGCGTCTTTATGATTGTTGTTAAACAGGAAAATGTTGCTTAAATATTAAATGTAAAAAGATAAAATTTCTCATATATTTTGAAGAAACAACCTCAAAAGTTAACAAATTTTCTTTACGATCATTTTTTGTTGTTGCCTGAAAGCTATAGAGTATGCTTTGTTGTACTTTATGCATGCTTGTCCTTTAAAATGCAGAAGTGGCACCGAATCAATAACTTTTACATTGCCTAAAAAATATTGTCATAGTTTAAAAATTTCGTTTAAAGTTACAAATCAAAATACACAGGTTAAAAACGGGTAAAATTACAGTTAGTCTTGAATGTGAAACGTTAATATATACAAATTAATAATGGATGTAGGATCATGACGGTGATTGGAGAAAGACCATGCAATGAGTTCATATAGACACTTTGTCAATATCTACTTGTCTGCAATATATCAAGTGCTACAAATGTTCAATTTTTTTACCCAGACAGAATACAGTTTTCGTTAGTTTCGTCTAAATTTCATAAAAAAATCGAAGGTATTAAATAAAAACGATGATTGTTTTGTATACAAGTGGGATCCAAAGAGAAATTTGTCAAAACTCGGAATAGAATACGCGACATAATTTGGAGATTCTTTGGCCATTACGTGTGTAAGGAATTGTCCGTATATATATCTCCAGTGCGAACAATCAGTGATAAGGCATTTTGATCACACATGTTTTTCTTTGATGGGTCTTTTTCTGGATGGGTGTAGGGACGAAAAATATTTTTTTTACAAGTAAGGGTTCAAAAAAGCTTGAAACAACATATTATACATGGGGACGATACAGAAGTCCCAATCCTAATTTACTTGACTTCCACGAAAAACCATCTGACAATTCTATCACAGACGGGTAACGATAAAGTCAACAAGGAAAGAAATAAATTCGACGATGCGTAATCGTCGAATTCATTTCTTTCTTTTTTAATTCTTTCATTTTATGTTGGTGGTGAAGAGCACGACAGGTTTGTGCTCGTTTAAGTAATTTGAGCTTTTAAATTGATTAAATTTCACCAAATTGGTCATCACAGTGCATATTAATACATAATGAAATTTGATAATTACCAATACTGTTAAATACTAAATATTTGACAAAAATTAACAATAGCAGGTGCCATTAATTACGAATTTCTCACTCAGGCTTTTTACTCGAGTGGAAATAGATCAAAACGATACTGATGATGTTTTTGAAGACAATGTTTTATATACAGCGTGTCTTTACAATCGCGACAATAAATGAACACATGTCTAACACTACTTGCCAATAATCATAAAAAAATATTAACGTTAAAAAAATCCATAATTGAGAAAAAATATTTTTCAAACAACCTAATTAAGTAACAAAATTTGTAACATCCTATACAACTACTACTGACTGATTCATACATTCAGAGACTTCATTCGTTGCCACAGCGTCGCATTACTCTCCTTCTAACAGTATATTTTGTCTCTTTCAAATTCATTCAACCCATTCAAATGCTTTGTGACCTTTACAAATGAACTTTACGTTAAAGTTTTATTCGTAAGCGTGTTCTAAAATTGTTTGTTTTGTAAAATTTAATAACTCTGTAAATATTGATGTTTAAAGAATGTAAATGTTTAATACAATTTTAAAAATTTATCCTCTATATCGTGTTCATTTATTGTCGCGATTGTAAAGACACGCTGTATAAAACGTATATAGTTGTTCAAGAAATCGTGAGCCTAATGATGATATGAGTGTCTGAACACGCGCAACCCGCCATAGACAAACAAAGCAATGACCTTCTGGAAAGCGATAATTCAAGTAAATATGCGTCTAATTACCATAAGTTAAGCTACTTATTCGATAAACTCTAGAATAGACTTTAAAATAGGCCAGTGCTAAATCCCAATATAATGACGTTAATCTGTCAAACGTCACAACATTTTCGGTCATTTTGTTTATCTATGATATCCAATGTTAGGGTCAACCACAAACATTACGTATTAAAAAAAAACTCAAAAACACACAAGCCTTCGAAATTACTGTTAGAATTACATAAATTAATTAGTTATAATATGTACAGATATATAATAAACTTTGTTACGAGCATGACATATAAAAGCGGAAGATAGTGGTTATTGAAAAACCACATTGTATGATAAATTATGCTTTGTAACAAAACTTTGGGAAATATTATGTAAAAATTTTGTTAAAAAATAAACGTCCTGTGTAGTCTTTTTTAGTGCCTTTTGATATCTCTTTCACTTTGCAAAGTGTTACGATGACCTTTCGAGACAGTTTTTCACCTAATAACAAAGCAGTTGTCTATCATAAAAATAAATAGTTATTACTAATTATAAACAACCCGATGACAAAAATGAGCATGCAAAATACCGACATATCAACGCTTTATGAATTGTAAAAAACAAATTGTATCTACGAGTATAAGTTTTGATGACACCTCTTTAGTATTTTTTCGTTTATATCTTAAACTGGCTAGTACTATCACCCTATCACCTATGAAGTAATTAGTACAATACTAATTCAGTGAAGACTGTCAATATTTTATGATCGGCCACCATATTCAAATAGGGTATACGATAAGAATTTTCGAGGGTTTGTAGAGCACAAACTATACTAGACAGATTCTTAATAGTAACTACTTAAATAGCAACATTTAAATCGGAACCATTAATTACGTAGCATACCGATTAAGATCAATTCATGCATTTGTTAGCAGTTTCTAGAGCGCATGCAAGTATAAACACTACCAATAGCTTTTATTAACCACGAACACTTTACAATCGCACAATTAACCTTCGTAATTGAAGAACAATAAAGGCATAGAAAATAATCAACATTAAAAAATGTTCAGTGACATCATATAAAACTCATAATAAAATATAACAAGTGCAATGATTTAAAAATATACAATAAATCTGAAAGAGATGGAAGCAATAAATATGGAGATTGAACCACAAAGAAAATTAAATAAAATCAAGTTTGTTTTCATTTCTGGTGTACATAAAACAGAACTCACTGAAAACAAATTTTAACAAAAGCATAGTAAGGAAAAAGACGGAAAACATAAGCATTTATATGGGTTACATTTTATTTTTAATCATCTTTTATTACTACCTTCATTTTTAATTATTCTATGGTATTGCCTTTTCAGTCATCTGAAACTGAGACTGCTGGCAATAAATTTAATAAATATCCATATCATATAACGAAACACAACTCCAAATAGACTCAACTATATTCGTATCATAAATTGTAAAATATAAAACATTACATTTCCGTAACCCCCCTTTAGCGGTTATTGACAGTGACAATTTTAGTTGTATCCACAGCCATAATTATGTTACTAGAAGCGCCATTGTTGTTAGCAAAAGCAAGCGGGCGCATCCGTGGAGACATCTGCATACCTTCGACATATACATGGCCGCATTCAGTATCGCATTCGTTCTCCCACTTTTTCTTATCTTACTGCAGTCCTATGAACGTACATACGGGTTAAATAAAACCTCTTTGCCGATCATGGGGCGCGGAGGCGTGTGCAAACTGACATGTGTCACTCAAACGTTGCACTATTAATTGTTTATTTGTGTGAAATAAATGTGCGTCTATGGAATTTTGTGGACAAGCCAATGACAATAGATGGTAAACACATATCACATTGTAAAATATGAAGTTTAAATAATCTAACTTTAAGATTCATTAATGTTTTTTTAATATCAAAATTTCAATGTCAAAAACTCATTCTAAGGTATTTTCGAAAAAATAGGATTTTTAAAAGCCAAAATATCATAGGCTATGACGTTAAATAATACGATAATCATTTCACACATAATATGCCAGCTAAAGCCTAATATAACTAAAGCGAAAACATCATCCTACATTCAACTTCGCACATCGATAAAAATTAAAAAAATAACTTAGTTTCATACGTACCTTCATTGGCATTCTAAGTTTCAGTATTTCGCTGTAGTCCCTCAGAACCGCTAACGGTGCATGTATCTATGGAAAATATTGAAATAGAAAATTCAAAAGCTGTCCCTAATTGATTTCAAGCTCTATGTCAGTACCAAAGATATGACCATTGTCTTGACACAAACAATGATTACATTGTCTTTCATTTTGACAGTTAAAAATGCTTATGTGATAAAAAGTGGAATAAACCATTTGAAAAATGCATTAAAATTAAAAAAAAGGCGTGAATAATCAAAACACTTGTACCAAAAATAATTATGGCATAATATCAATGTATTGTTAACTCGCGTGCTTATTTTAGCTTTATATCTTTTGTAAATGTCACCCATACATTAAGATCCTTCCCCCTTATTCTCTCTCTTGACTTTATCTCCCACTAGGTGTCTAGGGGTCACTGTCCTCTATCAGTCGTCATCTCAATACTCACCCCATTCACAGACATGTTGGCGCTGACAACACTGTTTACCGGATATGACGTTATCTACTCGAGCTAAGGGACACATGGTCGCGGAGCGGTGGTCACTTGGATTTCGACTGCGTTCCCGGACGGTGATATAACCAATATTGCTGCTTGTCGTTATAATAGTTGTTAATATTCAAGTTCAGTAATAGTTAAAATATTAGGATCAAGGTAAAAACGTTAGAACTCTTATAGACATATCATTCTTCACACAGCCCCTCCAAATCTTTCCCGGTCTTCCTATAGTTTTACTCCCTCCAATTCGTACTCATCAGACTTCTAGATTAATATCTTTCACCGTCTTGCAAGCAAATGTTTGCTCTTAGAAAACAACTTCTGGTTTATCTCCGGGATAAATTTATATGCAAACACTTGTCTCGAACGGAAACCGAAATATATGGATCAACTGCGCCAAAGTGAAGTCGAAAACCAATGTATACTATCTATATTATCGTATAACATTATTATTTCCAACTAGCTGTTAACCGCGGCTTCGCCCGCGTGGCCAAAGAGAATTAACAATGAGTTATAATAAAAACACCAGAATATCTCGCAGATGGCTGAATTTTTTCCTACTTAGTTGACACTTATCATTACCTATATTTTGAACAATTTACACAATATCTTTATAAATTATAGCCTATGTGTTATTCTGATGTATAAGCTATATTATTGTAAAGTTTCACTAAAATCTATTCATTAGTTTTTGCGTGAAAGAGTAACAAACATCCATCCATGCATACAAACTTTCGCCTTTTTAATAGTAGTAAGGATAAGGATGTGTATGGAGTAACGTCGGCTATTGACGATCTCTTTGGTATTCGAGTGTGGATGACGCCGTGGCGCAGTTGCCAAGGTTTTGGCTTCGGCGCCGGTGGTCGTGGGTTCGATTCCCACACGATACAACCATTTATGTGACCCACAATAAATTGTATCGGATCTGAGTGTTTGTCCACGTGAAATTTGTGTATGTAAAATTTCCTCACAACACAGGATGATGTTGTCCTACGGTAAGGAGCAGTGTCTTCGAAGGGAAGACTACAATAGAACTTTCTAGGTCGCAGTGGTCGTTGGGTCTTACTACTACCAACCTCCACACAAAATTCAATGGAACCTTCGACGTAAGGATAAAAACACCAGGACATTCAACATCTGGAACACAATACAATCATACAATGTCGCACCCGATTCGTGCAACAGCTTGCATATTAATGTGACTGAGAAAGTAGGACAGCTGCACGGAAGATCGGCGATAATAGCAGTATTTACACTTTCGTGTTTCCTTAAATTCCAGGTACTTCATGTGTAATCAGTAATCGCTCATCGAGCACACGCGCAGCCCTACCCATCGCGGTGGGCCGTTTCATACTCGAGGCTTCTGCCTAGCCCGCGAATTCAGCCATATACAGCGTGTCGTTACCATCGCAACAATAAATGAACACACATATAGGGGATAACTTTTTAAAGTTGTATTAAACATTTAAATTCTTTAAACATCGATATTTACAGAGTTATTAAATTTTCCAAAACAAAGAATTTTAGAACATCCGTACCTATAAAAGCGTAACGTAAAGTTGATTTGTAAAGGTCACAAAGCATATGAATGGGTTGAATGAATTTAAAAGAGACGAAACATACTGTTAGAAGGAGAGGCTTGTAATGCGACGCTGTGGCGCGAGTTGTATAGGATGTTACAAATTTTGTTTCTTTTTTACTTAATTAGTTTGTTTGAAAAATATTATTTTTTTTAATTATGGACTTTGTTTACGTTAATATTTTTTATGATTATTGCCAAGTAGCGTTAGACGTGTCTTCATTTATTGTCGCGATGGTAACGACACGCTGTATGATAATAACTTCAGTTGATAATAGGTTCGTTACCTTGACGAAGTGCAGCCCATGAAGGTCCTCCGGCGCCTCCCTCTCCAACTGCAGCCCCTCGCTCTCGAGGTTCTGCTCGAAAATCTTCCTCTGCTCGTAAGCCTCAGGGGTGGTGGCGTCCTCCTTGCCGGCCTCCCACACCAGCACGAAGTCCACAGAGCGAACGCCATCGTTGAAGGTCAGCGATGGGTTGTTGAGTATACCGCCCATCACTATGCTGTTGGTCACGATCTTTTAAGTGCAAATACTGGATCAACATTAACGTCATCATTACAGTCAAGAACACTCTTGCCCTATTAATACCGCAGCCGCGGTTGACGAAGCCTTGCTTCTGCTACCACCGACTGGGCTTAGCTAGTCTAGATTCAGTCCGAGCATTGGTGATGTACCCTCAAGGTTCGCAATGTTTCGGATCAGTAACCCGAAAGACAATAACTGAGATTAACAGTCAAACTCTTTGTCACCGCCATCAACAGTAACAACATTTAAAACTTAAGTACCAATCTAGATGTAGTCTAAAACACTTAAATTGCAACGACGAACAGGGCCGTGCAACTAGTGCCCTGTGATGCATTGTGAAAATAACGCAATACTAATCTATTTAAGAAGTTATTTAAAAAAAGTATCATTAATATTAATAGATGAATTATCCCATCCTATTTTGTATAAATTCACCTTTATGATCCCAATACAATTAATATATTTACATATTATTAATATAATTATTGTGTGTTTAATTCATGCACATTCTTATATCATACCAGCGTGTACGACACATAATATTTATAATACGGTTCCCACATTAACAATTTACATCATTTTCCCCAAGTTATATTTACTTAATTATTTATTCGTTATATACGTCATGCACAAATTATATTATATTATCATAGATGTTCAAAATTTAAATGGTAATTAAACAACTTCGCAATTAACATTCGTTTGCTGTGATACGGTCACGTAACCGCTTCGGCTGTTGCACGAATGGGCAGGTCCATCCGTCCGGGTAAGTACCACGAAGTGGAAGTGTTATACTTCTGCCACGTTTCGTCCAGTGAGTGAGGTAGCCGGGGCCCACCTTAATAAAAGGTAAATAAAAACTTAAAAAAAAAAACTTAAAAAAATCCTTTATGGATCCCCTGCCACTGGATCGGGGGAGTGGCAGGGGTATGTGGGAGTCCCGGTGAGAAACGGGTACCCACTAAAAAACCCACGTTGCACCTGTCTCTGTCGCATCTGTAACCCTAGGGGTGTTGCAAGGTGAACCGCCAGCTCCCATAAAAAAACACTGAAAATTATACTGTAGTAAACTCTATATAAATAAGGTTGCATTTAAAAAATATTGAGACAAAATAACGGGTCTCGGTCAAATTTTGACCTCATAATTTAAGCTTAATAACCGCGTAGTGAAAAAAAAAAAACAACCAGGAATCTATAAATTATTCAAATTCCATTGTGTATTACGCTTCCACCACCAATGAATCACTATTAAAACATATAGAAAGATCAAAGAAGGCAATAAACATCAATGGAATCTCTGCTCTTCATACTGAAATAATGTTGTGGCAAACATTACAATAAGCTTTGTGATTGATGGCACATTTTTTACAATACGTACTGTAAAATAACTTCACTCGATAACATAAGGCGATGAAGCTGATTTGACTTCGTAATTGATTATTTTTCGGATCTGCAAAATAGTACGATGGTATGGTATATCGATTTGCGACTTTACCTTACTACTTAAATAATTAACAGATTTTGCTTAAGGGATCTGATTACGACGAATATTCGGCCACTATTTACCCGAATAACGAATCGGCTAAATACCGATACATAATCCATAATAAAATTGAAATACGCTAGTGTTCGTACACAAGTAGTTTTCCGTCATACTCTCACACTTACACACGTGTTCGCATCTTGAAGGTCGTCATTTTGTTTAATACACCGGAGTAACATTCTTTTTACAAATATCTTTCCTGAAACGCGTCAACGGAATGTTATCTTTAAATGGAAGACATTGCCTCCTGGGAAGATAGGGTTATGAAAAAGGCATTCAAAGGCATTCAAAATCAAAAATATATTTATTCACATAGACGCTTGCTCGTTCTAATGAAATGTCCAAAATTTTACATAAAAATTAATTCATTCCAATGTCCCTCTATCCCTAGCTACTGCAACACAATATCATTTCATACCGTTAACTAAAGATTCTGATCGCTTACGAAACATAAGTCCTGTTTCAATCGCTGCTTTATATGCTTAGATGAATTTTCCTAAGCCGAGACCACAGAGCTGAGATCAGATGGTTTCATGATCTTCCCTACTGGCCAGAGTCTGTTGCTAAACGAGACTCCCGACAGAGACTGAGAAATGGACACGGCCACACAGAAACCGAGCTGAAAAATCAACCGAGGCTCTCTTATAGTTCATATATCTCTTCACCAGAAACTCTACTGCCGTTGAGAACGTCAATTGGCGATTGATAATCCCTCACCATCAGGTGAACCGCTTGCTCGTTCGCTCCCTGACCTAGCGTTGGTCCGAACCACAGGGTGGAACGGTCTCTCCAGCCCGCTCTACTTACGAGCAGTGGTTCGCCGATGACTTCCCGTTATTATTGGACGCGTCGCCGTGGCCGGTGGCTGGTTCGCCGCAGCCGCACTCTTCGGCCGAGCGGGTCGTCGCTTCGCTACCGTTGTCCCTGAAATAATTCTTCGAGTTACATCGCCCGTAGAGTTTTCCGCGCGTAGAGATGCACTACTTCTCACATCTACTCTATGCTCAGTGGTGCCTTCAAGGCGACATAAGGTTGGTGGTCAAAACTTTTATTATTACCTTTTTGGTTGTGTTGCCCTTGTATGTTTGTTGTTGTGTCAGTGGCGTTGTGCCAAATGAGCTCTTTTGTACAACAATATTTCCACAATGAGGACGAGCCGTGGGCGAGATGGTGAGCTGGAGTTATTTGAAGGTAGAAGCTCATCTGTGCCACGACAAAAGATAATGGAAAAGAATGTTTGTCAATAATTAAATTGTAATATCACTCTCATTTCAGTTCAGCATCAATCCCAAAGTCATAAGAGCATAATACATAATTATTGTTTATAGATTATTGCCCTCGTGTTTATTGCATTATAGGATTATAGGATTCATTGTATTACACTTAGAGAATTAAAGATAGAAATGGAGAATGAAATAAGCAACTTAACGATTTTATTCCCATGATAAATAAAACGCAGTTGGCACAGTGATAGTACTTATGCGGGAGGGTTAATCTCTCTTTTAGTGACAATTAAAACTTATATTGTACATTTTTGTAGATAAATGAACAAAAACTAAAACTTATATATCAACACGTGATCTCCATGTAAGGCGAATGGTAGAAAATAACAGAACAAAAATGTATTTGAAAAGAATAATTGCACGATAATTTACTGTACTTTTTTTATTTGACAGTTGCCATGCGACCGTCGACCACTTCGGCTTGTTGACTGTTGACAGATTGTTTCGATTACTATTTATGTCAAATACGAGCCCCACTCCTAATGAGTTCGCCCAATTAGTAAAGGCCGTAATAGCTGATTGTCCGGAAGCTGGCTTCTAACTCGATACACTCTCACTCGGGCAACCTGAGTTGGATCCCCGGTGCCGGCACCAATGGAATTTTTAATTTTAAACGTAGACATAACAATTAGTCGACGGTGAGGGAAAACATCGCGAGGAAACCTGCGTATTTTCGAAATAATAAAAGTGCAGTGGGGTCGCGTGATGGACTATGCCCTAGTACGCTCTATACAGATGAGGCTTAACCCCAGCTTTGGGACATCTATAAAATATAACAGTAAAATAAATATAAATTTACTTTAAAGTCAAACAGTGGGTGAGTAATTTTCATTAAAGCTCTTCAATCACGACAAGCCGTTTTTCTTGTAGTGATGGGTTAATGAAGTAATATTAGTTTAAAATTTAAAATTATTATTATTTTTCCATATATCAGTTTCAAGGACGGTGTTATGTATGTTATCTGTGGCTGCGCCCACAGCACTTGTTACTATGAAACATTAAAGTAGTGCGTTACTATTTACTAACCGTTAGTTTCACTAATCCCATACATCAGTGGCGACGAGTATTATTCTACCCTCGTGCAAAAATAAATAGTTGTAAATGGTGCAATTTAGGATTTTATCAAGTTTTGACCAAAATACCCACTCGTGGCAAATATATACAGGCCGGCTACAGCAGTGGCTTATCGTTACTGGCACCCAATGTTTTTCCATAAATTGAGATCGAACCCACAACCTCTGGCGCGAGGACAGGTTCACTATCCACTACGCTAATTTGTTCATAATTAGATAGACTGTTGCAAGAATGGGCAGGTCCGTCCGGGTAAGTACCACGACCCCACAGAAGACCGGGGTAAAGTAGAAGTGATACACTTCTGCGTTACGTCTGGTGAGTGAGGTAGCCGGGGTCCTTTATTTAAAGGCGGCAACGCCTTTGCAGCCCTTCGGCTATTGCAAATGTCTACAGACGGCGGTTATCATAGGTGAACCACCAGCTCGTTTAAAAGATTGGTTTAACTCTACTTCTTAGGCGGAGTTGGCTATGGCTACTCCAACACAAGAAATAATTATTCGCTTATTTAACGATTCATCGCTCTGAAACAGTGACCGATTGATGAGCAAGAATCGCCGAGCAAACTATCAGCAGCCGAGTGACGTCATCGATTAGCGCCTAATAATAGACTTTAGGTTAACGTACCGCCATGCCACTGAGGCTTTGCCGTAACTTGGGAGGAAAATTATAGTGGGAATTAAAACTTAGTCCCCTGCACAGAATTTCGTCGACGTGCATAAAATAATTACGTGTGTATATTTAAACAAGAATTGCAATTTATAATAAAACTAGCTAATGCCCGCGACTACGCCTGCGAAGAATAGGCTGAAAGCGTAACATTCAGACACAAAGACAGGTATACATAAAATAATGTATATAAATCATAGCCTATGTCTTATTCTGATGTATAAGCTATATTATTGTAAAGTTTCCTTAAATTTGCGTGAAAGAGTAACAAACATCCATCGTACATACAAACTTTCGCGTTTATAATATTAGTAAGGATTTTAAACGAAAACTGTGAATAGTTCTTTCTATAAATCCCATTGCAATAAAGAAACTATAACTAACGAGTTAACGATTCATAAAGTCCATCAAATTTCAGAACGACTATCAAATGATTATTTTACTGAATATGCAAACTTTTTAGATTCAGCGAAATGAAAAATTTAAGACTGCCTAATTATTAATTAAAAAAAAACAACTTAAAAAATGGAACGATACGAAAACAAATAACTATAGCCACGATAAGAAGATTATCGTTTGCTTAGATCAGATTTACGCAACAATATGTTATTAATTAAATTGGTTGTTATAAATTTCTCCACAGATTGGTTTATCTTTACCAATTAAATTAATTACGTAGTCTTTGTTATATCATAACGAGACTTCCCTAACCGTAATATGGACACTTTTTCGATAGAAGGTTCGAAATTTGGCGTATGACAGGCCTAGTAATAACACAAAAAAGAAATCACCAATAAAAGTACCTATAAAATTAAAGAATTTATCGTGCAACACTTATGTGCCTAGCCCCTCTTATTAGCATTACGTCGAAGTTCAAAATTACAAATTGCTCGTATCCTCATCGTGTTGAACTATTAAAAAAACCCGTTCGTTGATTTACAACTACATACGACCTTGATCGAGTTTAAACTCATTAAAAACACTTCTACTTTCACTTCGGATATTAGACGAACTAAAAGATCCACTATCGAACAACAATTAGCCATCGAAGAGCCGTCTCAAAAATCTCAGAGCTGGAGTTCGTGTAAATAACAATCAATCAATCAATCAATCAATCAACCTTTTGCAGTCCACTGCTGGACATAGGCCTCCCCAAGAGTACGCCACAGAGTACGATCTTCCGCTTTCCTCATCCAGCCACTACCAGCGACCTTTCTCAGGTCATCCAAATAACAATACGAGTAAGTAATAGCCATAAAATACAGAGGGCATGACGACCAAATGACGTCCAATAGTTTTTTTAGTTTACACGGTCTGCTTAACTGTATACGATCTTGCATGATTACAAATATATACAGAAAAAAAAGATTGCATCATATACTTAGCAAACGCAGAATACATAAAAAGTAATATAATAGCCTAAAGATTTGCCACTAACCGCTGGGCAAAGGCCTTTGTACAGAGCATATTAGGCGATAGTCCACCACGCGACCCCACTGCGGATTGGCAGACTTCACATATCTTCCAAATATTTCATTTTGTTAGTATTTCGAAAAATATGCGGATTATAATTCCCAATATATTCCTCACGATGTGTTCACTTCACCGTACACATGGAAACATGTTATAACATTAGGTACGAATATTTGGTGCTTATCGGTAGTATAGCTTGAACGACTTACTTTCGATTTCAGTTTAAATGAGCACATTTGCGCGTATCACAACAATTTCTCTTATTGATAAAAAAAATCTATTTTTACGGAGCATCGTGGCTCAATGGATAACATGATGACCTTTAATGGTGACATTGCGCCAAATGTAGTGATTAAGACACCCAGACAGGGCGAAAATTTATCGAAATTTGACCCGTATCTACGACAGGTCCGAGTCTGGATGCACTTTTCTACCCTGATTTTTTAGTTAACTAAACACAGAAATTATTTCCATGGGTGTAATTCGTTTTAGAATAACATAAATAAATATATTTCATAAGAGATTAAATCTTCCGTCTATCGTCTCATATAAGGTTAATCTCCTAAAAATCTTAAAATTCGTATGAATTGATTATCTCAATATGTATTCAATTAAAAAAATAACTTAATAAGCCCATAGTCGAAAACATAGTCTAATACAAAAAAAAACTAAAATCACAGGACTGATTACAAATATGCTAAATTATAATGCGAATGACTCACGGACTCACAGTGAGAGGTCACGCGTTCGAATCCTCTTATCAGTCACCGACAATTATATATAAATATATTTTGATCGCACAGAACACCCACTGTGAACTTTTATACCCGATATAGTCTAACGTTTTGAATCTTCTTCTTTCCCCAGCCCTTATCCCACACTAGGTGGGGTCGGCAAAACATTTTACGGTGGTATGGCTACGGAGCAACCTCGGCTGTTGCACGAATGGGCACGCTATTCCGTGTAAGTACCACGACCTCACAGAAGACCGTCGTCAAGTGGAAGTATAATACTTTCGCGTTTCGTCTGGTGAGTGAGGTGGCCGGAAACCGATTTTCAAAAGGTTGTCAAACGCATCTGTATAGCAGATGTCTATGGGAGGCGGTATTCACTTAACATCAGGTGAACCGTCTGCTCGCTTGGCAACTTTTCACATAAAAAAACATGGCCTTTCCTTCCACTCTCTTCTATCAGCTGTCATCTTAATACGCACCCCTTTCACAGAAATATCATTCTTCATACAGCCCATCCAAATATTTCTCGGTCTTCCTCTAGCTTTACAGACTCCAACTACATTCATATTCATCACTTTTAGTGACATGACTTTAATCGCTTCTCATAATGTATACATACCATGTCAACCTACCACTCCTTATTCTCTCTTAGTCACTAACGTTTTGAATACGCATGATTTTAAGAACATGCTCCATTTAAAATATAAAAATTAAAAAATATTTTATATTCACTAAGGGGCAGCGTGGAAATCGCTTTAAAAAGTTATCTAGCAAGAGAGTAAAGTATTAAGTTATAATATGAGCAGACGGTTCACCTGATCTTAAGTGAATACCGCCGCCCGTGATGTTTAGTGAATACAACACTCACGGGCTTGCAGATGCGTTGGCAACCTTTAAAAAAGGGAGCCCGATTTAAAATTAATAATTAGAAAATAGTTTATATTTAATAAAAGGCCACGTGGAGATAGCTTTGAAAAGTTGTTGAACATGCAGACGGTTCACCCGATGTTAAGTGAATACCGCCGCCCATGGACATCCACAACACTAAAGGGCTAGTAAATGCGTTGACAACCTTTAAACAAGTGGGCCCCTCAAGAAAACAATAAGTGGGCCCCGGTTACCTCACTCACCAGACGAAACTCGAAAGTTTAATACTTCCGCTTTACGCTGATCTTTTATGAGGCCTGCCCATTCGTACAACAATATTACACTTTCGCGTTTCCTTTGTAAGGTAGTCTGGTGCACTTTTTAGGGTTCCAAGCCCAAAAGGGTAGAACGGGACCCTATCACTAAGAACCCGCCGTCTGTCTGTCTGTCCGTTTGTCACCAGGTTGTGTCTCGTGAACCGTGAGCATCAGGTGAACCGCCTGCTCACTTGCCAACTTTGAACAATATAAAATATCATCAGATATTATTTTTTCAGTCTTAGAGAGGTGTACTTTAACACGTGGGCTACGAGAAAAGTGACAAGCTCATCGCGAAATATAACGCAAGAGTCACAATAGAGAGATAAGATCACGTAAAGCCGTAGAAGAATAAACTGAACAATTGTGATAACTTAAGTAATTCTTACATATCATTATTTTATTTAAAATAAGGATGTAAATGGATTATGATATGATATTATATTCATGGAATAACCAATAAAAGCATTACAACAAGAATTGTTTTTAACTACATGCAATTTGTCAAAATAATTTAATAAAAAATAAAGTTTTCATCTTAAAGGATGTTTTACTAGACACCACTTAAAACACTAAACCTTTATTAATCAGGTAAAAATTAACAACAGTTTACAATTGCAGCTAACCATGAAACATATTAAAAAACTAATTTCAATTACCGATATTAGCAAAATAAATGAACACACACGCTATTAATGCGACTTTAAGATCGAAATACGTTTAAGTGAATTAAACGAAATTTAATAATGCAACGTGTTAAATGACCTTCACCAACCGTACAGTTATAACGAATAACTATCGCTGTTAGATAAACGGAATGGTGTCATTAAAACAAATCCCATGCACACATCAATAACACAGCGCCACTGACAACAAAACAGACGAGAGAAACATGAACACAATTTCACATACATCATAAGGACAAAACGCAAAAATTTCTTTAATGGAATACATTATTCCCAATCCAATATATTAAAGAGTTAACCCATTGTATCGTATAAAAATGTCCCAATTAAAAATAAATTTTATCGACGGCCAATTAGGATGTGCGTCTGCGTTACCAGCGACAACACAGAGGCGGACCATAAACACACGGCTGTCAAACGACAAATGACATCTAAACTCACCGATCCGTGTTCATTTCCCGCGACAGATCGTCCTGGTAAGTGCTGAGAACGGACATCGCTTGCATGTCGGCCATCTTCTCCTGCGCCTCCACCTCCGTCTACCCGAAACAGGAAGAGAAAATCAATCTCCCGCCGACGACTTGTATCCGAGCGCGCGTCGCCGAAACATTCCCGTGTCGGCTGCCTTTCGCGGTTCAACGACATCAATGGGCACAGATAAAAAAGGGTCGTTTACACTTCCGTACGTTTTCGTGACGCGTCGCGCGCGCCCTAAACAACCTCCGAGTGCCCGCGTCGTATATCACGTAACGTAGCACCTCAATAACGGACCTGGCGAGCATCGTGCGCGTGCTGCCGCCTTGGCGGTTTAGCGCCGACTGAAGTATCAAGTCTACACTCACTCACTACAGTGAATCACCCGTATTTGACTTTCATCACGAGTTAAGGCTGACACTAAAGCCTCCGCGTTGCATGTTGTTTATTGACTAGGTAATTCCAAGCGGCACAGAGCTTGCTGTCGACCGGCAAGAGACCGGCGTAGTACTTTTGTGCATCGTCCGGTGAGAGGGGTGACCAGTTTTATTGTTATGTGAAAAGTTGCCAAACGATTAGACGGTTCACCTAATGTTAAGTGAATACCGGCGCCCATGGACATCTGCTAAACCCGAGGGTTTGCAGATGCGTTGACAACCTTTTTGGAAATTAGGCTCCGGCCACCTCACTCACCAGACGAAACGCGAAAGTATTATACTTCCACTTTACGGCGGTCTTCTGTGAGGTCGTGGTACTTAGACGGACGAACCTGCCCATTCGTGCAACAGCCGAGGTTGCTGCGTGGCCCTACCACCGTAGAGTTCTTACACGTTTGCAACCCAACTGCAACTGTAGTGGATGTTCATTAGCGGCGGTATTCACTGAACATCAGGTGAGGTTCTATATATGAAGGTTATTTTTTTAAAGTAGCTAAGAAAACGTCGTGGGCTGCGTACAACGAAACGTTTTCGTCTCAATCATACGAAAGGTATAGGTAGCATACGGGAGGCGACTCGCTATATCTTTACATAGAAACCGATTATATCATATGATAAATAGAGCATTAATATTCGATCGCACTATATTGGAACTTATTTTATTAATCCATGGGTAGATAAAATCGAGGCACTTACAATATCTATCGCACAAAAACAGCGTAAAAACACTAAGTCTATCTATAACAGAACAGCCACAGCACATTTACCAAGTCAAAAAATAGTTCTTATATATACAAAAGTTTGTTATCATATCTAGTATAATTAATTACAGTATACGATGTTAAATACACGCGTGAATTTGTATATCATACAGTGGAGTTTAATGAACGCTTTCTATGATCGAACGTCTGACGTGTCGTAGCGCGCTTTGGGAAATTAACCTTGATGGCATTTTATTGTGCGAATTTCTATACGAAAAATATTAGGAGCCTTGCACACTATGCAATTGTCGGATTATTTTTGAATAAAGTACTAACTTACGACCACAACCTCACCTCATAGTAAGTGCTCAATTATCCGAAGTGCTCAATGCTTTTGACGTTCATAGTTGCGACTCTAAACTACGTTAAATCGGCCGGAAAGACTGTCGCTAACGGATTGAGAAAGACTGATTAAGTTCAAACCAGTCTTGACGAAAAACAACGGGTAACGGTTGACCGTTTACTTGTTACAAGGGAACATAAGGACGGACATACAACATAGGCGAAGTGAAAAAGAAATAGAAGTAGTTTACGAATTAACCGTGAAATAAAACCTATTGCGTTTAAAATTTACGACTTCATAGGACTTGTATGATAAAAAGAGTCAGTGTGTTCAAGGAACAGACTTACGCCCGGTTTTCTGAAACTAATCATCGTAGAAATTAACTAATCAGCTGTCAAATGGCTTTTCAAATTTTATTTGATTTGCCAAAATTCTGATCATTAAAATCAGAATGATCGGATCAATCCAAAGAGTTAAAAATCCTTTTCGCAAATCAAATAACATTTGAAAAGCCATTTGACGGCTGATTAGTTAACTGATTAGAAACCGGGCGTGAGATGAACCACGTCCTAACATCATTGTCATCTTGGTCTAGGGAACACTTTCTTCGTTGTTTATTTTGATTCGAACTAAACAGAAGGAGCTTACTTCAACACCTTGCAGTATCAATGTGTATCGTTTCCGTTGAGTTCTGGAATAGATATATGACATTGTGACAAATCTTTGCAACAAGTCGATCTAGCAAATTTAAACAACCAACAACGCGCGAGGCTGTATAGGTTGAAATACGGAGATATCTTGTATTAGGTTTAAGGGCATCACTCAAGCGCGACCTCGACGATGTAAACTTCGATCGCATAAACATAAGAAGATTGTTAGAGTCACTTCTAAGGAACAAGAGACTCGTATTATAACAATAAGATTGAGTCACTAGCTAATATAGCAAACTGTACGTATGGCTGAAATTTTCGACCGTAGTTATTGTGTGTTACAACAATCTGTACACACGTATATTCACGCAGACAACCGCTATAATTCAATGTTACAAAGAAAATCCATAATAATTAATATTTTATAATCTATCGCTTTTGCTGCCTCTCCATCATAATATGAAACTAGAAAGGAGATAAATACCCTTACCTCATCTTAATCTTTAAACTTCGTTCATGTGAGATGCTTAAGTCAGTACAATAATGATTTATCATTCAAAAATTGATATGCCTAACAATTATTTTTGTTGCCATACAACAAATAAAATTCGACGAAAGACGAACAGTTCAAAAAGCAAACCCCCTGACAACACAATACCTACACACGATGCTAGTATACAAGGCCAATTAGTTCGCCCTCGACAACTAGTACGGCGAAACCACCACAGCGTGTACTCAAGACACACCCGTGTTCCATGGCGGTTCTCACCGATTTAAACCGACGATTACCACAGACAACGGACAACGGAGCCTCGATCCAGACCATAACATTAATAGATAACGTGCTCAAGCACAGCCCTACGGTAGGGCTGTTCCCAAAGCTGAAATTGGTATTTTTTTGTACTGCATACCCTATCTGAACTGCAACTGTTGAGTTTTTTGCCGGTTTCTTCTAAACAGAAACTGCTTTCCGAACCGGTGGTAACTTACGAGCATATTAATATCCTTGTAAAATTTCGACGTTCCATAAGAACGCGCAAGCGTCTGTGTGAATAAAGATATTTTATTATTATTATAAAATCTGTACACGAAACTGTCCCTACCCAAATTGGTGGGCCTTATTAAGCTCGTGGTATCCAGCTAACCTCGAGCTCGGCTTTCTATGATGCTTTAACAGACTACGGACTGATAGCAAAAACATGTATCTTATAAAGATAGTGTCAGCAGAAAAGGAGGTAGTATGTACTGTTCAATGCCGACCCCCATTTTAGCTACGAGAACAATGCTGCAAAATGGTATTCTTGTTATTTATATATTTGTAATACTGCTAATTTTTCGCAATGTCTTTACCGTATCAAAAATGTTATTCCTATTATTTATAAATAGTACCATGAGACAAGCGATGCTGAGTCGCAGACACGATTTCGATGAAAACAAAAACTAACAAATGTTCCATTCATTGAAATTCCATCACTCGGAAGCACGGCAACTGAGAGCAAGACGGAAAAATAGCGGCAAAGAGTTTTAGAGCCGTAAATGGATACAAAAACAACTGAAAAGCGACAATGCTCAAGCCGCCTTAGCCACTTATCTTTATTAGGTAAGTAACCCAAAGGGATTTCCATTTCAATGACTAAGTGTCGACACGCCCCGTTTTAGTATTTCCAGTTTGTTCACTAATACCATTTAATATAAGCGGTGCTTTAAAAAAACTTTCAAATCCTACTAATACATATATAAGCGCAGCTATTTTTCTTAGACCTTAATAACATTGCCTTAATGTTATTAAGGTCTAAGAAAAATATGTTCGTATCCGAGCGAATAAGTAGCACGAATGGACAGGTCCGTCAGGGAAGTACCACGACCTCACAGAAGGCCGGCGTGAAGTAGACGTAATACACATCTGCGTTAGATAACACTACACCCACAGTTAGTGCAACAACAAACACACTAGTTCGCCCTCGCCTCCGAGCACGGCGAGACCAACACAACGCGTACACAAGGTACATCCGCGTTCCGGGGCGGTTCTCACCGCTACCAGCCACCGATTAGCTAATTGCACAGTCGACGGCCATCGGGGTTTCGGTCCGGACCGCGACCTCAATGGCCTTTAGATGACACACCATGGTTAAACGCACGCATGAGCACATGCGCGGCCCTACCCACAGCGGAGGGCCCAAACCTGTGGGTTCTGGCTAGCCCACTGGTTCTGCGTCAGATGAAGATTTAATAGTCTCGGGACTGAAAGCAAGCACATCAGTTGATACATCTGCGTTTCGTCTGGTGAGTGAGGTAGCCGGGGTCCATTTTATTAAAATGTGGCACACGCATCTGCAAACCTAAGAGTGTTGTAAATGTACATGAACTGCCAGCTCGTTTGCCACCTTCTCACGTGAAAAAATTATTTTCACACACAGTTTTACTAACGAAAAACACCCATGAAAATACATACAAATCGTGACAAGAATGAATCTTATATAGTTTCCGATTTATTTTAAGGCCTCTGTTAAATTTAGACTCTCTGGCAGAGGGCTGCAGAAAGGATTTTTAGTTAATGTTCTTTTGCAGCGTAAGGAACATTTTTAATATTTTTTGCATCCTCTTGGATTTGTTGTTCCAATTAAACGAGATCCTCTATTTATAACGATCTCTTTAAATTTATTATTCGCGTGTTCTTACGAAATGGTGATTATCAGGTCTTTAACCACGAGACAAATGAACTCATATGAGTAAAATCGAAAAACGAATAATTCTAGAGTCTTTTAAATCGAAACTAATAAACACTGGAATTGTACGAAAGCATTATTTGTCGTTTTTAAAAACATTATAATTAGCAACAATTATTTCTACTCATTAGCCAAATCAATGAAAACTCATTTGTAATTAATATGATAAACAACCATTTCACCCTGTAATTTAGCCTAGGTGTACACAAACTTGTATGTGTTACCTATGCATATTCACATATACCTAAGTACCCCGTACACACATACCGAAATCGACCTACAGCGAAGTGCCCAGTGATTACGAAAGTTCACATGAATTATGCGATGCATTGTACGTTATTCCCGTGAAAGTGCCGACGGTATAAATTCAGGTATCGTGGGACAATTAAACATGTATCGACCAACTGATCTCGCTCAATCGCCGTAGCGGGAGGTCGTTCCATTTAGAATAAGTTAATTTTAAGTTCACTTTGTATTTCTTGGCTATTAAATACTGTAAAGGACAAAATCGCCTTTTAAAAACTCCTACCCAACGGCCGAATACGTATCTTATGTATTAATATTACAAATAATGCATGATTAAATTTAACTAAATAAACATACACACAACAAAATTTTCTACCTTTAACTTAGTGGCTAGAGCGTCAGGACGCCTAATCCCGAAGGCGCGGGTTAGAATTATATTAGTGTTGAAAAATTTTTCCCACAACTTTATACATTAAAATTATATTTCAATGTAGATAATACCTGAATTAACTTCACTTATCATGATTAGATATCTAAAGAAACAAATCAAAAGTAAAAAAACATTGTGTTAAAATATATCCTTAACATTGAATAATTATTTAAAATACAAGGCTGATCTCAACGCAAAGTAAAAAAATACAATGTGTATGACACATTCTAAGCAACACATTTGGAATTTTTATATTAGGCAGAATAGATTGTACATTGAACCTTAGTGGCATACAAATAAGATTTGAAATTCTTTTTACCTTCTCTTTGACCTTCCAAATAACTGCTTACGCGAATTCATGCAAACGAAATCACAATGCTTTAAACATATTACAATATCAGGAAAAAAATATAGTATATAAAACGGAAAAGTAGAAGTAAAAGTAAATAAGTAATTAAAAGTAAATATATTAAGGCCACATTAACAGCACTTCAACACAAAAATATTGCATCCAATTAAACTTGAATCCATTACTCTGTTACTTAACTGAATAACTTGGTTCTCAACAGGAGGTAAACAATGTAACAGTACGCAAAGTCTAATGGCACTTATAAATATCAGCTCTGTCTTAAAAGTTTCATTAACAAACCTCTACTACAAATAGAAAAAGACTTAATGCAATTGAAACAATAATTACATTCTCTGAGAAATATGTTTTTATTTTACCGAAATGACATAGGTAATTTGTTATAAAAGAAATTGTCATTTCTTCAAAATAAATAGCACAAGCCTGCCATTGATACAACAGCAGAAGCTGTTGTGTGAACCTACCACAAATATAGGGTGGGTACCATACTAACATTTAAAAAGCAAAATCAGTATAAAAAAAACTAAAAGTACAATGTCTAATTTGTTTTCTAAATATTTTTATCTAATGTTTACATAAATATTTTATCAGTTGAGGAGAACATAATATATATAACATAATTTATTTTTTGTTTTAACTACTTTTTTGCATAATGGTTTTTCAAAAAATTGTTACATTTGCAACTGACTGTTTCTTGGCAGTATGTAAATAAAGTTGTATGCAAAAATAATTATCTAAGGCTTAGCAACTTATTCCAGCCAGCAGCCAGCTACTGCATCCATGCAGGATTAGTACTTTGATTAGCTTATTTTCTTCACAAAGGTTGTTCTATGGTTTAGTTGTGAAGGCGTAACAGACAGACAGAGTTACTTTGAATCTTTCCCCTTGTATCTTTTTAAATTATAGCATTTGTGTTATTCTGATATAGAAGCAATATTGTTTTAAAATTTCATTAAAATCCATTTAGTCATTTTTGCATGAAAGAAAACATACATCTATATATACAAATTTTATATATCCATGCTTACAAATTTTTTCATTTATAATATTAGTAATGAAGAAAGGATAAATCATGTAATGTAAAATTTTGATTTCCATTATCTACCTATACAAATAAAATGATAGAAGTCTCCCAGTGTGAACTCAGCAGTAAAACTAACAAAATGTCATTAAATTATTTCTTCCAAATTGACACTTGGTTCTTATTTAATAAAAAATAATTTGTAAAAATAATATGTTAAGCAACACAGAGAAAGTTGCAGGCATCAGATAGATAGAAATATATAGGTAAAATTGCTTTTGGACTCAGAGCAATGTAATTTCAGGCAATGTTGGAAGACACCAAAATTGGGCAGTTGCCTAGAGAATCATGTATATATTAGTTGAAAATAAGTCTACCTCCCTCTATATAGGAATAATATATACTTAGATTAATGTACTTGTATCTCTATAGACTAGACTGTGTAGTCAGCAATATTTTTTATCGATAGAAACAATAATGTGAACAAAGTAATTGCGAACTACCTTAGCATTGCAGCATTTAATTATTTTTTTGCTCAAAATCGAAATGTCTGTACCTCTTTTTACTTCGTAAATAATTCTAATTTTGATTATCTTCGAATTTGTGATATTTTGGAATTAATATTATTGTAATAAATAAACTCTGTTCTCCACTTTGTGTGTCACATATTTAATGAAATAAATGACACATCACCGGAAAACTATAATGATTTAATTATTACATACAACATAAATGTTACTTAAAGCTGATAGTAAAACTTACTTCGTCAAAACCTCCATCTCCGTCTTGGAATAACTGTTGGAACGCGAGTTCATTTCTTTGTGAGTCGGACAGGAACGATTCCGTTTCAGCAGCGTCCGTCCTCTTATGGTGAAGTTTTACACCACCCGCGTAAATAGGAGTCGTTATCTTGGGTGTAAACACATTCTCTTCGGGTCGCTCTAATAAAGGTTTTGGTACATCATCTTCAAGTGATGGATCTCCGTCAGACATCACTCACTGTATGCAAATAATCTTAGGAAATTAAAGTCATACTTTGTGGCTTCTTTTCCGTTGAATCACCGAAAAATGTAAATTGTATGATACAGAGGTCAATTTCTCAGAAAGATTCTCAGTTGAAAATCAGTGATTTGGTAAATTCAAATATAAATCTTAAACAACACAAACAGAATTTTAAAGTTTACTCGAATGTAAAATAATTAAATATGAAATATTTTCTAAGACTAGTTCATTAACATGACAGTCTGACAGGACAAAGAGAAGTGACAGATCGCAATTCGCATGTAGGTACATTTTAATTATTCTTTCCTTTCATGTAGGTAGATTAAAACATGTTATTTGCGTATTTTTTTTTGGGGAGTTTGCTGTGGCCTAGTGGCTTTGAAAACTTTGTATAGTAAGAGAAATGATCTACGATCACGTCAGGAGAAAACAAATAAACTGGTGCACAAGGACGACAATGATGTATGATGATGTAATGTAACTATCAACTCCACTGTAACACCGCGACCTCTGTGTGGGAGATGGAAAATAAGAATGGCATCGTAAATGATGGGGACAGTACAACACGATCCTACCCCTCAGATGATGGTTCAAACCTCGGCTTGAACTATAAATCGATTTAAACATGTCCAGAAAATGTAATAAGGTCGATTAACGACCGGTTACAATATTCTATCTATCAGTAGATTTGGTAAATAGTGATATGAATTTGACAATAACTCCACAATATTTACATCAAAATTCTATCTCGAGGAACCAAATTTACAGATAGATTAATATTGAAACCGGCCGTTAACCGGCCGACAATAAGTTGGTCACTGGTGAAGAATACCACATGTGGGTATGGTGTCTTGGCTGGAAATCGAGAACCCTGCATACACGCTGTGCCTGGCGTGTGCAAATTTTTGAATGCAGTGTGTGCCGTGCTAAGCGTGGTGACTGTGTCAGTCAGTCAGGCTGTATTGTCAAGTTCTTGTGGCGATGTGTTGTCCTCTGGCTAGCGGAAGTGTTATATTAGATAACACTTGCTATAATTCATGGTCAGGTTGGTCAATTATTGTCTTTTATTTTAAATTACCTGTAATCTTAATCTACTCAAAACTACCTACATTTGTCAAATCTGGGCGTTATTTACATTCACGGAATAGAAAAAGAAACAACTATTTTCTCTATTCCGTGTTTACACTAACGCCCGGTTTCTGAAACACTGATCATCGTAGATGTTAACTAATCAGCTGTCAAATGGCTTTTTTAAATATCATTTGAGTTGCCAAAAGGATGATTAAAGTCTTTGAATTGATCATTCGGATCATTAAGAAAATCATTCTGGGCAATTCAGAGAGTTAACTATTTATCCGTGATAGGGTGGTGAAAGAAAGAAAACCATGAATAGATCGGACTGGAGATATTTACTCGACCAAGCTAACGTTTTTATTAAGTTCACGATCATCATCTGAGGCATTACAGCCGTAGGTGGGATGATGAACTTAATAAAATAAAACAATACTTTTATTTTAGTAAGAAGAAAGAGAAGAATCAAATATTAAATTATTGAAGTAGCAATCGGATTGCTGTACATGCACTCAAGCACTATTAACATTATGCCACGCTGCCTGTAAACTGTCATCGTCGACGTCAAATTCAATCTTTTGCCAAGCTAACTTTTAGAAGAATAGGTTGCCGGCGAAATTATTCTGTATTTCTTTGTAGTGTAAACTATTTTTAAATCTTATTTATGATATGTTTTAATATCTCGTAATTAAAATTTATTCACAATGACCGCAGAAACACAACCTAGGGTAAAAATGCCTTACCTCTCTTCTGAAAAACAGCTCACGTTTATAAAATTGGCTGTTTTATCAATGGCAGCAATTCTGTGTAAGTAATGTTTATCATTGTATACTAAACTTTAACAACTATTTGGTCAGCAGTACTATTATTCTTCGTAATTTACACCTATTCACCGGTAAAAATTTAAACACCGCTTGTTACCCACTTGACGTTGTTGGATAAGACACTAGTGAAGTTGAGAGCAATAACTTATATAAATATTATTATATTATTTACTAGCGACCCGCCCCGGCTTCGCACGGATGCAATGTATTGTATATACACTTAGGAAGGTTTATATCTATAAACCTTCCTCTTGAATCACTCTATCTAGTAAATTATACTACTAATATACTCTTATTAAAACATATTTCATATACATAAACATTATAGTAGTTGTATGGAAACTATTAAGAATCAGCATTTCATGATAAATGGTAAATTGTTTGTAATGTTTAAATAATTAAATTAACATACACTAATTTATAGTGCTTCTATAAACATATGTCTGCTTTTTTTTTTTACAAATTAAGATTTATCAATAAAATTATTGCCTAAATGAATTCCTTTGCTAAAAATACAAATATGTAAATACTGTTATTCCTAACAGTTCATTAGTGTTTTCACCTATGTTTGTTAACCAATTTTCTTTTTCTTTTTTTATCTTCAGTAAGTATTGATTAACCTTAGTGTTATTTATAAAAAATTCAAAGTTAGTATTAATAATGGTTCTTTCTTCTATTGGGAACAAACACTAGTTTAATGCATGTAACAAACTTTAATAGATATAATCTTACCCAAATTTCTTTCTTCCAGCTTTTGCTACAAGGTTGTTCTCAGTCCTACGTTTTGAAAGTGTCATCCATGAGTTTGATCCATATTTCAACTACAGAACAACTCGTTATCTCACAGAGGAAGGTTTCTACAAATTCCACAATTGGTTTGATGACCAAGCATGGTATCCATTGGGACGTATTATAGGAGGTGACTTGATGATTTTTTTAAATTATTTAAATTTCAACTGTAAATTTTTTATGTTACAAATTATATTTGCATATACAGCGTGTCGTTACGTAAAAAAGAAACAAAATTTGTAACATCCTATACAACTACCACTGACTGATTCATACATTCAGAGACTTTTATTCGTTGCCACAACGTCGCATTACAAGTCTCTCCTTCTAACAGTATGTTTCATCTCTTTTCAAATCATTCAACCCATTCATATGCTTTGTGACCTTTACAAATGAACTTTACGTTACAGTTTTATACAAAAGGATGTTCTAGAATTGTTTTAGAAAATTTAATAACTCGGTTAATATTGATGTTTAAAGAATATAAATGTTTAATACAATTATAAAAAGTTATCCTCTTATATGTGTGATCATTTATTGCGGATGTAATGACACGCTGCATATCCTACATCTCTTATAAAATCTTCAATAAAATTCATACCTTTACTGTTTTTTTTGCAGGCACAATATATCCCGGCTTGATGGTGACATCAGCCACACTATACAATATAATGCAGTTCCTAAACATAACCATTGACATTCGAAATGTTTGCGTTTTCCTGGCACCATTCTTTTCATCTCTTACAACCATTGTCACTTACCTGTTAACAAAGGAACTCAAGGTATGTAATACAATTAATTTCAAGAAAAATAATATTCAATTAATGTAGTAATGCAAATAATATCATAACAAAGGATTGTTCATGTAAAAATTATATTATGGTGGGAATACAAACACTATTTTGCTTTCCTGCTTGTTTGAGATTATTTTTCAAAGCCAATTAAATGTTTATTTAATTTTTTAGGATGAGGGTGCTGGCCTTGTTGCAGCTGCAATGATTGCCATTGTTCCTGGTTATATTAGCCGTTCCGTCGCGGGTAGTTACGATAATGAGGGCATAGCCATCTTTTGTATGTTGCTCACCTACTATTTCTGGATCAAGGCAGTTAACACTGGTACAATACTTTGGGCTACAATGACAGCTCTTGCATACTTCTATATGGTAAGAAATACTGTAAAAATTAAAATTGTTCTGCCTATTGAAAGTTATTTGCTATACAGAAATAAATACAACAAAGAAAAGAATTTAGATACACACTGTTGATTGGCGAATAATCTTCACATGTGCACCATGGGAACTTTACTGCATTAAAAGTTGTGCAGTTATAATCAGTCAATCACATATCACATAGGTGGAAGATTCACACAAACAAATACCATTATTTGATTGTTTTTGCACTTCCGCACATTTTAACTGAGATTATTTTATAAAATTAAAAAATATATTATGTTACATAATTTTATTCCATGGACTAGCAAATCTTTTAAGAAAATTTTAATCTTTTAGTTGGAACAAGGCTGCATATGTTACTTACTATACTATACAAGAGAATTATGAAAACCATCAGTTCATTACTTAACTCTATATTTAATATTTCAGGTTTCCTCATGGGGTGGCTACGTGTTCCTCATAAATCTGATACCACTACATGTCCTCGCTCTGATGATGCTGGGACGATTCTCTGCCCGTGTGTATGTTGCATATAGCACACTATACTGTGTGGGTACTATACTGTCCATGCAGATCTCCTTCGTCGGCTTCCAACCTGTGCAGAGTTCGGAACATATGCTGGTTAGTTTTGCATTTAAGTCAAATTTACCATTTTTCATGTTAAAGTTTCGAGTTTTATATTTCGAATACCTCCATACTACCACCTTTCGAAACTTAATAAATTCGGGGATATGTTAAAAAATTGAAAGAAAGGAGACTCTAGTGCTGTCCAGTTCTTTAAAACAGGTAACAAATAATTATGTACAATAATCTGCTTAATACGATTTCTCAGGCTTTGGGTACTTTTGGCCTGTGCCAGCTGTACGCTTTCGCCCAGTACCTGCGCGCCCACCTCTCCCCAGCCAACTTCGAGTTGCTGTTCAACACCCTCGTCACCACCCTGCTGGCCACTCTTGGCACCGCCGTGGTGGTGCTAACTGTCACAGGTCAGTCATCACCCATCGTCATCTCAGATGATTTTAAATTTTTCGTCTTTTTAATGTGATATGTGACATTGGTGAACCTTTTAAATAAACAAGTGTAAACTGGCAAGTGATTCCTCCAAGGGTCCGTCTGCGACGCCAGCGGGTTGGGTGTTAGTTGCAGGTCTTTAGAAACTTCACTGGAATGAAAACCATTGATAATCAGATGCTCATATTTGCAAAACCTCAAGCTAATGATGATAATCTATTCAATGATGCACATATCTTTAATAACCGCTAGAGTATCTGGTTTCTGATGTAAAACACTTGACCGATCAATTTTTTTTTATGTATGAAAGTGGCAAATGATCTGGCGGTTCACCTGATGTTAAGTGATAACCGCCTGCCGTTGTACATTTGCAACACCCGTAGGGTTGCAGATGCGTTTCAACCAGTTAATAATATGGGCCCCGGCTACCTCACTCACCAGACGAAACGCAGAATTGCAACACTTCTGCTTTACGCTGATCTTCTATGAGGTCGTGGTACTAACCCGGACGTACCTGCCCATTCTTGCAACAGCGAACACTGTTGCGTAGCCTGACCACCGCAAAAGATTCCAATTACAATCTTATTTCGTCGCGGCGATCGTAGCATTCGTAGCATTTTAGGTAAGGTTAGTTATCACTACATCCCACCTACCAGAAACCGGAATATAATAAATAAATAAACATTTAGTGACAGCATATTTTTAATATTTAAAAGATGTTTCAATAAGATCTTTCCGTAAAATTTGAAAGATCTGTATCATAAAAGGCTTTCAATTTGCAGGCAAAATATCGCCGTGGACTGGAAGGTTTTACTCACTGCTCGACCCATCGTACGCCAAGAATCACATTCCTATTATTGGTAAGTTATTTTTAATTTCTTTCATTCCAATAGCTACTTTCATAAGTTACAATTGCATAATTTCGTTGGCATATAGCCAGAGAAAAGATGTGAGAAAAACAGAATCATCAATTGGCTGTATTTCAAGTAATAACTGTTGAAAATTGTATCACCATCTGTTGTCGCATTTATTGGTTCCTTTTATTCCGAATCTGCGACAAACTTGGAAAATAAAATTTGCAAATTCCATGTCTCACAATTTGGCGTGCCTTCTGCATAGGCCTCCTCCAGCTCTCCACTGAGCTCTATCCTCTACTCTGGTCCAGTATGACCAAGGGTAGGCGGATATCGTCTTTCCGTCTCGTTTTCGGACGCCCTTGTCTTATAGTATCCTCTCTTGGGTACCATAAGGTAACTTATTTGCTCCACTGTTAATGTGTTAAACTGATAATCTGACATCTTTGATTAAGATTATTAATCGCCTTATAATGATTACATAATTTTTTATGAAATCTCATTCAAGATCTTGTTGAGGGTGATGTGTCATAAGAACTTCCACTGAGCTTATCCAATATTATAAAGAAATTTACGAAGTGCGCTGAGGCAAATAAAAGAAATGACACTAATAAGTTGATGAATATATAACATGTGTGAGAATTGAGCAAAGTAACTTTAACCAACACCTAAAAATCTGTATGCAAATGTGAGCTGTATGTATTATTCGCAGCGTCTGTCTCCGAGCATCAGCCGACCTCGTGGTCCTCGTTCTATTTCGACCTGCAAGTGCTGGTGTTCCTCTTCCCCGCCGGCCTATACTTCTGCTTCAGCAAGCTGACCGACGCCAACATCTTCATAATACTGTACGGAGTTCTCAGCATCTATTTCGCGGTGAGAGGATGTTGCCACCAATGTAATAATACGATAATGAAATTCTATTCGAATTACCACCGAAAATTGTAAATTGTTGGAGTATATTCAAATAAGACTAAACAGTAGGTAAACAGTACATTTTAGTTGCAATTTTCAGAACTTCAAAATAAAGAAAAAAGTCAATTGCAATAGTTGTTGCAGATTTTTAAGTAATGTAATATTTTAGGGTGTTCTATTTTTTACATTACGTTTTCAAATAATTAAGTTATCATATTTGTTGAAAAAGCTAAATCGTACTTTGTATTAACTTATTATTTTATAGCACAAATATTCAATACTCAATTCTTGCACAAGTACACTATATGGTAGACTATGAATATTAAATTGGAAATACTTATTATCTTTGTATACTGACATGAGGTATTTAATGAGGCAAATGGTAAAAGTTATTCAATAGTTCTTCCATTTACGTAGAAAACAATAATCATGATGACAAAATAGCTTGAGTGTGTTGCAGGCGTTGTCGAGATAACCTCCATTGCCTCCGCATTATGATTCCATACACTTTGATCGCTGACTCTGTTAAACTAATCCTATAAGGACTCTCTTCACACTACCAAACTATTAAGACCCACTTTCTCTTGTCTTGCACAGGGTGTTATGGTCCGTCTCATGCTGGTGCTGGCGCCAGTCATGTGCATCGTGTCGGGCGTTGCCACTTCCAGTCTTCTGAGCCTTCACGTAAAAGACATAGAGCCCAAAGTAGAGAAGCACGATAAGAAGAAGAAACATGAGAATAACCTGGTCTTCCGCTCCGAGGTAAAATCGGCACACAATGCAGTTTTTGGATGAATGTTATTTGTAAAACTTCAAAGAACAAAAAGCTTTCAATTGCATGTGCATAAGCTTTATTACTTTATATATTACTTTTTATATATATTATTAGGTGGAATCGTCGTCTAGGAGTGGTTTAGACTATATTTTTACAACCAGCCACCTGCCCTATGTCAAACCTGCTTGGGAAACAAACACTCAGATCCGTTACAATTATCTGTGGGTCACACAAATACTTGTCCCGCGTGGGAATCGAACTCAGGACCCCGACGCCGAAACCGATAGCTTTGCAACGGCGCCACGTCTTATATAATAATATAGAATAAAAATACGGACTTTAGTAAAATGTGGCAACGCATTTCCAACCCTATGGGTATTGCAAACATCTATCGGTAGCGGTTATCACGTAAACCGCCAACTCGCTGGCAATATACATAAAAGGAAACAGCCATCTACAGCGTCACCAATCATACACGCATAATCGCTATGGCGATCAAGATAATCTATCCGTCCCTCTCTGTCAACCGAACAGGTGGGCGCGCTGTTCGTGTGCGTGCTGGGCTGCCTGCTCACCTCGTACGTGTTCCACTGCACGTGGGTGACGTCGGAGGCGTACTCTTCGCCGTCAATAGTGCTGTCGGCGCGGTCGAACGACGGCTCTAGAATAATCTTCGACGACTTCCGCGAGGCGTACACCTGGCTCAAGATGAACACGCCCGAGGTTAACGCCCGCCCGCGCCCCCTATCGATTGTCTCTCGATGGCGATGCGATTTGCCTCCGCCCCCCTTGCGATGGAACCCGTGTGTTGATAATCCCTCGATGTGGACACCCTCGTGACAATGCGATTTGCTTCGCAGACCTTGCGATGAAACCCGTGTCGAAACGAATCACCTTGACGTAGCACCTGAGCTTTTGAGCAAGTTTATGGTTTCTATTTTATTTTAAAATACACTTCGCCCGTGACTTCACACGACAAAACTGTGATATAAATATAGTTTACTTCCACCGCGTAGTTCCCGTTCCCATCAGAATTCAGTGATAAAATATATTTTATGTTATTCGCTGACAATGCAGCTATCCATTAGTGAAGGATTTTTGAAATTAGTCCAGTAGTTTTTGAGTTAAATCGTAACAAACAAACAAAGTAAAAATCAAATCTTGCCTCTTTATAATATTAATTAGATTGCCCGCACTGTAGGATAACACAAACCTGTGTTGTAAGGATGTTTTAAAGACATAAATTTCACGTGGATACACGCCCAGATACGAGACGATTTTCAGTGAGTTGCACAAATAGTTGTCCCGTGTTGGAATTGAACTCACGACCCCCGTTGCCGGGGCCAATAATATCTTAGCATCTGTGCCACGGAGTTGTCAATAACAAAAAAATATACACAACAATTATTTTGATACGTTAAAGCGTCTGCAAACTAAAAACTTAAAAATTAGCTTGGAGAATTTACCGGAAGCACCGCAATGTCTTTATTTATCTTGATTACCTGATACCTAGAAATTGGCCCCCTGAACAATGCTAGTTTGTTAGGCATGCGATCGTTGTACATACTAACACTACTAAATCATACACGTTTCTTTCGTCAGAAAGCCGGAATCTTGCTCCACCGTCGTAGCAACTAGTAACATGTGGCAACCCAAAACACGTCTGCCTTTGCCCACAGGACGCCAAGGTAATGTCGTGGTGGGACTACGGCTACCAAATCACCGCCATGGCGAACCGCACCGTCATCGTGGACAACAACACGTGGAACAACACGCACATATCGCGCGTGGGCCAGGCGATGGCCTCCACGGAGGAGCGCGCGTACGAGATCATGCGCGAGCTGGACGTGGACTACGTGCTGGTGATATTCGGCGGCCTGGTCGGCTACTCTTCGGACGGTGAGCGCTACCTTTCTCTCTCTCTCTATTACCACGTGGCTAGGTGGATACTAAAGAGGTTACCTTCAAATCTCCTTCCTCCGGGAAGCTTTATTTCCATAGGAGTCGGGAGAGCCAGTGTCGACAAGATGCATCGTTGGCCATGGTTTGTGACTCCGCTGCTCGGAGGATAGGGAAAACGGTGCAACGAAATACCGACACTTCAATGCCCCCATAGCTGCTGCAGCAGTGGGGCTGCTCCTAAGAGTGGCTAAAAGCAAAACCAACAAACTTCTCTTGCCCCGCATTCCCGCCTCGGATGCAGAAAACAGAGAGGCCTCTACCAGCCCCAATCTGTTTCTCACACTCATCCAGCCTTGGCTTCATGTGCATCAAAATCACCACTAAGCCCCTCCACCACAAATAGGCGAGAACTCGGCGGGAAAGGATTATATTCTTAAATACTTATGTATCCCACGATGTGAAGCGTAATACAAATTCAAAGTATTCCTAACATTCAAAAATGATTTTGTCAATTTTGTTTGTCAGGCAAGGTTTCTATACTTTATTTATCTAAAACTTAATATTATATTTTTGGAAAATAGGAGTGTAGTAGTACACTGCAACGGTCTATAAAAGGAACAGCGCTCGCCGAGTTCGGGAAACTTTCTAGTCAGCCGTTGTAGCGTGCGGAAGCTCTACCCGAATTATGCCCGGTACATAACTTCGTAACTTTCATAACGACTCGTTGTAACGACTTCATAATAGCACAATGTATCTAACGGCCGTTCGTTGAATATATATATAGGAACCGGCCTTTAGTAACGATCGTGTAAGTTACTTAGAACTGTAATTCGATTGTCGTTTCTATTTCTAAGTATATAATTTTTGTAATTTAGTTTTTATAATTGATAATTTAACATGCATTACAAGACTTCTCGATTTGCTCTGTAGGCCGTTTCGTAACATAAAACTGCTCTGGGCCCGTAGACATCAACAAGTTCCTATGGATGGTGCGCATCGGCGGCAGCACCGATCGCGGCGCCCACATCCGCGAGTCGGACTACTACACGCCCGCCGGCGAGTTCCGCATCGACGGGGACGGCTCCCAGACGCTGCTCAACTGCCTCATGTACAAGATGAGCTACTACAAGTTCGGGCAGGTTTACACAGAAGGCGGTGAGTTTCAAAACACACTCCACCTGAAGCAGTACTTTTATTACAATCCCCTTTTTTGGGTTTGGTACGGTTTGGGTGGAAAGTCCCCATGACCACTGTGACCTAAAACATTTATACATCATAACATTGTTGTCCTCTTTATTAACTATTTTACGCTGATTGCACAGTTAATTAAGTGAAGCATTGCTAAGCTCTTTTGGTTTTGTCTTGAAATCTTTAATTCAGTCCTTCAGGGTGATACTACACCAGAGGCTTGGAGCAGAAGTGTGGTGGAGCTGTTCTTCAAGAAAGGCGGTAACGCTCTCTTGAAGAACTATAGACAGATTTCCCTTCTTAGCCGCGTCTATGATCTATTTTCATCTTGAGTCGTCTCGCTTCCAAACTCGAAGACTTTCAGTCTCCCAAACATGCTGGTTTCGGAAAAGGCTTCAGTACCATAGACCACATACACAACCTTTCGGCAGATTATACGGAAGACCGAAGAGTATAATCTGCATTTGTGCCCAGCGTATGTGGACTATGAGAATGCCTTCGATTCTGTCGAAATTTTGCGGTAGTCCAGGCCCTTCAGAGATGCCAAATTGGCTGTCGCTATATCGAGGTGCTTAGGTGTTTGTATAACAAGGCTTAGATGTCCGTCAAAATACAGTCTAGTAGTACAAAACCTATCCAAATGTAGAAGGGTGTAATACAGGGTGATGTCATACCCCCGAAACTTCACCGCTGTTTTCAAGCTTCTGGACTGGAAAGGACGCGGTATTAACATCAATGGCGAATACATCACCCGCCTTCGATTTGCCGACGACATAGTCATCAGGGCAGAATTTCTGGAGGACCTTAGTACTATGCTCAATAACCTCAACAGTGTCTCCCAACGGTTGGGGGCCTTAAGATGAACATGAACAAGACTAGGATCATTTCAAACGTCCATATCACGCCTCTACCGGTTGTTCTTGAGAGCACAGAGGGAGAGTGTAAGACGACCCCCACTAGAGTGACGACCAGTTCAAATGTGCGGGTAGTCGATGGATGCAGGTGGCTAATGACCGATCAGGTCGAACTTATATAGATTTCGTTTTAAGTACCATTGCAATTTTGCCTTGATCCCTCCGTCCATCATAAATTTTAATCTATGCGACAAACATAAAGATTGAGTCTATATCTAGACTCTTATCTTTTCTTTGTGCCATCTAAAGGCCCATTTACATGGTGCCAGTTTCTTGCCTTGTTGTTGTATACAATTAAATTGAAGCAATAAATGAGTTGCATGGTCTAAACAACACATAACATTCTTGACTGTTGATTAAGACTTGCTTCAAGTTTTGTTTCAAAACTTTCCTTGGTGTAAACAGCACACACAATAATTTCTTAAGCAATTCTTGTATACAATTGCATTCTCTCTCCCTTTGCAAACATGAGTGCGATAAGTGAGGGTGTTTAATCGTTGCTGTTCTTTTGAGGCAAGAAATATTGGGAAAAGGTCGTAAAAAAAGTTGTACAAAAAATGAATTATAATATATGGATAATAATAAATAAATCTCAATGAAATATATTAAATCGGCATAATCTAACTTGAACGCTAATTATTGACCCATTTTTTTTAAATAAACAGCCCTTTTCAAAACGCTCAACACTTGAATGAAATATTTGTCAACGCAAATACGTGCAATACTTGAAGCAACACGCCAATAAATTGTACACGCACATACAAGCATGTGTTTAGACAAGTCAAAACTTGAAGCAATAATCGTCTAAACATTGCATTGGTGTAAACAAAAGACATTTGCAATTATTTCTTGTCAAGACTTGCATACAATAATCGCATTCCATTTTTTACTATATCTGCGTGTAAACTGTTGCTTACAATTCTTGATGGACAATTATTGCGCGCAATTTATTGCATTCAATTATTGCTCTTGTATGTACAAGAAAATGGCATCGTGTAAATGGGCCTTAAGTCTACCCAGTTAGTATTTAACAAGGGTTTTTTGTATTACGTTTTATCATATAGTTTACGTCGCTTTCAGGTCGGCCCCCCGGTTACGACAGGGTCCGAGCGGCTGAGATTGGCAACAAAGAATTCAACCTAGAGGTGCTAGAGGAGGCGTACACCACAGACCATTGGCTCGTGCGCATATACAAGGTCAAGCCTCTTCCGAACCGCGGTGCGTAAGCTGCCAGAAGACTGTGCCACTGACAGGATCGACAGTGCAGTGTTTATACCGACATCATTCATATACCATAGCTAATTCACAATTCACCTGATAATAATAGAACAGAATAACCTGCACATTTAAAATAAATGAAACACTGTACTATTCCAATTTCATCAGTGTTAATTTCATTTTAAGTATTAGAAGGTTTGAACACTTTTGAAGCCTGACTGTATTTAAGCGACCACATTAAACACAATATTGGTTATAAAATTATACTATTGCACCAATAATATCGGTTGAATAGTATAATTTTTACAGTGGTATGGTACAGTTGTCTGTTTATCTCATATATTCTATTTCTCGAAATTTCAGAGCTTACCATTGGTAGGCAGGTAATGAACTATTTTTTTTTAAGTAAGACATATTTTTTTTTATTTTATGAGTAAAATACTGTTGGTTAGGTCTAAATTATCTCAATTATTTAATTTAGAAAATGTAATTGATAACAGTGAATATTACCTAAACAATCCACTAAAATGTGTTCTAAATATAATATAATTATTCAATGTTGTTATTATAACAAGTTATCTTGTTAATGAATAATATGCCGCGAAATATGAAAGCAATTTTAGGATAATGTCAAATATATATTAACATTGATATATATTTAAAAAAACATATAACTTTATTTACCTTACATGTTTCTCAACTGATAGTTACTTTCATTTTATATTTATTTGGTCTTTTGGTTGTAAGGTTAAGTCAACATCGATGAAAATTCTCTTATAACAAATGAATTTGGTATATCGAACATTTATATAAAATGGCAGTCAGAATGTGCAAAGTTAATTCGGTAGTAAAAGCTAGATTTTATTTAGCCTTCAATTAAATATAATAGAAGAAATTTTAATCATATTAATAATAATAATCATATTATTGCAATTTTTGTTATCGAGGACTGATATAAGATTAAGCGAGAAATAAAAGTGATTTTGATAAAATATCAAAATATAATTATATCTGGAATACCTTAGATAATTTAAGGAGTAAGATATCACATGGTCACTATTAGTAATGAGCACAAATTAATGTCATAAATGTTTTTATATTGCTAACATGTTGAAAAGCCTTAGTGATAACTAGAATTTATGTATTTGCTTCAAGTGTAGTTTTGGTAATAATACTGCCGGATCCTGTATCAGTTTAGATATATTAAAGAAGAGCTGTAAAAATTCATTTATATTTTTTTTATTTGAAATAAATTTTATTAAATACAACTTGTTTTATTACCCACCATAATACGTAACAAATGCAACAAGTATCCAATTTAGAATATATTTGAAGTAACATATAAGTTAAAAGAAACCATTACTGACTTGCTTGTAAAAAGGTTATGCTTCTAAATTTTAAAATTTTCTCATTAAACTTTAAAGTGTCGAAGAGATGTGTTTAGGTTATTGTCTGTAAGTTAAAATGAAATAATGAACATTAAATTTATTGTACTACTTCATCATCTTCACCCTGGTCTGAGCATTCTTCAGGAAGGAATGTATCATCATTGTTATAATTTTGTTTGTTTGGACGGAATCTCTTGTGCGTTCTCTGTTTAGGTTCAGGCCTAATCTCGTCTTCTCTGACTCGGGTCTTCAACTATAAATTTAAATTGATGTTATTAACTTATATATTTACTTGAATAAAATTACTCATAAAAATTTAAATAAATAAACATTATTATTAAAAATAAACAATTATTAAAAATGGTTTACACTATTTAAGTCCATTAAAGATAGTGGTAGTAGACCAAACCTGGACTGTGCTCTGTACAGTTGATTTTTACAAGTATTACAATTTTACGCTCTACAAAAACACTTACTGAGTATTAAGAGTATTCAGAAGTATTCTTCATGGTTCACAGCTTTCTATTTCTTCCTGGACATGGACTCTTACATAGCCAATAAGGACCGTAAATATTATTACGCATAAATATCGAACATCGAGATAGGGCGCGTAATAATTCAGGTTTAGTCTCGCCCAATATTGGCGAATGAATTAAACAATGCCAGAGATGACCGTTCAAGAAGCAAGGTGTAAAATTTATTAAGTCCTTGTACCAATTTTAAAATATTTATGGAATTTTCACTCATCTTGTTGCGAACGGGCTGATCATACGACTTTGTTGACGACTTCTCCAAATGATAGATTAGTAAGTGATCCATGACGGTATTCTACTCGACACAATTGAACATGGTCGAGACCAAAGATGTACTAGCAACATAACATAAGGTGGGATTGGATGAAATCCAACCCACTCCATGCACCCACGCGAGTTTGAGCGTACGGTCTCAAAGAGAACTACAGCGAGGATTAATTAAAGAATCACCTGTTGCATGAGTCGGTATCGCCCAACCCCATCCATGAATGCTTCTTTAAATGCCTTTTGTAGTGGCTTCTTTCGGAACTCTGCACATTGAGATCTAAGAGCCTTTGGTGCATCTTCTGGTAAATCTGGCGATTTTATGAGATGTAAATTTGAAGTTGTAAAATATTATACTTATTACAAAATAATATTATAAATATTTAATTTAAAATGATTATTGAAACTGATGACAGATATCTATTTTCAAAGGTATGAATGACTATTCTGTGAAGAAATGAAACAAGCATACTTTATACTTTACAGTTAGAACTTAGGAGTATTTTTGTTAGTTACTAATTATTCTTGAATTTATTAATATTAGAAAATAATGTGTCTGACCTCGGTGGGTGATATAAGCGATTTTCGCTATATTTTTTACGACCTGCCGCCTGCCTAACGTCAACCCTCCTTAGTAAACAAAGGTCACACAAATACTTGTCCCATAGGGGAGTCGAACCCACAACCCCCGACGCTGAACCCGATAGTTTAGCAGCAGCAACACAGAGTCATCTATATCTTTAGTTGTTTAATTGAAAATAATGTAGTAAAATAGTTTAGTTTTCATATAAGATTTACACTGGAGAAACTACAACGATCTGTTGAACTGGCTCGGGACAGAAGTAAATGGAGACAAAATACATATGGTCACAATCCTCATTACTGAGGGAATGATAAAGAAGAATAAGATTTACACCTACCATCTTCATTGAAACAGTAAGTCTTTGGCCTAACATCATAAACTCTATAATCCAACATGAGTACAATGTGCAACACCACTGGTTCATCTTCCCCCTCCATATCAGTTTCAGCAAAGAATGATATCTCAATATGAGATGTGTCCAATTTTTTGAACAACTGAGCTTCCACATTTAATAATTTCTGCATAGATTGAAAAGAATATCACAACATGTTTACATTTTAAATTTGATATTTTAAATACCAAAAATGACATACCTGTAGTTCTTCAAACTGCTTAAATCTATCGTAATATGCTATCAAAGCCTTTTTAATGGAACTCAGACATGCTGGCATCATTATATTATCAAATTCTTCAGTTACAGCTTTAAAGTTAAAGCCGAGTGGAAAGGAGCACTTTGTTACTTCATTCTTTCCTGTTAAAGTTAGTTGAAATACACAATACTTTTTTAATATTATGGAGTGATGATTTGAGTAAGGCTACAAGCAATTGAAATAAGTGAGCCTTTGGTAAGGCTGACATTCAACAGTGGACTGCTTTTTATCAACACATTAAATTACAGATAGTAACAAAAATATATTATTGATCAATTTTAGGACATTAGGTTCATGCAGTGCCATCATTAAACTTTTTTTGAATTATGGAACTCAAAAGTAAAAAATTCTAATCTGTAGTTAATTTACAGATTTATGAGACTACTACACATTTTAAATGTAGTTGACCAAAGAGAAACTTTTGCACAGTACTGTGCAAACCAACACCAAATGGTAATAAATAAGTTTTATATTATTTAGAAGAATAAAGGTAAAATTCAGTCGTATGTTTTAATTAAGCAAACTATCAATAGATGGCATTATCATTTAAAATAATGTTTGACTGTTAGATGAATATTTGAATATCAGATGAAGTTATGGCATAAATTAAATTATTTAATATATTAATTATTATGGAAGCTATGGCATACATAAAATACCTTTGAGAAATAATATATGGAGATAATGTAAAGTGATCTATGTACTAGTGTTTCAAGTAGAAAATTAAAGATACCCCCCATGGTAATTGGCAATTAGATAAAATATTATTTCGACTTTTTGTTATGAAAAGATCATATAGCAGAACAAAAACAACTAATTGCACTGAATTCATCATGGTAACTCTCAGCAGATGTAATATCTTACCGCCTTTCATTTCAATCCGCAGACAATGTTTCACTTCATATTCGGCATCATGCTGCAAATGGTACATGATGCAACAATGATCTCCTGCTGCATAGGATTGCACTTCCATGCCTGACAACATTGACATTAGTTCCAAGTTTTTCTGAATGCTATGTATAGAGTTTTGCAGCATTATTTTCTACAATATAATAAAATATAGCAAAAAGTGCACAATGTCATAACCTCTTATAAAATATTTGCATTAATATGTTTGCAGCCGTATAGCACATTTTCTTAATATAAAAATTGAAAAATATTTTCACATTTTTCAAGATGAATGACGAAAATTTTCTGAATGATGAAATTTCAAAATCGAACTCTAATGGCCACAAATAACTTACATTTAAAAAAAATGTTTTGTTATGTTGTACAAATATAAAATTATTATTTTTACCTGAGGTCTCACAAAAGCTTCGGGTTTACTTTTAGTAACGGTAGGCTTACTCCTGTATTTATTGCGCTTAATCTTAAATAATTCATTATGTTTTTCTCTAAGTTTTTCTTCTAATTGCTGTATGTCTTCCTGCAATTCCAGTAGTTCCTGAGAATCCTTAGGAAGTTTTCTTCCTAATATATGGATTCGTTATTAGTTTTGTACAGTTATTTTACTGTCGTTACATATGCAATACATTGTAGTATAATAATATAAAATGCAACAAATTCAATCATAAAAATGTATATATAGACTTACCACCGCCTTTTCGAAACAATTTTGTTATTTTTAATTGCTTGGTATTCGTCATAATAAAAAAGGAACTTTTAAAGCAATGCTTTCATTAAAATTTTGATGTAATTATATATACAAGTATTTAACGATACGATACGAAAAAATAATTTATAAACAAACTTTTTTATTTACAACGGTTAAGATTCAAGTTCCACTCCACTTTTCAAATTCAAATTGACAGATAGAATTATTTAGTGTTGCCTTGTAAAGTCCATTTTTTAAAGTTAGTAATTTTTTGAAGAAATCAGTGGAGATGAAGGATATCACACTCGTCTGACAGTCGGCGAGAAATGTCCCCTAATTCTGTTTGATGAATGCCACGCAGATAGCATCGAGCTTCAATTTTATCCTAGTACACAACCCACTAAATATACATAAAAGCCTATACATGTCCCACTACTGGGTAAAGGCATCCTGAATACAGACTTCACATATTTTCGAAATTTTTATTATTATTTCTAAAATATGAAGGTTTCCTCACGATGTTTTCCTTTACCGCTGAGCACGTGATAATTCAGCACTTGAAAATAACAATTTCATTGGTGCGGGCACCGGGGACCGAACTCAGGTTGCTCGATTATATTAAAATAAAGGCGAGCGCCCGGACATTGAGCTATCACGGCTATATTGCATGTTACATTGTTACATTTTATGGCACATTTATTAACTTTAATTTTTATAGTCTTCATTTAGCACCTACCATCTACTTTTCACCATAACAAGGGTTGACTGGTGGAGAATGCCATTAGGCATTGAGTCCGCCCATTGTAGCCATTTGCTTAAGGTGTAGCAATGAAGCTTAAATAAATAAATATTTAACAAGCGGCATGTCGTTCGTGTAGAGCGTGAAAATAGTAAGGCAACAGTCTATATATGTCGCAATGGCCTCCTCTGTACTGACGGTATCAGGTCCACCACGCGGCCCCACTGCGAAGGACTTCACATATCTTCGAATTTTTTTTGTTATTATATCTAAAACGTATGCAGGTTTCCTCACAATGTTCTTCTTCCTCTTTCTTTCTTCATGGCTTCTGTTTAAATTCCTCACAATGTTCTCCTTCACCGCGGACCGCGTGATAAGTCAGCACTTAAAATTAACAATTTCATTGGTGCCGGCACCGCGGATCGAATCGAAATCGATAAGATCCCGGACACCAAGCTGTGGCGGCTCTTGCTTGAAAATGGTGTGAAGTAAATATAGTTCAACTATCGATTGAACCTTTATTTCAGGGGATTTCACCCTTGAAGACCCCCAGTCCCCACCAACCTTGGGTCGTCTATCCGCGCACCTCTTCTGACGAAGCTATCAAACCCACAGGACTAACAGCTCCACTTCAAAAATAAGTACTCTTGGAAAAGGCGTTTAAATCGATGAAAAGATTCTCCCAGAAACATATTTTCACTTGTTTCTATAAAACGCATATAATATTGCATTTAGAAAGCAGTCTGCTATAGTATATATACAGGGAGATTTTTTGAGAAGTGCCCAAATTTACACAGGAGGTTTAGACTCGGTAGTATAATCGTTTATTGAAATAAAAAACAAAGTTTTTTTTCCAAAAAAAAAAAAATGCCATTCTATTCCCTAATAAACAGAACGTGATGACAATGCGGTAGTCATTCATAAATACCTAAATTTTACTGCGCACGAACTTGTGTGCGTGTTAGTTATGAATGATCGCGCGTAAATACACGAGTTGCGTATAAATCACGCACTTTTTGAGATAAGTTCAAATGAATGTAATTAATTACTTACGAGTGATTTTCAATATTTATCATTTTTTATATAGCATTATTTATGTCTAGAATTTAATTAAAAAAATAGAAACACTTAGAAAAGCCACCCACCCTGTATACAGTCTTTAGAAATCTTTAGTAAATAAAAGAAAACTTGTTAAGTAAAATTTATTGCAAATATTTCCCTTATTTATGATAAAACACTTAAAATTCATATTCAAATACAGTTAACGGCATTCTATAGTGTGTTTAAGAAACCTAATAGCTTAGCACTTTCTTCGGAAAGACGACCCTCTTGAAATCTGACCAGCAACCTGTAACAATGAGGATAATTTACAACTATATACTATTTTATTATTATACATATACTATTTTATTATCTATATACTATTTTATTATTTTATTACTTTAATATTGAAATTTCAGTAAAGCAAAAAACATTAATTTGAAAAAGTGTGTGGACAATGGAAGTAAAATGATCATGGAACTGGTGATATTTTTGATTAGCAATACCTAGAGTCGAAATAATCTGCTAATTGTTCTGTTATTTTCTTTTAGAACCCTTACTAAAATAATGTTCTTTGTTGCAAATGTCCTTACCAGTTAATTTTAAGGTATCTCAGCCCACTTATGTGTTATTGTGGTAAGCGATGAAGTAGTCCTTTTTCTAATTTATTCGTTATGCGTAGAAATGAAAGTGGTTATTTGATTTATACCACAAGTTTTTTAGTACATAAAAATCCTATTTTTTTAGAATATTATCTGTAAATAAAGGTATAATGCATAACCTAATTATATTCTGAAGATAGGGACCACGATAAAAATGTAACGATGAGTCAAGGTCACATTACACACCGCTTTTCGTTTTAGAAATCGCACGTTTGATGAAAAAATAAATACTTAAAATAAACCCCCTCCCCCGTCCACTCAAGCCTGACCTGATAAACGTACGGTCACTTCGGTGAACGAAACAATCGACATAATCAACTTTGTATTCTTGATTTTACGCGAACATTAGACACATTCCGACGTTTCTTGAATTAAAAGTCAAAATTAGAACGCGATAAAATCCGTACACGAGTTTCGTTTAATGGCGGCTTTGTAGAAAGGTCACCTCTCTGCGTTGTGCCTGACGGACCATAGCTCCGGCATGTACTTGGGTCGCATCGAGCGGAGGAAGTGCTCTCGCCACAGCCGCTCCAGCTCGAGCAGACCGTCGTGCTTCAAGTAGTACTCGACCACACGGTGCCCGTGCGACTCAAAGTCTGCGTTCTCGAAGCTAATAATAAACAAGTTAAGTATAGTAACAGCCTATAAGTGACACACTACTAGGCAAAGGCCTCCTCTGTACGGAGGGTACGAGGGCATAGTCCACCACACGGCCCCACTGCGGATTGGCGGACTTCACATATCTTTGAAATATTTTTTTTTGTTGTTATTTCGCAAATGTGCAGGTTTCCCCACGATGTTTTCCTTCACCGCCGAGCACGTGATAAGTCGGCACTTAAAATTATCAATATCATTGGTGCTGGCACCGGGGATCGAACTCAGGTTGCTCGAGTAAATTGAATTAAAGGCGAGCGCCCGGACACTGAGCTATCACGGCTCACTACACTAATATTTATTATTATTATAAATTTGACGACCCGAATGGCGTAGTGGGTGGTGTCACCGCACCCACAGCCTCCTGCGTCGGAGGCTGTGGGTGCGATCCCCACCACTTGAAAAATATTGTGTGATGAACATAGTGTTTTTCTGGTGTCTGGGTGTTTATACAGATGATTTTTTTAACAGGTGATTTTTTAGACGAAGTACATACTTTGACATAATGTTAATTGAGCATTTCATAATTCAAAAAAAAAATATTTTATTTTGACAAGAAATTACCAAAATTCTTGTCATATTGGCGGCCATTTTAAATTCACCATCTTGGTATTTAAATTTAATCTTAAATCTCAAGAAGTGAAAAGAGGGAAAAGATCGAGTGGTTATAGGGCTCATTTTTTACGTTAGAAGGTGGTTCACCTGATATTAAGTGATAGCCCATGGGCACCCGTGGGGTCGCAAATGCACTGCAGCCTTTTAATGAAGCGGGCCCCGGCTACCTCACTCACCAATCGAAACGCAGAAGTGTAAATCTTCCGCTTCACGCCGGTCTTCTGTGAGCTCGTGGCACTTTCCTGGACGGACCCGCCCATGCGACAGTAATTAATGCAGCACGCAAATTTTTGTTCCGTGTGAGAGACGAACGCACGACATAGCGCGGAACCACCAGGACATTTCTTCCTGGATATGTCTTATGTGGGCAAGGATGACCTTCTAAACAATAGAGAGAGACAAACGGCCTTACACCACTTGGATGTCTGAAGCGAGCTGCAAGAGCTCCTCAGTGACCTCCTCATATTGGGGGAAATGGGGCAGCACGATGCTCTCCAGCTGCTTGCGCTTGGATTCGGGCAGGACGTGCTTCTTGGTCTGGTAGAGAAGCGCGCGGGCGGCCGATCGCACCTTCCTGCTGATACGTTCATCCGGTTGAAGGGTTTTGGCTGGTGAACCAGCGAACTACCCAAGGATACCCACCGACTACGTTCGTACAACTCCTGCGGACTTATGCCCGGTTCCTATATTCAACGCACGGCCGTTAGTTACATAGCTTCGTAACTTTCATAACGACTTGAAGTTAAGAGTCGTGTACTCCCCGTTCCTATATTAACAAAACGAAGCGATTTCCTTACGAGCCGTTGCATTACCTACGGAAAGTGAGTTACCAGCCTTCCTTAAATCTAACAGTCGTTATGAAAGTAACGAAGCTATGTAACTAACGGCCGTTCGTTGAATATAGGAACCGGGCATTAGTGAAATACTTAAACCGCTCATTTGTATCTTTACCTTCGCTTCGTGTCACCAAGAGGTCTAAACTCCCAAGCAAGGATGCCTCGTTTCACGTGTAACTGCCAAAACTAATTCTATAACAGCTTTGCGCTACGGCATACAAAAGCGGGAAATCTTATGCGATTAAATTCTAAGGGCCTATGATAAGATTTAAGGGCTTGACGTAGACCAGTTTCGAGACTATCGTGACTTTTACTCAGAGAAAAACTTAAATTACCATACTATATATTAGATAGTACTCGCGGATTTTACTTAGACAAAGACCTAAAGTACCATACGTACGTGGCTCTTACTCGGATAAAGAGCTGAAGTACCATACGTACGTGGCTCTTACTCGGACAGAGCTGAAGTACCATACGTACTATCGTGACTTATTTAGACAAAGACCTAAAGTACTACATGACTTTTACTTAGACAAAGACCTAAAGTACCATACGGAGGTGGACGTTACTCGGACAAAGAGCTAAAGTACTATCGCGACTTTTACTTAGACAAAGAGTTGAAGTACCATACGCACTATCGCGGCTTTTACTTTGACAAAGACCTAAAGTACCACTTTGACAAAGACCTAAAGTACATACGTACGTGGCTTTTACTCGGACAAAGAGCTAAAGTACTATCGCGACTTTTACTTAGACAAAGAGTACATACGCACTATCGCGCGGCTTTTACTTGGACAGAGCTGAATCGCGGCTTTTACTTTGAACGGACAAAGAGCTAAAGTACTATCGCGACTTTTACTTAGACAAAGAGTTGAAGTACCATACGCACTATCGCGGCTTTTACTTTGACAAAGACCTAAAGTACCATACGTACGTGGCTTTTACTCGGACAAAGAGCTGGACTTAGTAAAGTACTATCGCGACTTTTACTTAGACAAAGAGTTGAAGTACCATACGCACTATCGCGGCTTTTACTTTGACAAAGACCTAAAGTACCATACGTACGTGGCTTTTACTCGGACAAAGAGCTAAAGTACTATCGCGACTTTTACTTAGACAAAGAGTTGAAGTACCATACGCACTATCGCGGCTTTTACTTTGACAAAGACCTAAAGTACCATACGTACGTGGCTTTTACTCGGACAAAGAGCTAAAGTACTATCGCGACTTTTACTTAGACAAAGAGTTGAAGTACCATACGCACTATCGCGGCTTTTACTTTGACAAAGACCTAAAGTACCATACGTACGTGGCTTTTACTCGGACAAAGAGCTAAAGTACTATCGCGACTTTTACTTAGACAAAGAGTTGAAGTACCATACGCACTATCGCGGCTTTTACTTTGACAAAGACCTAAAGTACCATACGTACTTGGCTTTTACTCGGACATAGAGCTAAAGTACTATCGCGACTTTTACTTAGACAAAGAGTTGAAGTACCATACGCACTATCGCGGCTTTTACTTTGACAAAGACCTAAGTACCATACGTACGTGGCTTTTACTCGGACAAAGAGCTAAAGTACTATCGCGACTTTTACTTAGACAAAGAGTTGAAGTACCATACGCACTATCGTGACTTATTTAGACAAAGACCTAAAGTACCATACGTACGTGGCTTTTACTGGACATAGAGCTAAAGTACTATCGCGACTTTTACTTAGACAAAGAGTTGAAGTACCATACGCACTATCGCGGCTTTTACTTTGACAAAGACCTAAAGTACCATACGTACTTGGCTTTTACTTGGCTTTTACTCGGACATAGAGCTAAAGTACTATCGCGACTTTTACTTAGACAAAGAGTTGAAGTACCATACGCACTATCGCGGCTTTTACTTTGACAAAGACCTAAAGTACCATACGTACGTGGCTTTTACTCGGACAAAGAGCTAAAGTACTATCGCGACTTTTACTTAGACAAAGAGTTGAAGTACCATACGCACTATCGCGGCTTTTACTTTGACAAAGACCTAAAGTACCATACGTACGTGGCTTTTACTCGGACAAAGAGCTAAAGTACTATCGCGACTTTTACTTAGACAAAGAGTTGAAGTACCATACGCACTATCGCGGCTTTTACTTTGACAAAGACCTAAAGTACCATACGTACGTGGCTTTTACTCGGACAAAGAGCTAAAGTACTATCGCGACTTTTACTTAGACAAAGAGTTGAAGTACCATACGCACTATCGCGGCTTTTACTTTGACAAAGACCTAAAGTACCATACGTACGTGGCTTTTACTCGGACAAAGAGCTAAAGTACTATCGCGACTTTTACTTAGACAAAGAGTTGAAGTACCATACGCACTATCGCGGCTTTTACTTTGACAAAGACCTAAAGTACCATACGTACGTGGCTTTTACTCGGACAAAGAGCTAAAGTACTATCGCGACTTTTACTTAGACAAAGAGTTGAAGTACCATACGCACTATCGCGGCTTTTACTTTGACAAAGACCTAAAGTACCATACGTACGTGGCTTTTACTCGGACAAAGAGCTAAAGTACTATCGCGACTTTTACTTAGACAAAGAGTTGAAGTACCATACGCACTATCGCGGCTTTTACTTTGACAAAGACCTAAAGTACCATACGTACGTGGCTTTTACTCGGACAAAGAGCTAAAGTACTATCGCGACTTTCACTTAGACAAAGAGCTGAAGTACCATACGTACTATCGCGACTCTAATTCGGACAAAGAGCTGAAGGGGCTTACGTACTTGGACTCGACGTCCTCCTTGTACTTGCCGTCGGGGTGGGTGCTGAGCGGCGCACCGCAGTCAGCCGCCAGACGCTCGCGCACCGCCTGATCGAGCGCGTTGCTCCGCTGGTGGCAGCCGACGCAAAGGAGCACCACGTCATGGGAGGAGTGCTCCTTCATTATCTCTGCGCCTCGTCAATGAAACAACACGATTTTATCTGTGGTCGTATTTCCAACGTATTCGTGTCAAACTATTTAAAAAAAATAATTAAGTTTCGTCCGTGAAGTCAACCTTAGGCTCCATTTGAAAATCCGCGCTGAAGCACAAATAGAACTGCAGCATTTTGCTGCAATGGAGTTCCGATTTGATGTCACAATAGTTATTTTTCTGTTTATGTTTTGAATATGTATTTTTTTTAAGTGATGTCAAACAAAGAGATTTTCTTTCTTTCTTTCTTCTTTCTTTCTAAAAAAACCCGCTGAGTTTCTTTCGCCGGTTCCATGTGAAAAGTTGCCAAACGAGCAGATGGTTCACCTGATGTTAAGTGAATACCACCGCCCATAGACATCTGCTACACCCGAGGGTTTGCAGTTGCGTTGACAACCTTTTTGGAAATTGGGCTCCGGCTACCTCACTCACCAGACGAAACGCGAAAGTATTTGTCATACTTCCACTTTAGGCCGGTCTTCTGTGAGGTCGTGGTACTTACCCGGACGAGCCTGCCCATTCGTGCAACAGCCGAGGCTGCTGCGTGGCTCTACCACCGTTATATAGTATCCTCCTCATCAGTATGTACCTATCCTCTCAGTACAGGGGCTTTCTTATCCGACCCCGGTGGCAGTATTTTGACTATCATTAAGCGAGTGTGATACTCCTATGTTCAATAAAGACATTTGATTTAGTAGGGACGCGCAACAGTCTTCGCCGTTGCTCGAATGGGTAGGTCCGTCGCAAGTATTACAACCTCGGAGAAGACCGGAGAATTGGTAGTGTTACTCAGCGTTGGTGAGTAGGGCAACCGGGGCCCACTTTATTGTAAGACGAAGAAAAGAAAAAACGAACCAGTCCGGATGGGCGCAGTCATAATATTCAAGCCAACTTGTTGCTATCTTAGATGCGAATAAAAATCCGTTCGCACTTCAACGTTCAGCTGTTGTTGATCGCATGTTACAGATCGCCAGTGCAAGATGACTTTAATGCTTGGCAAGGTACGTGCTACCGGTCAAGTGTTATAACCGCACTTGAGCGGAGGTAATCACTTAATATCAGTTGAACCGCCTCATCGGTTGGCGTCATTAAAAAAACTGTTATTGTAACCTTACTTCCTGGCTTAAATAAAGCATACTCGGCTGTTGGCAGGACTGACATTTCTTCCGGGGAAGTATGTACCACGGCCTCGCGGAAGAACAGTGTCAATTTATACATTGTAGTATTCATGCTTTTGCGTTTAATTGGGTTAGTGAGGTAATTGGGGAATCACAGACTTAGGTCGGCTACGTATCTGCGAGCGGATGTCCATTGGCAATGGCGTCACTTTTAACGCTTACTGGTATCGAATTTTATGAAAATCCGTTAAGCACTTTGTTTCTCTAAAGCATTTAGATTGTGCACACACTTAAACACTTTTGTCCTTCACGCTAATTATTGTGTTTAGAAATGTATTTATGATCACTAAAATTATTCGACTACATTCTCAGCCAATACAAAAACACACATTTTATGAATACTCGTACTACTAAATTTTGTAAGCTTGTTTTGTTCCATCGTATTTACAAACGCTCATTAAATGAAATACGTAACTGCGAATATATTATTTTGGAAAAATATAATGGTTCCTTACTTAAATTATAATAGATTTTTTTACCGAGAGTTAAATTTCAAGGGCACCTCGGCGTTTACGCACATTTCGTTACACGAAAAAAAGAAAGATATAACTCGGAGATAGAGAGAACGACGATATATTCTCCATACAAACCCATATAATAAGATTTTTATAACGCACGCGTCAGACGCTATATTTGAACAGCTGAGGTACCACACGTTGTGTAATTAATATGTATCATCAGGGCCGGATTTAGGGGAGGGCAACCGGGCGACAGCCCTGGGCTTCCACAGATGAGGGGCCTACAATAGAGACTTCGGAAGAAAAATTCAAATTCAATCTAGTTAACAATAGTAAACAACTTTTCCTATCAAATTTTTTTTCGCGTTTTACTTTTACCCGCACTACTTGTACAAACATGATTAAATTAAATATTAACGGAAATCAATAGAAAATAATTCAGGGCCAAGGGGCCTCCACTCCTTCGTTGCCCCGAGGCCTCCAAATCTGGCCCTGTGTATCATTGTGTTCTGCTATTATAAAGAGGTGTAACTTCTGTCGCGTATTATCTATTACATCCCGATTCTAGATATTCAATTTCGGAAGCCGCGCAGACCTGGGAAGTACCGCCTGTACTCGCGGGGCACCACGTTCTTCCTGATGTAGGAGTTGTGGCCGCCGCAGACCACGCACTTGTTCTCCTTCGTGAGCTGGTAGTAGCGGCCCACGTCGCCCACCGAACGGCCCGCCGGCTCGAAGCGGAGCCGGACCGTCATCGGGTCCAGGCTCGCGAGATCCGCTAACCCCTTCTCCACATACCTGAGGGGATCATGCGAAGTTGGAGTTTCAGTTGGAGGATCAAGCGACGTCGAGTGATAACCGCCGCTAGGGATGGCGAAAAGATATTTATTTATTTATTTATCCTTTATGCACTAAAAGTACAAAGGCGGACTTAATGCCGAAGGCATTATCTCCCAGTCAACCTTAGGGTGGTACAGAGATTAGGTAGGTGCACAGAAAGACAAATTATGTTATTATATATATAATAACATTATTTGTCTATATATGTATATTAAATTTATTATTTTAATTTAATATATGTATATTAAATTATTATATTATAAGATATTATTGAGGCTAAAATATGTTTATGTCGTGTAGTGAAATATCATATTGGCATGTACGTGAGACAGTCAGTTGCTCAATAAACCAGCAAGCTGCAACGCGTCTTTTTTATTTAATTGATCCCGTTCACTGTGTACAGTCCATTCTCAACTCTAGTAGTTATTCGGACGACGTACCCTTTCGTGCAACAGCCGAGGCTGCTGCGTGGCCCTGCCTCAGTTGCAGGCCTGTGGCCTACGTGTCTTTAATTACGAACTCCGAGGTTATGTCCCTACACTCAGGCGAGCCTCTACTGGCTACGGCCAGTCGGTTATCGACAGGGTGCCGGTCAATTATTTATGGCCAGTTGTATAAGACCAACGACACGGCCCAAAATGGCGGAATGCCGCGTAAAAGAATACGCGCGTCAGAAATTCTGTCTTCACTTCACTCACAAATATCGTGTAAGGGAGGGGGGGGAGGGGGGGGGGGGGGGGGGGGGAGGTCTTAAACTTGCTCCGGCGTAAATCGCTGGCTGTTTCGCTACGAATATACTTAGGCGTATAGTTTCAAACGGCGTTGTCATACAGATTTTTACGTAAGTTGTTTTTTTATTTAAAAAAAAAAAAAAAAAACTCCAAAGCGGTTCACGCCGCACAGTTAACGAATACATAGGCATAGTTAACGTTATACGTTCATAATTAACGAATACATAGGCATACTCGACATCCGCCGATGTTACTACCGGAAGGCGGTAATAAGCCGATGAATCCCGCAGTTTTGTTAACGTGCGCACGTCCACATGCATGACTTGCCTTGGGCACGGCTTAACTGAGAAGAGAGCTTACTCCCATCTCAAAGGCTGGCGACGCAATTGTGACTCGTCCGATGTTGCAAGTGTCCATGGGCGGCGGCGATCGCTTACCAGCAGGTGAGCCGCTTGCCTGATTGCCTCCTTGTTCCGTGAGAAACCGGTCAAGTACGGGTCGAACTCGTACGCCGAGTTTTCCGTACGTGCCCGTTATATCGCCATAATAAAATTGGTAAATAAATACCACGATTACCACCGATTTTCTCAGGAACGGGTGGACCTAGCAATTTTATACCAGATACTGAGGTCTATAGTCCCTATTGGGTGTGGGCAAATTAAGGTTTTCGCGTAGGTAGGTCCACCTGTTACTGAGAAAATCGCTGGTGACATATGGACAGACAGACGGACAAGTGCGTGATGTTATAAGGTTTCGTTTTTTTACCTTTTAAAGTACGGAACCCTAAAAAAGACTGGATATTTACCTTTTCACGAGCTCTATGCCGATTGAAGCTCAGTCTGTATAACATAACAATAATCACCATTCGGCCTTCTTGACGTCGCAAGTGCATAACAGCTCTCCGTCGGGGGCCAGCAAGAAGCAGTTGTGGTACAGCGGCTTGGTGCGCAGCGCGTGAAGGTACCGTCTGCTCGCTCTGACCTCCTTCTCCTGTTTCCATTTCTTCACCTTTTTTCTTTGGGCAAAACATATAATTAATAATTAAAGATCAGAATTCCATAGATAAATATATTAAAAAAATAATAAATATTTCGGGACATATAGCCAGGCGGTCAAATTACTTATAGGTACTTATAGCCAGACGATTAAATTACTTCTTTCAACTATAGCAACTGCTATCAAACAATAATTTTCATCTAGCGATTAGGTTAACATTCGATTGTATTCAAACCTAAAAAGTCCCACGATAAGTTCCACAGATAAGCGAGTACCGCCGCCCATGGTCACGCCCATTTGTTTCGAACATTCGAAAGACCACGGCTATCACACTAGCGAAACTCAAAAGTTTAGTACTGCCACCACGCACCGGGTATTTGAGGCCGTGGTACTTAATCTGACCGTATGTGCAACAGTGAACGCTGCCAAATGGCCCTACAACAGTTTGCTGTTATCGTCGCACAGTGCGTCTGCGATCCTTACGTTCTTTCGTTCCTCCAACTGGACGTCGAGTACGCTGTGAAACCAACATCGGCGAACTTTGAACAGATCTCATTGATATCGCTCCAATTTGTATCGTCGCCCGTGATGTTGAACCACTTCCAGAGGCAGCCGTGGTCTCGGTCGACGAGGTTAACGAAGATCTTGACGGCAACGTGCGCGTCGGCTGCCGCGTATTTTATTTGGGTTTCCGTCAACTCCTGTGCCTCCCAGTCACTGCAGCGAACCTGCAAATGGAGTTCATTTCTTACCATCAAATAATTACAACGAGGGAGTAATGCAAAAATAGGTTTTATACATTGTATATTGTATATAGCCATATTGTATATATACATTATATATTATATAGCCTTTTATAAAAAAGCATTAATATCTACATTCATACAAAAATGAAACCTAAGTTTCTTTATATTAAGTCATAATTAGTACCTTAGAAGCAAAATCCATCCCTAAAATTGGTTCTAGTGATTACTTTACATGATAGGTATCAAAGGGGCATAATGCAGGTGTGTTGCAAACATTTCTGAGGATGATTATGGTATTTCTAAAATTGGCTATTTAAAATGTAGTAAGGTTAAAAATATATTTTATCAATGATGTAAACAATGCATAAAGATAAATTATATGTATTACTGTGTCAACTAAAAATTTGTAAAAATTGATTGTAAAACCTTACCCTCCAACTCTTGTCTAATATTATCCTAAGATGCGATTTTGCTAAGAATGCCAATCCACCAGGTACATGTCCAAAAAATCTGACTATATGTCTCAAATCAAGGGTCGACCTTATTGCCACTGAGTAATCTAGCAATAAATATTTTGCATCGTCGAATGGGGCAACACCCACTTTATATATTGAATCATCTTCTAGAAATTCCTGCAAAATAATAATAATTTAAAGAATAGTAAATATGGATTTTGCAAAACTAATGAAATAACATGCTTGACCTGTTTTATTTTCAGTCACATATTTTCACACATTATTTATTCATTGAGTTTGTTGCACAAACTACTCAACCCATTTAAAAAACAAACAATATCCAGGTATTCTTCAAATGTAATTCACACATTCAAAAATGCTTTTGATAATAAAAAAAAAACAATAACATAATGCAAAAGATAACAGTAAATTGCAATTTTAGTTTAAATTAGGCCATTACAAAAGTTTTAACATTTTAGTGGCAAATCCATTATATACTTGCAAAAGCATAAAATAATATATTAAGAGGCATATTCCTTTCAATAGTTTAAGCAATACACATGCAAATAACACAACAAGCACCTTTAAGGATTGTGGTATAGTCTTTAACTGACAAAGTCTGAATAATCCACAGTAGCCATCAAAAGAGGACAGCTGCAATAAAGCAACGGGTTGCCTCTTACCCCGGACAGTAACCCATTCACAGTCAAATCCAATAGCTTTATGCTTTTTTATCCTCCTGAAATTGTCAAAAAGTAATAACCATTGATGCATTGTAAAAACACTAAATTTGATAAGTATAAGTCTTTAAAACATGTGTAGAAAAAGTACGAAAATCTTAACGCCTTCTTTCTACATTGTTATTTAGCATTTGAAGCAATGCTTGGCGCATCTATTGTTATATCCTTTCCAGCATACAAACAATTTCGAATATCGTTTTACAACGACAATTTGAACGAGAGATGTCGCCATTGCTTTTATAAATTTTAAAGTTTTTTTTATAGTGCTAATCTCTGCACTTAAGATTGAACATTAAAACATTAGCTCAGTGGCTAGAGCATCAGGCTGCGAATGCCGAAGACGTGGGTTCTATTCCCACAGCGGCGACAATCTTTTCGTACTTTTTCTACATGTTTTAATGTTCAATCTTAAGTGCAGAGATTAGCACTATAAAAAAAACTTTAAAAAGTATAAGTCTACTAAAAGGGTTTAATAACTTTTATTTTTAATGAGAAAAGGCAATGGTAGCTAACAAAGTTACTTTACTTTGAATGGTGTTTTTCATTCAGTTTGTTGACTATTAAAGCTTCATTAAATGCAGAGCTCATGGGATCTGCTATCCTTAGCTACATTGATACAGCCCTCGGTTTTGGGTGGGACCACACATGTGCTCATGCATATATTATCTAATGTTCATAGACTATTGAGGATCCATAAGTTCCAATCAACACAAGTATCCCTTTTTCTGTTATTTTAACTACACCAGTACTGGTACAACTTTCTATAACTGTGTTGTCCAGTCAATGTGTAAAACATTCAAGTTTGTCCTCTAAAAACAGATAAATTGTAAGTCAAACAAAGAATATGGTTTTATTTTTTTGTCAATGATTTCCGTAATGATCAGGGAAAATAATGGACACATAGTTTGTGAATGAAAGATACAAGGGAGCTAGGTATTACAACAAAGGTATCTTTTGTTTTCTCATTTAACAAGTAAGTCACAATAACTACTTACAAGCCCTACCTTTGCCTTTATGGCAAACAATTTTAATAGTGACTTAAACTTTTTTTTATAAATGATAAAAAAGTTATGGCTCCCTTACCTGGAAGAGCTATATCTCCCTTTTCTATTCATTCCAATTAAACATAAGAAACCCAGAAATTATGACAAAATTTCTAATATTTAAAAGTGGAAAATACCTTCTTAATTCATTCACAACTCTATTGCATGAATCTTCAGTTGTTACATTATTAATTGTCAAGTATGGAAGTGCTTCAACAGCGTTATGATATTTTAATTCTTCTTCTTCTTCTAAGGCAGTTGAATATTTTAATTTATATCGCATTATCAAAATTGTCAATCCCGCACAACCAACAGCAAGGGCTGTTGATATTATTACAGGATTTAGTCTTGATACTGAATCCATCGCACAAAAGTCCACAGTTATCTCTCTTAAGCGTTTTGAAAACTGTTAAGTAACAATAACTAGAAGAATCAAGGGAGATCAATCCAAATAAATTCAAATAAGTAAATAAAAATAAAATTACATTTAATTCATAGATAATGTTGTAAAACCTCTAAAATTACGGTTTTCACTAATATAACACGTAACTTATGTTTATCTACTAAATAAAAGTAAAGAAGCACATGTAAAATAATTTACCATGATGTAAATAGTAAAATAGTATTTGACAATTTTTGACATTAATTGACCATTTGAAGTAGTAAGTAGGAGTAACATAGAGTCTAGTATACTGTAATGATTACTGAACATAAGTAATTTTTATTCTTAATATATATTAAATATATTTGTGCTGTATCCTTTATATAATATTCAGGTATGAATGATATACATTAAAAATACATGAAGTTACATTATATCATGCTATTGACGACATTGATATATGACACACAATATATTTAAAAACTGTTTTTTTTTAACTATAAATTAAATTTATTCCTCAATATTTGAAACACGGTAAAACTATACTATATTCAAAAGTGGACTTTTTAGTAGTTTCTTATGTGTATTAAAAATTTTTTGGCATTATGTTTATGTAAAAAGACTTACTTTATAACAATATTGAGTTAAGAAAATAACATCTGTCAAACCGCTATCAATGTTGCGATTTGCGATATATGTTGGCGGAAATAATTAAATTGAGTTTGTTGTTTTTGTTGACGAATACATTGCATTGTAATGGCACGTGATAGAAGTCCGGAGCGCCGTCGATCACGCTCAAGAGATAGACGTGACAGAGATCGCCACGATGATCGAGAATCTCATCGGGATAAAGCTAAACGCCGTGACCGGTCCAGGAGTCCACGAAAAGAACGAGACAGATCACGAAGCCCTCCAAGAAAGGATAGAGATCGTTCAAGAAGCCCCCGTAAAGATAAAGATCACTCTAAAAGTCCATCGCGAAAAGATCGCGGTCGATCCAGAAGCCCAAAGAAACGCGACGCAAAAGAGAAACTTGAAAAGGAAAAACGTAGTGATGATAAAGATAAGTATAAAAGTAAAAAGGAAGATGACAAAAAAGAAAGTGATGAAAAGCAAGAAGAAAAAGAAGAAGAACAAAAACCTATAAAGAAGGAGCCTTTGTCGTTGGAAGAACTTCTTGCAAAAAAAAAAGCAGAGGAAGAAGCGAGAAGTAAACCCGTATTCTTAACGAAAGAGCAGAGAGCTGCTTTGGCTCTAGAGCGAAGACGTGAACAAGTGGAAGCCATGAAAGCTAATGCTATTGAGAGGCCTGCCATAGCTACTATCGATTTAACAGGATCATCTAAGAGAGACGACGATAGGAGATACAGAGAAGAAAGAGAAAAGGAGCGTGAAAGGGAAAGGGAACGCAAATATGAAGAGAGAAAGAATGCTTCGGATAGAAGAGATGATAAGAAGGAGAAAAATGAAGAATTAAAAAATAAAGACAAAGAAAGAGAAGAAGAAGCCATTAAAGCTCGCTATCTAGGAATTATTAAGAAAAAACGCAGAGTAAGAAGGTTAAATGACAGAAAATTTGTTTTTGACTGGGATGCATCTGAAGATACATCCAATGATTATAATGCATTATATAAAGAAAGACATCAAGTGCAATTCTTTGGTCGTGGGCATATTGCTGGTATAGACATTAAAGCACAGAAGAAAGACCATAGCAAATTTTATGGGAACCTATTAGAAAAGCGTAGAACTGAATTAGAGAAGGAACAGGAAAAGATGAGGTTGAAGAAAGTTAAGAAGAAAGAAGACAAACAGAAATGGGATGACAGGCACTGGTCTGAAAAGGACCATGAAGAAATGACTGAGAGAGACTGGCGTATTTTCAGAGAAGATTATAACATAACCATTAAAGGTGGGAAAATACCTAATCCAATAAGATCCTGGAAGGAAGCTGGCTTCCATCAGGACATAATGGAAATAATAAACAAAGTAGGCTATAAAAGTCCTACACCGATTCAAAGACAAGCAATTCCCATTGGTTTACAGAATCGTGACATTATAGGCGTAGCTGAAACTGGGTCAGGAAAAACTCTTGCTTTCCTCATTCCATTACTGACTTGGATACAATCATTGCCAAAGAATGAGCGCTTAGAGGATGCAGATCAAGGCCCTTATGCTATTATACTGGCACCAACCCGTGAATTGGCACAACAGATTGAAGAAGAGACAAATAAATTTGGTATACCTCTAGGCATTACGTCCGTGGTTGTGGTTGGTGGTTTATCCAGGGAGGAACAAGGATTTAAACTTAGATTGGGTTGTGAAATAGTTATCGCCACACCGGGTCGTTTAATAGACGTTTTAGAAAACAGGTACTTGGTGTTAAACCGTTGTACTTATGTTGTCCTTGACGAAGCCGATCGTATGATTGACATGGGTTTTGAACCGGATGTACAAAAGATCTTGGAATATATGCCTGTATCTAATATAAAGCCTGATACAGACGCTGCTGAAGATGCAGCAGTGCTGCTTGCAAATTACAATACTAAGAAAAAGTACAGACAAACTGTCATGTTTACAGCAACCATGCCTCCAGCAGTAGAACGTTTAGCAAGAAGTTACCTGAGAAGACCGGCAATAGTTTATATTGGTTCAGTAGGCAAACCAGTTGATAGAACTGAACAAGTTGTGTACATGATTGGCGAGAGCGAGAAACGTAGAAAACTGACAGAGATACTGCAGCGTGGGGTTGAACCTCCTATCATTATATTCGTCAACCAGAAGAAAGGGGCAGATGTGCTGGCAAAAGGTCTGGAGAAGCTTGGCTTTAATGCATGCACTCTTCACGGTGGCAAGGGACAGGAGCAGCGTGATTTTGCATTGGCCAGCCTCAAGAATGGTTCCAAGGACATTTTGGTGGCTACCGATGTCGCCGGTCGTGGTATTGATATTAAGGATGTCAGTATCGTTATTAACTACGACATGGCAAAGTCTATCGAAGACTATACACATCGTATCGGTCGTACAGGTCGAGCAGGAAAAACTGGTAAAGCAATCTCTTTTGTCACTAAGGAAGACTCAGCTGTGTTCTATGATCTTAAACAGGTACTGCTCAGTAGTTCTGTTTCCACATGTCCTCCCGAACTTATGAATCATCCAGAGGCTCAACACAAACCAGGAACTGTTGTCACGAAGAACGAAGAGAAGAAATGATTTTCGCATAAGTAATGGTTTTTATCTTCAAAGGTATTTATTTGAAATAAAACGGTACATTGATATTTATTTGTTTAATTTTTGTTTTTCATTTTATTACACTGCAATAAATATTAAACATTTAGTATTGGTTTAAAGTCGGAATCAAAAAGAAACATAAAAATGATATATTTTCAATTCGAAAATGTATTCTTCTGGCCTTACTAACTCCTAAGCATTATTTTAATTTAAATTATCTGTGCCCGTACTTTTATAACGATTTTTTGTAGTTACGCAAATCCCCATATAAAATCAATTTGATTTACATTTTTCCAAGGAATCTGAAAATAACAAACATTATTAAAACGCGTGAGGAATTATTATTTTTCACAGAAAAAAAGCCAAGCAAGGATCTAGCAATAAGGCTATGATGTCATATATGAACGCGACTTTTGAATAAGTAATTACAACTTGTTTCTTTTGTCAATAATTGTACTAAGTATACTATTCATAAATAAATAAGTTGGTTTGTCCTTCTTTCATTCCACATTTTTTTTGTGCCTGCAGAATTGTTAATGGCCAGTGAAAACATTTAATTTTGAATTTTATATGTAGGTGTTAAAAAATAAAGATGTCAGGGAGGTGAACCAAATAGAAATAGGAGCACTTAATAAGTTAAAGCCCAAATGATGTTTTTATACTTATACCAACTTTCTCAGAAAGTTGAATGATTATATAAATATGCTATGTCTACCATATATTTATTTCATCCTAATTGAAAAAAGGAGGTTCTCAATTCGTTTATAATTTTTAAAGTTATATTTATTGTGGCGCGTTTGGAAAAATTTACGAGAGTAAAATTTTGTCAATAAGTGAAGATCAACCCTCAAAAAGCAACATGGTTCCAAGTTAAATGTTTTGTTAATAAAAATGTATTTCTAGAAACCATCAATTTATGCCAATATGAAGTTTGTTAATAATAGGTATCATTCATAACACACTTAAATATTAGTGAAGATGCCCATATTTGTGTGAAAGTCATTGTAATGGAAAAAAGTTATGAAGACAATAAGATATAACATTTGAAGCAAGACAAGCAACAAAAAAAGAGCAAAGCAAGAAATCATCAAATAGCCAAACATGCAAGAGGCTGAGTGCTGCAATTTGTACCTATTCTTTACTATCTGAAGATTTCCGGTCACTTGTATCTTTAGACGGTGGAGGCATTATAGCCTGCTTAGCGGAAATGGCAAAAGAAATTGTCAAATCAATGAATTCCGAGAAGTTCTTTGGAAAAGACAATTCAGGGAATTTCACTTCAAGTTGTGGGTCGCCAGGCTTCACTGATAAAAAAATATTAAATGTCCATCAGTTTCAGCATTTTGATAATAATACCTATATACACCAAGTAATATCTGTTTTCTTCAATGCATAATAAGGACTCTACTAAATGTATTGTACAGTTGATTTTGTTTGAAACAATGTATTTCCTAACAATACTTACCTCCATATAGAAAATTATAAGCAATATTTATGTATTGTTTAGCTAAAGCACCATTACTCTTGAAAAGGTCTTTAGTTTCTTCAGGGAAACATATTGAACCCATTGCCGTAGTGCCCACACCAGCATAAAATACCCTCTGAAAATAATATTAGATGTATTTTATACATATCACATTATGCAATAAAATAAGCAATAATGAAAATAAAATTAAATACAATCATTTATTGAAAAAATTAAAATATATTTAATAAAGCTTACTCTTATTATGCCACCTCTAAGGCCAAATATAAATCCTGTCAGACCCCCCATAGCTACTGCTCCATATCTCATTTGTTTATTATCTTCTTCTCTTAAATACTGTACAATCCCTGTGAAAATAGAAAATATTTACCTTTTTTTAAGCCATAAATATTTTGTTAAATTAATTGAAAAATCATTGTAATCTAAGATGAGATGTTGAATATAATTAATAATATAAAAATAACTAACATTCACTTCTATCACGGATTTCATGATAATTATCCTTAACAGTATGCAGAAGTGACTCAGTGTGAGCAATGCCAATTTCAGCTGTTTCCCGGACTGCTTTCACAGGTGGCTGAATAACTGTTTTTAAATAGCTGGTTTTTCTAGGATTATGTTTTTCTTTTATATACCTGTAATAACCGAAATATAAGTAACATTTCATTTAAGATGATAATTAATTTTCGTTTGAGGTGTATTAAAATTTTTTATTGAACTCTAAAGTTGCAAAGTACTAAACTTCCAAAAATATTTAATTGAAAGCCAAAGTTTTTTAAACATTAAAATTTATAACATTTGGAAAGCAAATGAACTACAAAATCTAACACAAAAGATTCCAGTGTTAAGGACACCACAGTAGACTATTTATCTTATCTTAGTTAAGAACGAAATTTTATTAGTGTTAAATAATTCTTAAATTTCTAAAACATATGTAATAAATGACACCCATACTCTCCATATTCAGCATGTGGCGCTTCATATATAGGAAGTTCGGAAAGCCGCATTGGTGGTGGTTTTATAGGCTCGCTAGGGCTCTCCGGTACCGGAGTAGCCGCGCTGATTGTAGGTATCAACGAAATCGCCCCCGTGCCTATCACTAATTTTCGGAGCATCTTTAATTGAAAAAAATAATACGTTACTTAGGAAATTACATTAAACACTATGATGTATCATTCTACTCATCTACCATACCTTGAAAGTTCTCTAATTTACAAATTACATGAATTCTTATACTACAAAAATGAAATCTTTGCGAATCAGCTGCTCAACTTGACACATGTCACATTACATAATTTTCATAGTGAAACAGACGATAGTAGGTAATTTGATTGATGATAAAGTTTAGATGCAGATGTCCTATTTTTTGTAGAAGTGTAGTTCGTTGTTAGCTTTGACCGCTTCATTCGAGGAAGTCTGCAGGTAAATGACCCAATGATCTTGTATGAGACCCAATGAGTTAGACCCACTGACTTTTATTCGCAGACTCGAGTCGAGATAAAACAGAAATAGTACACGTTGACTACGTCGTTAACTATGAATTTAATTTGAATTTTTCATCGATCAATTCAACTAAAAACTCACAACTAAACAGGAAATGAGAACTACTAAGGCGATGAAATGCGTAAAAACTCGCCTGGTACCGCTAATGCGAGCGTCGAGTAAAACGACGCTAGGCCGCAAACATAGATAAGACATATATACTGGGCGCAAAGTTCCCTTACACAAAACATGTATTTACTTTTCGCATTATGACATATTACATATATAGTATCTGTTTTACGCATGTCCTCGCTAATCATTTGAAACTGCTTCAAGATATCCAAAACTTATCTTCGTAGTCCCACCGGCACCCCATGATGTATGCAGCTGTTCTTGAAGGTCCCTAAGTCGTACGACATCAATAAGACGCTTTAAAAGCATCAATATCCAGTCAAGTCCGTTAAATAAAGCTTTTAAAATCCATCCCGTACACCCTTAAACCGTAAATCAGAGTGCTATGAATGTGATAGATTAGAACAATACATTTTACTTCTTCTTAGTCGTTCCCTCGCTTCTGAGAATCGTGACTTATATTCAATTGGTCTCTTTTGATATCAAGTCTGACCTATTTGATTTATGTATTATGTTTGAATTACTTTAAATTTGGAATGTTAGTTTTATTTGTTCAGACTGAATTTTGTCATATTTGATAGATTCCGTAAAAATCGTTTGAAGATGTAACATGTGTAGCTATCTGACATAACTCCTGTATTTTACATAAATTCCATAATCATTACGTTTCGTTAAAAATAAGTTCAAAATGTTTAATTTCAAATAAATAGTTTTCTTATTAGTCCTTAAGTATCTCTTTGATTTGAGAGCGATCCCATGAGCCACATCCACCATTCAAGAGAATATGGCCAAAATATCGCATTTTGCGCTGTACTTGTAAGCAGACTGTGTACAGGCGCTGAGCATTTTCTATTTTAAGTTGGAGATGTTTGTGCGACGGGTATTCGTCCATGGTATTCGCAGCACGGCAAACACCACATTTCAAGGGCGTTTATTCTTTGTACATCTGTTGCCTTGAATGATAATCAATTAATGAATAGAAATCTAACATTCAAAACTTTGTTTGGCACGCCCAGCCTAATTGCGTAAATGGGCAAAATTAAAGGCGTAAAGTTATTTCAATTAAGTCATGCATTTAATGTACTGTATATTTCAATAGCCAAGTAATATCAACCTGTCAGTTATTTTCTACTGAACATCAAGTTTGCTCTTTGGAAAGATATAAAACTAAATCAAATCTACGTTTCTGACATGAGCTATTTGTACATTCCCAATCATATTCCATCCTGGCTTTAGTATGTATCAAAAAGTCCCAACTTTATTATTTCTCGTGATTGATTTCAACATTATTACTTTCTTTATAGATTCCACTATAGATGGCAATGTTGGATCATGTCGTGCCCCTTTTCTTATTAGTAGAATTGTCCATCTTTGGTTAACAGGGGTCGCGGAGATGCAGTGGAGCCGATAGTGTTTGTGAACTTTTTCAAAGATTAATAAAATTAAACAAAAAAAGTTATTAACAAATCGTTGTGACTGGTAACTCTGTCATGTCATTTTCAAATTCTGTCAATTGTCGTCTTTGTCTCGATTTATACCATCATCTGTCATTATTTTTCTTTCAATTTCAATGATCAATCTGTCTCATGTCTGCTGCAATCTGTCGTCTTGTCTTCTTTGATTTGAGCTTTTTGATCGTGGTTCTATTGTGTTATGTGGACTTCCTAATTGTCTAATAGTTAGAAATACATTAGAGTACTAACTTAACGTGTAACTTTCTAAAGAAAATAATACTTTTGAACATAAAATATATTCAGTGCATTTAAAAATAATTACTCTTATTGTGAATGAAACTCATGCCGTGATTGTGATTGTTCTTTTTGTAATAGCGGAATCGTTGTATAAAGTTGTATGGTAATTAGTGTTATCGTCTTAGATATTTCTATTTAAATTGGCCTTAATTGAGTTTAATAATGTCGGGAGTGCGCTCTACTCGTGTGGCTAAGCGCCTACGAGCTCATCGTATGAAGAGTCGGTCAGGTAAGCGAAGACCCGCATGAAGGTGCTTCGCCGCCGTTGTCGAAGACTGCGGAAAGTGAACACTGCTTAGAGACTTCTGTCTAGTTTAGTTTGCTTGTGTTTACTATCTCATTTTGAAGGTTCCATCATAAGAATGTGTTTTCCATTCAGTACAAAAGTTTATTGTTTGTACTAATTTTCATCTGTAAACTGTTAAATTTTTTTTCCGCCAATAAATAGAGCCATTTCCTTCCTTTCTATTCTAAATATAATTTATATAGTTAAAGATTGATTACAATAATACAAATGAAATTGAATTATGTATATGATTGTTATTACAATCATATTTAAGCATTAATAGGCAGGCAATATTTATTAAATTTACAATATATTTATAACTATTTGGTAATAATATAGCTCAGTTTTCCATTAATGTCCGTCTAGTTGGGGGTTGATACTTTTTTAAAGTAAGGTTACACTCTTATAAGCACACACACATAGATACTATATGCGGAGACACATCATCATCATCATCATTTCAGCCTGTTTGAGTCCACTGCTGAACATAGGCCTTCCATAGACTGCCACGAAGTACGATCCTGAGCCATCTGCATCAATCAACTTCCCGCACATTTGCACAGGTTGGCTATTCTATCTAGTGAGAGGTCGGCCTACTTACTGCAATGACCAGTATGAGGCTGCTATTCGAGAACCTTCCCCAACGGTTATCGGTTCTACAAGCTATATGGCCGACCCATCGACACATAGTTTTTGGGGAAAATAATATTGACAATATTTGAATGTTTTAACTGTGAACTCTTATATTAATCCGATTTATACTTTTGCTTACACCACATCCCATACTACTACATTAAGGCATTATTACAAATTGATTTTATTTAATAAAATCAACCACAAGAATAACTATACTACACAACATAGCTGAAAAAATTGTTTTTTCCCATTTTCTTACTTTTTTATATTATTTTTTACCCTTGCAGTCTTAAAATAAAATAGATTAGGTTCAACTTATCTCAAATAACCAAATTGATTGACTCCGACTCTTTTCCTGCAGCACCTATCCCTATGAATCAGTAACCCAATTTTTTTCTGATTAGGGGGAACCCATTCCATTTATTTTTTACTCTTAATATTAACTTTAATCCATAAAATGGGGAAAATTTCCTCAAAATTAAAAAAAAATCGAAAGGGGGAGGGGGCTCCACTACTTTACCGTTTAAGGGGGGGGGGGGGGGGGGATAAATACTTCCCTCCCCTCGCATCCTTACCGCCCCTCAATATGACGGATGTCAATGGAAAGTCATACTATAATATAATTATTAGTATTAGTTGTAAAACTGTGTTATAAAAGAATTGCCATCTATATCATTGATAATCTTTCAATCTTCTTTGTCTTTCAAAGACAGATGATGATAATCTTTCAATGATTTGCTTAGTAGTCTATGGATGGAATCTTCATCACCACTACAGTATTTTTTGATGCTATCTCACTTCTAACATGAATGTGTTGAAATTTACTAACAAGTAACTTGCCTTGATCCAGGATGCTAAGGTGCATGCATGATGACTCTTGTGATGATCAAAAAACTCCACTTCTAAGGAGCAAAGGTTACCACATGGCTGAGGATCTTTGGAATGAAATGGTACACAACCATTATATATTTTTATATGTTGCTATTTATAATATCTTTAAAAGGGATGTTTATTGAGGGTTTTTTCGCAATCTTAGGTGACATTAATTATACTATAAATGAGTATTCCATAAATTGGGAAAAACTAAGAGATCAACTACATACCAAAGAATGTCATTAGAAAATAATTGGAGAAAATTTAAGTGTACCAATCTTGAAGGAGGCATGATTAAGGATGCACTAATAGAGTCTATACAGGGTGGCCATTCTGAGGGTGCCCAAATTTACACAGGAGGTTCAAACTCAGTAGCATAATTGTTTATTAAAATAAAAAAAACCTTTTTTTTTTTTCAAAAAATTGCCATACTATTTCCTAACAAAACAGAACTTGTTGATAATGCGGTAGTCATTCATCAATACCTAAATGTTACTGTGCATGCACACAAACAAAACAAAGTGATGTATTTTAGTTATGAATGATCACACATAAATAATAAATAAATATATGAGCTGCCTATAAGTCACGCACTATTTGAGGTAAGTTCAAAGGAATTTAATTAATTACTTATGAGTGATTTTAAATATTTATCACTTTTTATATAACATTATTTATGTATAGAATTTAATAAAAAAATGGATACACTTAGAAAACCCACCCTGTATATAGAATCTTTTAACAACAGTGGAATTAAATATCTTTGCAAAAAATAATATTTAATACTATGACAAAAATATTTCCATGAATTTGTTGCATTATATAGGTATACTGCTTTAATTTTTATATTGATACTCAGGAAATCTTGTTCTTAGGCATTGAAATCAGGGACTATTTATATGTATTGATGAGGCTTTGGAATTGTTTATGTACACTTTCATCTAGGGATCTTAGTCACAATTATATTTTGATTGGACATAGCTATATTATAAAGTGATATATTCCCATCATTGAAGGAAGTAACATCAGCTAGTGAAAAACATTAAAAAAATTGGGGTATATACACATGGTAATAAAAACCACATTTCACAAAGTAATTAAAAAGACCAAAAGGGATTTGGTCTTTTTAATTACTTAAGGAAGTAAAGCGAAATGGATTGTAAAATATATTTAATTTAATTTGTTTAAGGTTTTATATTTTAAGTACTTGCATGCTTTATTAATTATATGTGGTTCACACTGAAAGTTTTAAAAAAAACCAAAGCATTTAGCCTATTCTGTCTCATTTACGGCGTTTTCGAATGCACTCTCCACATTAGTATGAATGTATGTAGAAAGTATGAGGCAGTCATCTTTTTTCCTTCCTTTTAATTAATTTTAAAGTCTAACAAGATTATTGGAATTGCTTCTAAACTAATTAATAAACACAAAAGACACATGAATACAATTATATTTTTTTTAAATAATAAATATAATATATCACATTAGGTTACTAAAGAGTTTAAATTTAAAAAAAAATTTTTATTGGCAATGTTTCTAACTGACCCATTTCAAAACCTTTCAATGTGACCATAGTATATTTTTGCATGAAACTGGAGTTTACCTTTTAAACATATTCATTAGTACTATACATATTGTTTTTTAAAAAAATGTTCATGTATGAGATTTTATTTTTATACATAAAGATGAACATGGTCAAGGTAATACATGTATCTTGTATTAACTGATGTTTGTGCTTTCAGTCCCGAGACTATTAAAGCTTCATCTAACACAGAACCGGCTAGCCAGAACCCACGGGTTTGGGCCCTCCGCTGTGGGTAGGGCCGCGCATGTGCTCATGCGTGCGTTTACACTACGGCATGTCATCTAGGGGCCATCGAGGTTGCGGTGCGGACCGAGACCCCGATGGCCGTCGACTGTGTTTGAGCTAATCGGTGGCTGGGGGCGGTGAGAACCACCCTGGAACGCGGGTGTACCTTGTGTACGCGTTGTGTTGGTCTCGCCGTGCTCGGAGGCGAGGGGGCTATACATGAATCTTATTAACACAGTATACCTATGTCACAAAATCTGACATAATGCATGCATTTTATTTCAATAAGATTTAACTTATAAAGTAATTAATGTAAAGTTTATAATTATAACTTTAATATCTATTTTTTTTCTCATAAATATAATCATTTCAATTATGGAATTGAAAATTTTAATTTATTACATTTTTGGGACATGAAAATAAGCCGTGTAAAAAGTAATCTAAGGAAATAAATAAACCATTCGTTAATCAAACCTAATATCCTTTTTGTGAGGTTTCGCAAAGGCTATTAGTGAGACTATGTGTGTGATCAGTACATCTATTTGTAAGAGATCGTAACTATGCGCACTTGGAGTAATTATTTAACATCTTTTACGTCCATAGCTGACAATGTGTGAACACGAGCTGCATTTGACGTCAGTACTTTTGTTACTCGGCAATTATAATGTTATTTGTGACGGAACTGACTAGCTCTCTGAAATGGCGTATTAACATTACAATGATCACTTGCTTCGAGTATTTGCGTCCCTTTACGCTAAGCGTATGCTGTATATGCTTAGGTGTTTCGTATTCTTGTCGGCCTTTGGTTACCATTGTTGTCTCGAAACGTTACTTATCGGGCCCTCATTCTGTATACGCTACGCCTATCGCTCCACCATCAGAATGTAATTGGTAGTTTATGTTTTTAATAAACTATTCCTCTGTAGGATTGTCCAAATATTTAAAAAAAATAGTAAAAGAACGTTTGTGTGTTTAAGGCTATTATAATAGTAATGATTATTTAAATGATAACACACTCTGGTAATGAACTGAACGCTCCAGGCTCTTTCAATCAGAGTTCTTATATTGTATTTGTAATGAATTCATGTCAAACTGCTTATTTAAAAAAAAAATTAAAAGCCCGCTGAGGTTCTTTCGCCGGTTCTTGGTGGCTTTCTTTTCCGAACCGGTGGTAGTGTTTTGACTATCAATGAGCGAGTGTAATGCTCCTATGTTGAATAAAGACATTTGATTTGTGATTTTTTGATTTTATTGTAGTAGATGTTGAAAGTAATGGTCGCAATATATTTTAAACTATAAATATATGTCTCAGACTGGCGCAGTTGCCAAGGTTTCGGCCTTAGCGTCGGGGGTCGTGGGTTCGATTCCCCCAACTATTTGTGCGGCCCACAGATAATTGTTTCGCATCTGGGTGTTGCCCACGTGCAATGTATGTTTGTAAAACGTCCTTACAACACAGGATAATGTTATCCTAAAGTAAGGGCAATGTTAAAAAAAATGAAGCGAAGAGAAATTACCCGTGTCAGGCTTTCCTTATACCAAAAGACATTGAAACAAGGTTTTCTGTTGAATTTAGTTGGAAATGTTGTTTTGTTATTCATTTCCGCTAAACAATATCTTGAAATTGAATCGGTTCGTGGGTCGATGCGAGATGACCGACTTACGATCGCGTCACCAAGACTAGGTATAGAATTGTCACGTCAAGGAATGTCAACAGATCAAAAAAAATCTGTGGTAAAATATCTGTGGCATGTGCCAAAATAAATGTGCATTGGTACGGGCAAAGCAATTACTGGTCATCCCTTTTTAACCAGCAATCAATCTGCTCGGTGTTTCTCCGCTCAACAAACAGTAATATTGCCCTCGCGAAAAATTTCGACCTCGGCCCGAAATGTACGCGACCTCACTGTTGTCGTGATGTTAACATGTTGTTCTTGTTAAAAATTGTAAATGTTTCTTTTTTCACATTGGTTCGAAGGCAAATGATCATCGTCGATGGTGACAAAAGTCGTACGGCAGCAACTGCGTTGTCAAACTCGAAGACTGTGAGCCCCTGATTGCCTCATTAACCGGACGTAAGCCCAAAATATACATGATAAAAACTATAAGTAGCGTCAGGGAATTAGTTGTGAATGCACATTAGGGCGGGTCATGTATGGAGAGAAAAAGTAAATTTTTATTACAAAGAACAAAACCCACTTCAAATATCTCACTTCGTTTCAGTGCTCTTGTAATCTGTTCTGTTATGTGCAAGTCTATGCGACGCAACACCATTTGCCTAGTTGTTCGTTGGTCTGTTGAACTGTGTTTGACACCTTTTTATCACGGAGCGTTTTTAAAAAAACGACAAAATATTTTTGACCTATCCTAGTTTACAGTTCACTACAGTAATGATAAATATAACTGCGTGGTTCGTCACTGAAGATAATATGTTACGCTCGATTGGTGGATATCGCGTCGACGTTTCAAACAGGGTTTAGTGGGAGGGGGTTCCCCTCAGTCGGGAAAAGGGCAAGGTCGCGAGGGGATACAGATGCGGTGTTGATATTTACAGAATGTATCATATACGAGTCAAAGCGCGCAACGTTCGATTGTTTCAACTCTTATGACCACAGCGAGAAGAAGCGATAATTTCAGCTGTATCACACTGGCCACGATGTCAACCCGACAATGCTGTTTCCAAAACCATTACGCGTAAAATAACTTATCTTTTGTAGTGTTTGGAGAAAGAGCCGTATAAGTTAGGAGAAAGAGCCCCCAACCACCTCACTTTGTATGTCTTGAATAGATAAAACTTCGAAATGTACGTCTGCCTCTTCTAGAACTTTTTCAAATAAGTCGTTAGTAATGACTGTGCGTGTGGTGGCAATTTGTTCTATCTACCCCATAAATGTAAGCGTAACTCTTTTTGTTGTATATAGAACGTGTAAATGAATGCTGAAAATCATTTAAAACGCGGAACTTTTTCGAAATTTCAATCCGCTATCAGTGTCCGATGGAATTAACTCTGACATGAACTCATTCCGTTGACTGCGCCTATGATCGTGAGATGATCTGTTAGTTCAGCGGCAGCATGTTCAGCATGTTCAGCATGTTCGCGGTTAACAAAAACCCCAGATAGCGTCTCTAACCACGGCAAGGTATTTTCGTCGAGTCAGTTTCCACACTTATATACGAGATTTATCATTACCATCGTAAATTACCTCGTACGTTACATACGCTGTTACATCCACATATAATTTAATATCCCACATTAAAAAAAACATTGGGTTACTACAAATAAATACGTAATACGCCAGCAGAGACGCGTTAAAAGATTAGTTACTTTCAAGAGCACGCAGTATTTGTGATTGCAATCCACGCAATGTAGCTAAAGCTAAATCCGTCTTTATACATTATATATATAATATGTAAGTTAAACACTTACTGTAAAGTAATTTATATATTCATTTGTAATTGTTCTTAAATAATTGTTCACTGATAATAATGCACTGAAAGTCTGATAGGTAAATAGTTTGTTATTGTATGGGAGATTATAATTGGCATACATTCTCGCTCTGTTGCCGTTAATAAACTTGTTTTGGACTAGTTATGTACAATAATAGCATAGGTTCCTTTGATCGAGGTGTCGATGAGGTTTTTTCCTTACAGCCATTAAATAATAGTAATTAATCCATTTAATTATCCGTCCAAATCATCGGTTTTCTTTAAATGGTCGTGGGAATATTTGCTTTGTATTTTTTAAACAACAAAAAATAAAAAATGTATTTGCGTACTTATGTACGCTCGTAAGAAGTTAAATTTCTGTAGCGCAACAAAAGTTTGTGAGAAAGACATTAGATGCAGTTCATAACACAGCACTTAAATAACTTGGAATTATATAGGTAAAAGTTAAAAAGTTTTTTTTTTCGATGCCATGAAGTTTGTCGCTTTGCAGCTTTTTGGTTATAAGAGTGGTTTGGTAAAAATTTTACTTTCGTATTTTTTCTTAAACGCGCCACAGCTAGCTTCAAAAATATTTCACGTTTCTAAATTTTGAAATATTGGCTGTTACATCCCCATTTGTGTTTTCAAATTACACCTTCCACCCGTAAAATACGTCGTACCAAAACATAATTAGGCATAAGCCTTAACCGTGTCAAGGTAACACCACCCCATTATCTAAAATGGATCGTACATGTCAAATAATAATGGATTGCGTAGGTTTGTGGATATGTAAGATTGACCGTAGGGCAGTCTGCGTTTTGCTAAACTAGTAAACGTTTATAATCTGTGTGCTTTTAGTTAAAAATTTTAAAAAGTACAAAACTTGGCGTTCAATCTCATTTCGGTCCAATAAAGTACCAAAACAAAACCAAAATAGTATGTGTAATGAATTTTATTGTAATAGTCGTGCAGAACGCCACTTACTAATTGTAACCTTGCTTAAATTAATTATGTAGAAAGAAGCCTGCACTTGGCGAGGCATTAACCCACATAACTGCTACATTGCACGTGATGAAACTTTCTAATAGAAACTCAATAATATTTAACTTGATGAGTAATATCAAATATAAAGTCAGTGGAACAGTTTTATAGAAGAGATATGTTTGTTTTCACAAAACTTAAAAGGCCTTCACAGATGTAAGCCGCAAGTTACCTTCGCGAAATCGACAACAATTCAGTAGGTTCAATAAAAGTAAGTTTTTTGTTAAACATACTCGTAGTTAACTAGTTACCAAACTCAGTACTATAAATTGTAAATATGATGTAAATACCACCACTTTTCGAATTGAAAACATTACATAATTTTGCGCAATGTTTATCTAGTTTCAATGTTATCTAGTTTTTTATTCATAATAATTATGTATAAATATAAATATTTATATACAATAAATATTCATAAATATTATATTTATTTTTAGTACAGTTTTTTTTTAATTTAGTTAAGTTTCATTAATACTTTTTCGTCATCATCAGCTTATAAATGGCCCTCTTCTATTCTTCAAACACGAAGATCACGTGTATTTTTAGTCAATAATATATAATAGAAAATTTTGTCATTATTGCCGACGGCCTTGTATTCTTATATTGTATAATTTTTTTATTTATTAATTCAACGGCAGTACATATTTCTCATATTTGTTTATATTCGCTCAATTCAATATGTCTAATGGCGCGAAAACCGAAAAGCGAATGTGACCACAGATTAATAATTTAATATCGTTGATACAGCAGATAAGTTATTCAACGAGGCATAATAACGCGATAAGCTTTGCCGTCGGCTGAGCGCGAATATGTCCGTTATGCGATAATAACGACGTTTATTACACGTTTCAGTGCTGAGAATGATGGCAATAATGCAGGACAGGAATAGTGAGGAGGTGCCGCGCGAATTCCTTGAAACCGGACGAACTGGTCGGAGGAACGCGATGCCGGACATCCTTCACCCTCAGGGCGCCGAGGTGTCGACGGCGGATCTGCCATCACGCCTACAGCAGCTGGTCACTACGGGTAATTGTTTTATTTTTATTTTTGCTCAATGAAAAAGTTCGCATAAGGACATTTTTTTATACATTTGATTTTCTTATTATATGGTTTTTAAACGCAACGCTGCAACGGTTATGCATCGGCCTTCATGAATTTCGATCCATAGTTGTTCGAAACTTCTGCCTGTAAATGCCAAAATCTCTTCTTTGCAACGCTTACGTGTTTTTTGGTGTTTCCAAAAATAATGTCGCCGATTATTTGCGTGACAAACCTGTATATTTTATTTGTAAATAGATTTTGAGCGAAATTTAATATTTTAAACGTGGGTACGTCTCCTTTTGGCACGCATCGTCAGCAGATGTATCAATTGATGCGGTTAAGGTCGACAATCGTCCGCGACTCACCGCGTCGAATGCGTGGGATGAATGACGTGACCAATTGGAAGCACGTTACACCTTCCATTGACGTATTCGGCGATACGTTTTGAAGGAATTTTAATCTTCGAACGCGGCTCGCTGGGCCGTTTCCAAAGGATTTGACGCGTTCTCGAATGATCCATGGACGGTCGGTGTTTATGGTCGGCCGAGTGGAAATTATATGTAAATATATTGGGGATTTCTTGTATCAAACGAAGCATTGCGCACGCGGTGGGAATTTGTAAGACGATTTTGTACTAGCGATTTTGACAATTTTGATGGGTGGTAGGGCTACTCAATAGTGTTCACTGTTGCACGAACGGGCAGGTCCGTCCGGGTTATTACCACGACCTCACAGAAGACCGGCGTAAAGTACAAGTGTTACTAGTAGGCGGCGGTTATCACTTAACATAAGGTGAACTACCAGCTCGTTTGCCACTTTATCACATAAAAAAAAGAAAGAGCAGGCAATGTTCCAAATTATTTTTTATGAAAAAGAAATTTTAATCGACGTCGTGGTTCCACAGTGATTGAACGGGTCTAATAGAAAATGAGGTCGTGGAATCGGATCGAATCATAAATCATTAGTGGCTTCTGTTAATGATTTATCATTTTACGCGTAAACTATGTAGAAAATATCGATAGAGACCTGAAGGTTTGTGATAACGGAACAAAATATACCCTGTATAAATGGGTCATTTCGGCGAGTAATTTCCATTAGTGACGGTGGGATCGAATCCACACCTTCCGGCACAAGATACACGCTATCACTATCCACTATGCCAATGAATTGTATCAGGTCAATGGTTGTTATTTTTTTTATGTGAAAGTTTCCAAAGGAGCAGACGGTTCACCTGATGTTAAGTGAATACCGCCGCCCATGGACATCTGCTACACCCGAGGATTAGAGATGCGTTGACAACCTTTTGAAAATTGGGCTCCGGCTACCTCACTCACCAGACGAAACGCGAAAGTATTTGTCATACTTCCACTTTACGCTGGTCTTCTGTGAGGTCGTGGTACTAACCCGGACGGCCCATTCGTGCAACAGCCGAGGCTGCTGCGTGGGCCATGCAGAATCCTCGGCAAATACCAATACCAATGCAAATTATTGTTATTTATCATCTTAAAGGGGTTTTACTAAATAAATCACTGGTTTCATATTTGACAAAAATACCTCCATTCTGGACTTGTTTATTTGCGGTAATAGGCAAATACAAATTGGTAACCGCTTAGATTAACGTTCGTAAGGCCTGACGCCCTCTAATTGCGTTTAAGGATTTCGACTCTCGACACTCGGATGCGACAATTAAAGGTAAATAGCATTAAATTAAGAGCCGTGACACCTGTGTCCGGGAGATCGCTTTTAATTCAATATACTAAAGCAACTTGAGTTCAAATCCCGGTGCTGGCACCAATGAAATTGTTAATTTTAAGTGTTAACTCGTCACTCATCATGGGGATGGCAGTCAAGTAAAAAAAAGTAAAGCAACAGCCTATGCATATCCCACTGCTGGGCAAAGGCCTCCTATTTTACTGAGGGTATCAGGGCATAGTCGGCCACGCGGCCCCACTGCGGATTGGCGAACTTCACATATCTTCGAAATATTTTTTTTTTCTTATTTCGAAAATATGCAGGTTTCCTCACGATGTTTTCCTTCGTCGTTGAGCACGTGATAACGTCAGCACTTAAAATTAATTAAATTAATTCCATCGGTGCTGGCACCGGGGATCGAACTCAGGTTGCTCGAATATATTGAATTAAAGGCGAGCGCCCGGACAATGAGCTATCACGAATCTTAAGTGCAGACAAGTGCTGGCCAGTTTTGTTCCGAATTTTATTAAAATTGAGTTAATTTTATTCCGAAGTTCTATACTTCATTACTCCGTGTAAGTAGTAAGTGCAAATTGAAGGTTGTAAGAGCCAACTCGCAAACGTTCCTGTTCTGCCGATAAAAATGAGATTACTGCATCTATCGGATACGTTTAGAGATCCTTATCTATAGAGATAGTGGTACGAGTTTATTGCAGTGTACGCGTTCAGAACCGAAAATCAATAACCCAGCAGCGATGCACCGTCCCGAATTACGCCCTACGTTCACCACTTGTCTCGGCGGCTGCGCATTCGATGAAGGTTAAGTGGAACTTTTAAAAAAATAAACAGAGAGACATATATCAATTTTTCTCTCCCTTGTATAAAAAAAATAAACATAGGTATATTTCCTCCCTTTTGTATCGGATTTTATCTTAACGTGACATCTTCTATTTTCATTCTCAATCCTTGACAACTTACAAACTACCATTTAAACCATTACCATTAAACTAAGTTTTTTTTAGAGAATTTAATGAGACTCTATTCTTGTAAAGCCAGACCAAGAGTTCGAGTCTAATCCTTCGTCGTGCTAAACTTTTACTTTATTTTTTTTATATTTCATTCCAGACTGGGGTCATTTTATTTATTTTCACACGCTTAGATTACATTTATACGGCTAATGCGTGACTGCATAAAACAAGGTTCGTTTGGTTAACCAATCAGTTAAATTATGTACTATTGTATATACAATTAAATATTATTTCCTGTCTGTGAGACATAATCAGTGAAAACGTTTCAAAGACAGGAAAGTGAACCACTTATTTCTAATGGAATTTAGATTTTTTTCTTAAATCTCAATAACGAAATAAAGCACAAAGTATACTGTATTAATACTTTAACTTCATACTAGACCTGGCTAGAACCTACTGCATGATATAGTCACGTAATTAAAAATTAATTGTTTTATCATTAAAAAGAATCTTTCACTAATTTATCTGAGAAGTAACAATAGATTTAAATAGAACCTTAGTAAATGCCTTGACTGTAAAGCCTTAACAAACTAAACTCTGCTTCTATTATTGTATCACGAGTCATAAGCGTCTGTGTACCATTATTTACCTGTGCACAAAATTGCGGAGTGACCTACATTGCCCGCTGACCTGGTTTCGGTTCATTGCAAAATAACCCTTATAATCGTGAATTAATCGGGTCAATTGTTTCCATGAAAGCGAGCCAATCTGTCCCTTTTTTATTTCCGTTGGGATATACCTACGCATACCCGCTCTAACGGGTTGTGTCCAGGCATAGTGGCATTTTGGTAGGGTCGCCAGAACGCTTACGCATACGTTTCACATCCCATCAGCGCTGGCCGCTTCAGCAGCCCTTTGGCAAGCAAACGCTCCACTCCAGGAAATGCCTTCATATAGCACGCCTTCCTACTCAGTCATAAGAGCATGGAGAGCCACTTCTTACAAGCAACAAGCCTGCCCCAACCCGCATCCACCACGTTTCAACTGTGGCGGGCCGGGAGAAAAGCTCATAGTAACTCCAAAATACACCTCCCCCCGTGGCCCCGTCACCGCTGTATTAGCGGTGCAGTCCCACCGAGTCGCGGAGGATAGGTAGAGCCTAGCACAACTCCGACACTCCTCTTCCCCCACGACTCCACCTGGGTTACATAAAAGAAGAAGAACCCACTCAGAGCGGCCCTCTCGAATCTGCCTTCCACCACAGGCAGGCCTAGTGTGAGTTCTCCTTAGATCAGCCACGACAAGGCGGGTCGTAGGAGGAGCTAATCTCTCCTTACAGTGTTGTAAAATCGATTCAGTTTTACTTTGCCCCTTATGTTTTAATGCGAAGATTTTATGAGAACAGTGACTATGCACTTAGGACTGGAGCACGTTGACCGAATCCAAATATATTAGAACAAGCGGTTTGCCCTTGACTGACATTTAAAATTAACACTTAAATCATTTCTGAAGCAAGGTCTTCAAAAATAATAAGACTACTTCGCAAATCAATAAATTTAATTCTGATTAATCACTAATTGTAGCTTGTGAATGCCCAAATTTGTGGTTGCAAAGGAAATCTGTCATAACATCAAAATCATTTTTTCTTCCGATAGGTTCATTACATTTAGGTGAAATATGCAGAAATAAAAATGAGCATCTCATTGGGCACGAAATTCGGTGTAAGCCGTGGCTTGACCACGGCTCGTTCGTGCCCAAATATAAACGTGCAATCATTGAAAATAAAAAAATGTGGCCATTTTTTTAGATTTTATTTTACACACGTTTCGCGAAAGATCGTCTTACGTCACTGCGATTGTGCGCTGTCACTAATCTTTTTAACTTATCGGTCACCGACGCGATGCCACGGCAAATAACTTGTGTAGTATATGCGTTTGTGAGCCATTACAATGGCGTGAATGTTTTGACAACCTCCGCGCCGCCCAAACTTTAGAGCACGAAAAACTCGAAAAACCCTTTTCGGTCTATGTAATTCTGTATTCAGTAATATGGAATGAAACTCAATATTTAAATATTTCAAACGAAGTTTGAGAACCGCTGTAATCTTGATGGTTAGAAATCCGAGCGTGTTTCTTTTAATTACGAATTATTATTATTGAATATAATTCATACATTGTGTTGTAATCTACTATTACAGTAAAGTTAAAGCCGATTGTCTTTCACGTGCTGCTGTTAATAATTATTATACAATGATTTACTTTAAATCAGAAATTGAGATTTATTTTTTCATTTTCTATTACAGATCCGGACCACCCCCAACCGAGCACGTCGAAATCTGATCACGAACCTAACAAGGAGGATGAGACATGTAAAAAAGGCAGCTGCAGTTGAGCTATCTGCGATGCTAGAGGTCCTGAGGACCATTTTGGACTTGCCCAAAGCTAAAGTAATCTCAAAATGGTAAATAGTATAGTGAAGCGTGTAGGAGTAAATTGAGCCATCTTTTTGTAGAAAGGCGTGCTGTACAAATTAGCTCTAATCGTTTAAGGTAGATTTTGCAGTGTCTAGTTGTAATATTAGAGGCAAACGTGTTAATGATAAGTTATATTTATAGAATGTGGTCTTAATATTGTTTACTGCTGGAAAAGGCATTTTCTTTGTTTTATATTAAAATAAACTCTGTTATGATGTTACATTTATTACTTTGAAATAAATGTGTTAACATTTATTATTAAAGACTGGTAAATTAACAAAAACTTTTAAAATCTAATGAGGCTTGTTTAACTTATAGTTTATTTTTCTCAATACAATTTAGTAGAATAACACTGTAGTTTTTTTAATGTTGGTTCTTTATATTTTTATTACTATAAGATGTAAGAATGTTGGTGTATATCACAGTCAATACAACGTAAAAACCATCGATAACAATGTTTGGTTGTGATTATATGTACGAAATTTATGTAACAGCTAAGCGGACTTGGTAAGCAACAAGAAGGGACATCGATTACTAACCTTAAAAAAATGTACATTTGCAGTTTGATAGCAGACATTTGCTTGATGTGGGTTTTTAAGCGTAAATAATTAATTAGCAATATTTGATAAAAATAATATGTCAATTGAATAGTTAATGCTAACCTAAATTCATATACCTACATCTGTTTATATGTATAGATAGTTTAATCCACGAAGACGTGCCACACCGTTTGTTTTAATGACTTACAGTGCACAAGTGCATGGTATACTATTGTTTATTATTATTATTAAGTTCTATCACAAAGCACTTACTAGCGATGTGGTCACACGCACACTAAGATAAAATTAGCTAATCAGGATAGAGTGATGCGGTTGGAAAGGTACTCTACTTCAATATTAATTAATCGCGAAATATAACTATTTTTAATAACTGCGATTTTAACATCAGGTGTGTGTAACATTAAAATCAGATGTAAGTTTTTTACATTAGATGTTGGAAAATATTAAAAAGGCAGATATATTAAATAAGTCATGACATTTTAAAAATAAAATGTTTATTCAGAATTATTCAACATCTCCACTTATTTCGGAAATAATCTTACTCAGAATCTGATGTATCACAGTCATTGACGACTCCACAAAAATCTAAATCAAAATATTCCAAATAATTGTTTTCTAATTTTTCTATGTGCTGACATGTGTTGGCCTAAATGTCACTGTTTAATTGTTGGAAGGCTTTATTTAAAACAGGCATTATTTCAGAATAATTTAAAAGAACGCAGCTAGCAACGTAATTTTACACTATACCCTTAGCGTTTTATATTAAGTGTAGGGTATAAAACCATATTTCCTAGTTTTCTTTATTTTTTAAAATGTAATAATGTATAATTCTACCTTTTTGTTTTTGCCTCAGATATAATATTTTTTTGGGCGAGCCAACTGTGCATTACAGATTTATTTCATTTTGACGTCGGTATTATTTCTGAAGTCGAGTATCGGAATATTATGCATAAGTTTATCTTTTAGCCATTTCAGATAATTTTTTGTATTCATATTATGATGGTAGTCTCCAGTTTTGATCTGTACTATATATGTTAATAAAGTATTCGGTAAAAATCCAGCTGTATTTCGTGCAATACTACAATTATACACAATCCTTTAGACAATTTTCGCTTTTATTGCTATTTTTGAATCATTTTTCGGCGCTAGACTGATAGTTCGGCAGCGGGATAAGGAAGACCTTCCCTCATCCCGCGGCTTCTCTCAGTTTAAATAATAGTGGGGCAAGTGTTCTTGGATTCAACTAAGTGAGAAGAAAAAAAATCCAGCTTTAACGAAATCAATTGTCATAGTGAGACTAACTTTTGTGAAACAATTTACGTTTAAAAATAACAAATGTAATTGTTAAAGGGTTTGTAATTGTAGGAAAAAAATAACATCTTGGATATATGTAATTAATTAGTTTAGTTGTAAACTAAAGCATAAAAAAAGTTAATTTTACAAAATTAACTATGGAATAAAATTTAAAAATTGCGTTTTAAAATTATTTTCGAGTTTTTGTTTTGTTTCAACATAAAAATTTTACTTTAACAACTTAACACAATGTTTGGTCACTGTGGATAGGCTGTTCATTTTTGAGTGAGATAAATGAGTATTAATTTTTATTGATTTTATTTATGTCACCAACTGTAACTAGTTGTTACATTGTTATATTATAAAGAAAATTATTTATTTCTAAACAATCTAAAAACATAAGTTTATGCTGATGCATATAAAATGTTTGGATATTGCCACATTTATAACAATAATAATAAATTAAAACAAAGAACACTAATTGTATGTGCAATTTTAGTATAAAGGACATATCTTTATCTGTATCTTTGTAACATAATTTTTCATATTTTTAAGCCTAGATTCGAAATTAGAAACAAAAAGTTTGTCATTATTTTAAAAACTATTTAAAATTGATTTACATAAGTTACTGTCAGAAATGTGTCACGAGAAATTATACCCACAAATCAAAGGATTGTTATAATTATTAATAAAGATTACATTCACTTTAAATAATTACCTAATTTAGTCTCGAATATACTTTACCTGTTATCAAAACTTTTTAAATTCAATGCCATTCATAAGTTTATAAAATGTTTAAATAGTAAATGGTTATCCACGTTGATATTGATTTAGCCTTTGTTGAAGTACACCTCTTTGATTTACCGAAATATCGACACAGTCAATGCATACTTATACTAAATTCAATTATTTACCTTTTGAATAACAAAGTAATTATATGTACTCGCAAGTTATATTTGATGTCTCTGAGTATGATTGTTATAAAAATTGCATTCGCCATTCAGTTAGTTTTTTGTTGATTGTGTTCAAAAATTGCGTTCGTATACAGTTAAATAATGTTTATATAATGTCGGGCGTCGCTAGCACCAACGACCATTAGCAACAATTCATTAATATACAGGGAGGCTTTTCTAAGTGTATCCATTTTTTTAAATTTAATTCTAGACATAAATAATGTTATATAAAATATGATAAATATTTAAAATCACTCTTAATTAAGAACATACATTCATTTGAATCAAAAAGTGCGTGATTTGTGGACAACTCATTTATTTTACGCGCAATCATTCATAACTAACACGCACACAAGTTCGTTTCAAAAGTATACGATGTATTTTCGAATGACTACCGCATTGGCAACAAGTTCTGTTTTTTAGGGAATAGAATGGCATTTTTTTGAAAAAAAAAGGTTGTTTTTATTTCAATATACGATTATACTACCGAGTCTCAACCGCCTGTGTGAATTTGGGCACCTTTAGGAAAGGCACCCTGTATGATAATAAAGTTAACAGTCTTATATATGTGGTCTCTAAAGCAATGCTGTTAGTATTTCACATGTGAATTACATGCAATGTATTTTTACGTTCTAATTACGAATGATACATTTTACATTTTTTCACTGTCGACATCCCTAGGTACAATTTAGCAGTTATTTTTACTGTAAATAGTTTTAAATAAATTTCTCAAGCAAAATAGCGCCAATAAAAATATATTTCATAATTTTTGTTATAAATTCGTTTTTCCACGTTCGCATGACCATTTTTTTTTATTTTATTATATAGTTTTTAACAAATGTGACAACATCCATATGTTAAATCTTGTATGTGATAATTAAAATATTATTTTTTGTTTACCAATGTTGCAGTAACATTCAAAAATATGTTGTATAACATCTATAAGGCCCATTTTGTTTGAGGCTATAAAGGTAGTAATAATAACATAATTAATAACAAACGATATTATTCAAAACTTAGACATATATTATTTATTTACTTTTGAGAGAGCTCTTTTTATAATAGTAGATCCCGAAAGACTTGCTTATCTAAGGCACAGATTTAATTTATAAAGTTTTGTACGTTTATATGACGGGTTAGTAGACATGTACATATCTGTAGTCCAATAATACTATATAACTCATATAAAAAATATTAACGTTAAAAACAATCCATAATTTAAAAAAAAATTCCAAACAAACTAATTAGGTAAAAAAGAAACAAAATTTGTAACATCCTATACAACTACAACTGTCTGATTCGTACATTCAGAGACTTTCGTTGCCACAGCGTCTCATTACAAGCCTCTCCTTCTAATGTTATGTCCTGCTGTTTTGTCTCTTTTAAATTCATTCAACCCATTCATATGCTTTGTGACCTTTACAAATGAACTTTACGTTACAGTTTTATACATAAGGATGTTCTAAAATTCTTTGTTTTGGAAAATTTAATAACTCGGTAAATATTGATTAATTATGTTTAAAGAATGTAAATATTTAATACAATTTTAAAAAGTTATCCTCTATATGTATGTTCATTTATTGTCGCGATTATAAAGACGCTGTATATACCTACTATTTAATTATTTAGCCTCGTTTGTTTGTGTCAACAAAACTCAAAAACTAGCTGTGGATTAACATGATACTTTGTTAAACATAACAGAAGAGTGTTTTGATATACTTTTTATTCCCAAAAACCAATAGAAATGAAAAGATGACACATTAAAGTGTGGCTGGGTTCAGCTAGTACCACTATAAATTATTCTTCTACTAGATTTGTAAAGCACAACACTGTTTAGCCAAAACTAGCATCAGAGAACTGCACTAATATGTAATTTTAAACAGCTTCAATTATAATACTAGGCGAACCAGATTGTTAATAAATGATGCAAAATTAAAAAACGCTTGTATAATTTTTTTATATTGTTATTTTATTATAGTTCTGTATATCTTTTCAATGCTAACGGATTTTGTTATTATTTGCAACGATCCTAGTCCTGGTGTATATCTATATCCTATCCTAACTTTGCCTGGGTGCTGCATAATACTAAATAAAACAGAATTTAATTTAAAATAAAAGTTATTGGTTTTAGGAATACTATTACGTTCGAGATTAGGTACTCTCAACTATGATGACTTCGTGGCGCAGTTGAATAGGTTTCGTTTCAATTGGCTTCGCCACCGGGTGTCGATTCCCATGCGAGAACTATTTGTGTGACCCACAAATAATTGTTTCGGAACTGGGTGTTTTTCTACCTGAAATTTATATATGTTTAACGTCCTTAAAAAACAAGATAATGTTATCCTACATTAAGAGGTAATACTGAGATGTACATTAAGAATAAATTCGTTGAGAATTACTACTACTTCCCCGCACTTAAGATACAAAAAAGGTACACTTAATAATTACACTTATAATTCGGGGGATTTGCCCGGTTTCTGAAATAGCTTTTCAAATGTTATTTGTGTTACCAATAGGATGGTTAAACTCTGGATTGATCATTCTGAACATTAAGAAGATCATTCTGGTCAATTCAGAGAGTTTAACCATCATTTATTAGGCAACTAAAATGAAATTTCCTAGCTGATTAGTTGACGTCTACGATGACAAGTGTTTCAGAAACCGGGCGTTATTTCTTGTATTGGTCTAAATTATCTCGATAAACCGTGGATTTACGATAGGGTTAAACTTATAGAGTAATTAAAACTGTAGTGTTATTTTTTACATATTCACTTTTCTATACCGTAAATTGATTTCAATATTGATTAAAGTATTAGATCTCATGTTTGCAATACTTATTTGGTGTAATTACTATAGATATTAAATCATCTGCATTAACTGATACTTTGTAAAAACATTTTTTTTTTCAGTTTTTTTTATTCAATTTCTTTTTGTAAATTGTTATAGTTGCGTGTGAATTGATTTAAAACATTTATCTTAATGTTTTAGCTAAAAAGAAATAATCATATTTTGTTTCATTTGTAATTCATTCAACATTGGTTCATATTGGTATTTCCGGTATTTGGATTTGAAATTTTTTTATGTATATTGATATGGAGTAAAGTGATGTAAACATAAAGTATTGCTCCCTACGTTTTTAAGACAGTTTATTTTATGATAAGTTTTATGAACATAATAAATTAAAAATATATACAGCGTATCGTTACCATCGCGACAATAAATGAACACACGTCTAACGCTACTTACCAATAATCATAAAAAAATATTAACGTTAGACAAAATCCATAATTAAAAAAATATATTTTTCAAACAAACTAATTAAGTAAAAAAGAAATAAAATTTGTAACATCCTATACAACTCGCGCCACAGCGTCGCATTAAAAGCCTCTCCTTCTAACAGTATGTTTTGTCTCTTTTAAATTCATTCAACCCATTCATATGCTTTGTGACCTTTACAAATGAACTTTACGTTACAGTTTTATACGTAAGGTGTTCTAAAATTCTTTGTTATGGAAAATTTAATAAGTCGGTAAATATTGATGTTTAAAGAATGTAAATGTTTAATACAATTTTTAAAAGTTATCCTCTATATGTGTGTTCCTTTATTGTCGCGATGGTAACGACACGCTGTATAGACACATATAATTTAAAGCAATATGACTTATTTAAAAAAAATATCCATATAAATAGCACTTTAATATTAATAAATACGTCTTAAAATTTTGTGGATATTGAACAAGATGGATTTTTAAATTTGGATGCTTCTGTATAATTTAAATTTCTTACAAGTATAAAAATGTTACAGTTTCCACTTTGAAGTTTTATTTAATCTTGTATTTCTATAAACTTTTATTGATCGATTAAATTGTTTTACGCTTCCATTGGGAAAAAAATATTTGAATCAGACACTCCCGTCATTGTGTCGCCGTAAGGACTTGATCAATGCTTCTATCACTCGTAGTGATAGAAGCATTAGCAGCTTGAAAGGGTATGTGAAAAGTTGCCCCGAGTTACCTCACTTACCAAACGATACGCGAAGTTATCAGAAAACCTCTGTATAACTATCCTCACGAAGTAATAAGATCAAAATTGCCATTTTTTGAAACTTCCACTATCGATGGTGGTTCAAGCAGAGGTTAGAACCCCAAAGCGGCGGTGGTCCCTTGATATTGGAATAATCATTGTTAACAGGGGTGCGGTGATGCAGTGGAGCAAAATAAATTAAAAAATTTTAACGTTTTTTTCGAAAGTTTCATAGTATGCCGAGAATGGGATGTCTCTTTAAACCATTGTTGTTCAAATGCAATATAAATAATATGTTGATGACTCCGTGGCGTAGTTGCCAAGATATTGGCTTCAGCGCCGGGGATCGTGGGTTCGATTCCCACACGGAACAACTATTTGTGTGACCCACATATAGATGTTTCGCATCTGGGTGTTTGTCCGCGTGAAATGTATGTTTGTAAAACGTCCCTAAAACACAGGATAATGTTATTCTAAAGTAAGGGCAATGTTTTTAAAAAAGAATAAAAAACACAAAAATAAAGATTATTTTAAATCTCTAGGTAATTGAAGTTGCCAATAATAAATAAATAATTATTATATAGAATGTTTATTTATTATATTATAACATTTTTTAGTTTTTTGATTATTCTATGATTTCCAAAATAATTATTTTCTAAAACGTAACGCAATAATTTGACAACTTGCCTGACATCAGCAGTACCTGTATATGGCAACATCAGTTTGATGATTGATGTCTCGCGTACGGATGCAGAGAAAGTAAATCGTGAATTTTCCAAGTTTGTACCCTTAGATCGTGAAATGAATATTTCCGCGTCGTGAGAAATGCTCTTATTGTTTACCAGAGTCATTTGCGAGCGCCGAATAATTAGTGTTTTAGCGACTAAATGCAAGGAGACCGCTATGACTGATCGCCTCTACCGTGGCTGTTTATAGTGTTTTTTATGAGTGTGTTTAAAGTCAATGGGCAGGATGCCGAAGGGAGAGCACAAGCCGAGTATCCTGTTATCCCGGGATGAGAATGAACAGGTGTTTAGCCTCATTGGACCAAAATGCGAGGTGGGTGCACATTTAATTCACATATCGCATCCTTCCTCGTGATTCAGGCTATAGATTACATATCTACCTGTATCGGTAAGTTATCGGTGATATAGACAGCGATAAGTTATATCTAAACTTGTTTGGATATTAAAATATGTTGTTACATTTAAAATTATTATGTAAAATGTTTTAAGAATATATTACTTTTACGTTTTTGAAGTACTTATACTTAATTAATAATAAATAATGAACTGCATATTAGTGAAATTTTGTAAAATAATATAAAAGGTCTTTAAATTATTATAAATAAACTATCATTGCTTTGAAGTCCAGTTACATAGAATCCATTACAATAAAACGAAAAGCATAAGAATATCATCATTAGTAGCCCTAAAAACATTTAAATAAAAACCTGTATTTAACTTTGAACTATTTCTTTTAAATTCTGTTTCAACAATTTAATAACACCAATAATATGATAATAAATCACTCAATTTCTAAAAAGGGTCAAACTTTTTAGTTTGAAATATTGCAGGCAACATTTGATTTCAAACATATAACTTTGTTAAATCATATTTTAAGTGAATTGTAAAGAAATTTTTATTAATAATAAATTACATCTAAATAAGATTCTTATATCTAAAAAGATAAAGGTCCATTAATATACACTATATTATAGTATTAACCAGCTAACTTGTAATGCTTAAATTTGCTTATTGTAAAAAATTAACGTATTTTACTTTTGACTGTGGTTTGTAAAGCTTTGTGCAGGCTTGAAATGAAGCTATGTTAAATAAAGAAAGGTCAACTTTAAATAAGGACATTCAATTATAATAGACAATGCTCAATTTTCGTGTGTTTAAGAGTTAATGTCGGAAATAAAAACAGTAAAATAAGAATTGATATGAATTTAAAAAGGTCATTGAATACCTCAAAATAACATTGGTGCAATCAAAAATAGTATAACATTTCCCTTGTGTTGTATTATGCACATCATTCCTTTGTAGAATGTTGACAAACATGAAAATATGTTGCATAATGTTTATAAATCCAAAGCAGGTATCATAGCAATTTCTCTCTTTGTAAGTGGCCAAGGCTGTGGTGAAAGTGGTAGGAAATTCATCCTGAACTGAGGATCCTTTAATCATTCTAGCATCTTTTAAGCATATATTACAACATTCAAAATACATGCTTTAAAGATGCTATACCTAAGACATGTGGCAATGGAAAGTTGATTGTACTATTTCTTAATTAAACATTTAATTAGCATATTTCAAAATCTGAAAAAATGTATCCTATATATATTTGTACAATTAAAATTATTGTTGTCTGTGGCATTTATATATGCCAGTCCTTTAAATTCGCACAAGACACTAAAATAAGGCATGATGAAACTTTCTGAATGGGGCTACATGTCTTTGCGATGCAATGTTACTTTAGAGTGAGAAAATGTCAAGAAAAACACTTTTGTAAAACTATTAAGGGCGTGTTTGCGAAATCTCGCGGAATCTGCAAAAATAGGGGGTTTTCAGGTACATTTTGCGGCAAAACGAAACGAATATAATGTAAGTAATAATTATCACATATAGATCCCTCCTTCATCTTCAAATGGTAGATAGTTTTTAATCGAAAATTTTGGTTTATAATATTGTAAATGAGAATTTTCGTGACCACTTCACTCAAAATGGACGATATCCTGTTGGGTTTAGGAACATTTTTCTCTTATTTAATAACATATTTTTTTTATTTAAAAATACTTTATGTAAGCACACATGTTCAACTCAAAAAGGTAGCTACATTACGTATCAAAATTGTTGAAATTAGTTTCAGAAAAAAATAAACATTAAAATCTATTTCTTTCACATTTATATCTTACGCGTGAATCTTAAGTGATTGACATAAAGGTTATTTTACTGGTCACTTTTTTGATTTATTCCACAAAAATATTTAAGGTAATATTAGTCGGCGCTCGGCTGCCGTCATGAGTGGTCACTATGTCGCTTATAAACAGCAGCTCGTGAGGAAAAAGATCGCTGTACGAATACAAAATATTTGTCGTAACAAAGTTGATACTTTACACATCATGTTCGGACTTCGGACTACGAACGACAAAAGTAAACTATAATTCACACTTTGTCATATTTTTACTAGAAATTAGTACGGGTTAAAAATTCATATTTCGTTACGGACTTGATGGAGTGACCTGAAGGTGTACTTCGAGAACTGCTACTGGAACTAACAGACGAGATGAGTTATGTGTGTCGAATTTGGGCTTGTTTTGTTAGGTATGGTGAGACCTTGCCTTCTGACTAGATGGAGTGACCTGAAGGTGTACTTTGAGAACTGCTACTGGAACTAACAGACGAGATGAGCTATGTGTGTCGAATTTGGGCTTGTTTTATTAGGTATGGTGAGACCTTGCCTTCTGATTCTGTTGGAGTGACCTGAAGGTGTACTTCGAGAACTGCTACTGGAACTAACAGACGAGATGAGCTCTGTGTGTCGAGTTTGGGCTTGTTTTGTTAGGTATGGTGAGACCTTGCCTTCTGACTAGATGGAGTGACCTGAAGGTGTACTTTGAGAACTGCTACTGGAACTAACAGACGAGATGAGCTATGTGTGTCGAATTTGGGCTTGTTTTATTAGGTATGGTGAGACCTTGCCTTCTGATTTGTTGGAGTGACCTGAAGGTGTACTTCGAGAACTGCTACTGGAACTAAAAGACGAGATGAGCTATGTGTGTCGAGTTTGGGCTTGTTTTGTTAGGTATGGTGAGACCTTGCCTTCTGACTAGATGGAGTGACCTGAAGGTGTACTTTGAGAACTGCTACTGGAACTAACAGACGAGATGAGCTATGTGTGTCGAGTTTGGGCTTGTTTTGTTAGGTATGGTGAGATCTTGCCTTCTGAATAGATGGAGTGACCTGAAGGTGTACTTCGAGAACTGCTACTGGAAAACTAACAGACGAGATGAGCTATGTGTGTCGAGTTTGGGCTTGTTTTTGTGAGTTTTTTTGAGACCTTACCTTTGAAATTGATGTATTGGCATGAAGGTGTAAGAATACAGTAAAAAAGTTATTTAAAATATGGAACTATTCTACATCAATTCTGTGTATAAATATTTGTGAAACATGTTAACATAAAAAAATTGAAATTTAGATTATAATTATGAGTCAATAGAGTATAAATATAAGTCAAAGTAAATCACAAGTCAAAGTAATGAATTTTAATATAAACATTGTACATTACTTAGACATGATTAAATATTTTAAATGTCTTATTTGACAGTGTACAGATTTTAGAATTTTCGTTTAAATTTAAATACTCCGGGAGGCCTATGAAACTATCTGGTATTTTATTATAAATTCTTATTTCCATGCAGCCAAATGTTGGCCAAAAGTACACCACATGTAGAAAAGTTGTATGGATAATTAAAAATACAAGTAATACAAAACAAATTTGCACACGTGCAAATTGTAAGATTAGGCATGTCTAAAAGGTCATTTTTTTGTATGTTTCAATAGGTAAGGTCACGGAGTAGGTGTAATAAACATGTACTTTTCAAAAGTTTCGAACGACAGCTATGTGGCAAACTTTTTGTTTCACGTTTATGACCCCATTTATCGTTTATTGTTTTGTCGTGTTTCGCACTGATCAACTTTTATGATCATGGATTCTGCCTAAAATAATACTTAATTTAAAATAAGTAAGACGTCTTTAAAATAGGCAAAACACGGAAAAAAAAAATAGTTATGTAAAAATGTAGTGGGTCTCAACTTAAATTATCAAAGACTTATTTTTATGGCACAGTTATCACATACAACATTTATACCTCTTATAACTCAATTGTTGTTTCAGATGCCAAAACCTAAAACGATAAAATTTTAGCAGGCTACTACTTCGATATAGATAACAAAAATAATGAAATGATAGAGAACTATAAAGAAAAATCACAAAGATCCGACACAGAGCACCCCGACTCCGTGTGGTCTTCCCTATCCCTAGAGTGAACATCAAAAGGCGGAGCCAGAACCTCGTGTCGGAGGTATATAAATTGGCCTCGCGGGCTGGCTCCGCCCAGGATCGACATAGCGACAGTTCTGCGAAGAGCATGGAAGAGTCAAATTAAAAAATGAAACAATATTTTTTTAAGCTATTGCACAGCTTTTATCGCGGGCTTTGAGCGCGGCGAACGAATCAATAAATTCCGTAACGAAAATAAAACCTAACACCACCCACTCCGCCTACCACGCAAGAGGAAAGATTTGATTGTTTTTATGCATTGAATAGGCTCCTAAACCACTGAACAGATTTGAAAATTTCTTTCACTGTCTCGAAGCTACATTATCCCCGGATGACATAGGATATATTAAATTTTCAAAAAACTAGGAATCCTTACTAAAACTTGAATAATGTAAACCAAAGTGTACAAAAATTACCTAAAATATTGTTTGCATCGCGTGCGCTGCTAAAACTATTGATAATTGTATAAAATAATGTACTACGAATTTGCAGAACACATCATTATTTATAAAAAGTGTTGCGACAATATATGTCTAACTATTATAGTTATGCCACAATAAGTATTCTTTTACCTTAAAATTTTGATTGAAATGCCGCCGCTAGAAAAGGCTCTTTATTTGTATCTTGGTATTAATTCTTATAAAAATAAATTACTTTATATTTAAGACTGTTTCAATATCTTTATATAACTTTTTGAACGATTAAATTCGGACATTCCATTCATTAGTATATTGTAATTTAACTATCCAGAGCTTAGTGACTGACTTAGTAGTTCTTATCATTTTTGTAAATAATATAAATTAATTATATATTATTAATTATAATATATATTAATTATTATATTATTAAAATATTATTATTTATTAACATAAATATAAATATCAAAGAAAAAAAAATACTGCGTAATTAAATAATTATAATCGCATAATTTGATAAAAGATGCTATGCTATAGCTTTACCCCAGCTGAGCCGAGTGCGACAGGTTTTTTTTATAAAAATGTTTTTTAATTTTTACTAGTTTGTTTCCTTCGTTTTATTATTTCATTTTTAGTTTCTAGATACTAGCCCGGCTTCGTACGCCATGCTATTTCCAATTCATTTACAGAAAATTATTTTTTTTAACATTTAGCATGAATATTATTGAATCAGCAAAATGCATTCAGAATACCATACAAAGTATTTTACTCAATTCGTTAGCGGGTTTTACCTAATTATCTGCCTACATAGCTACCTTCCTACGTACCCTATCATTACCTACCTATCAAGCTATCTACCTACCGCACGCATAATCAAACATGTATAAAACAAGCTTTATTTACTTCATAAAAATTAATTAAAACATAAAATTAAATTATATACATAATTAATTAAAACGCAAATTATCAACAGCTACGAGCTTTTAAATGAAATTTAATAAATTATACCTAAATATATAAAAAATATTCAGTTTAAAAACCTGTTGAAAACAAATTTAACGTAAGCTTAAAAAATAAATGACTTCAAATTAAATAAAAGTATCAAGTTGCGTCAGTTACATAAAGTTTCGCTGCTTCGCGCTTGTCGCTGTGTGCGTGAGCCGTGCACGTGTAGTAGTACGCCTCTGTACCTAAAATTGAAGCGCGTGAATTCGTAAACGCGTCCTTAAAGTGAAAACTTCTTCTATAGGCACAATTTACTTATGAATTCATAAGTTTCTGTATTTTGTCATTAACATTACTCATGTTAAAAATTTTATTTTCTGATTTTAGATCTCTCTTAAACCATTTTTTTATAAATTAAAAAAATAATAATTTCCCAAAATTATAGTTTTTGTTTTAAGTCTACATGACTATTTTTTTGTGAGATAAACCATTTATTAGTACAAGATTCCTCTGCAAATGTAGGTATATATAAAAAAGTAATTAAATTTCTGATATTTATGTAAACACTACTACACATAAATAAATTAACAATCACCATGAATGTTGCAAAATATTGAAAAGCTGATATTCAACATTTGTATTTTAATTTAATGCAATATCAAAATTGATACCAGTAAAAATTTATTAAAGAGATTTTCTTTCCTCAGAGTTTAGCGACAGCTGTTGTGCAACTCTTCACAACAGAAGGTCCAGCCCATTCAGAATGGAAAAAGAAAGATACTGGGGTCCTTTGCCTCATCAAAGACAACAGCAGACGGTCATACTTCTTCCGTATATATTGCCTATATAGGAAGACTATGATTTGGGAACATGAGGTGTACCTTCAGATTGAGTACAAGAGCCCAAGACCTTATCTGCACACATTTGAAGCTGAGGTAAGTTAAATAATCAGTTGTGATTAAAAATTTTATAAATTGTACTGTTAAATCTTTCATGACCTTATGACGTCCTCAGGGCACCAGGAATACACTGTAAGTGTATTTCTTTTTTTTTTATTTAATCTTCTCACAGAAAATTTTACAAAGGCGAGCTTAATACTATATTGCATTCTCTACCAGCTAACCCTAGGTAGAACAGAAACAAAATGTTAAGGTCAGTAAAGTAGTTATAAACGATACTTAATTAAATAAATAATATGTAATAATTAGGTAATAAATCTAAAAACTACCAACATAAACATATATATACATATATATACATACATACATATACACATAAATACATATCAGATGTTCATACATAGTAAGTACTATTAAGTAGCTAAGACTCAGCAAGGATATGCTCAAACAGTTTTCTTTTAAAAATATTTTTTGGTTGGCGATTGTCGCAGGTCAACAGGCAACCTGTTCCAAAGTAAGATAGAAATGACAGTGAAAGATTTTTTTTTTTATATGAATGTTGCCCTTACCATAGTATAACGTTATCCTGTGTTGTAGGGACGTCTTACGCCCGGTTTCTTGAACAGTGATCATCATAGCAATTAATTAATCAGCTGTCAAATGGCTTCTCAAGTGCCACTTGAGTTGCCAAAAGGATGGTTAAACTCTCAACCAAAATCATCCTTTTGGCGATTTAAATGTGTATCACACAAATAATTGTCCCGTGTGGGAATCGCGCCCTCGAACGCTGGCGCTAAAGCCAATACCTCGGCAACTGCGCCACAGAGTCATCAAATAGCTGGTATGTATTCTTGGTATATATACCAGCTGGCTTCCATTCTTCAGACGTCAATACTCCCTTTTAAACTTGAGCTTTGCTTCCTCTCTTTTACTTTTCTGTTAGAGGAACCACTTTACGAATCGGTGGTCGTTAAAAAATGATTATCGATACATGAAATGTATATTTCGATGAATAAATGATTTGATTTGATTTGATCGTTATTCTCATAGCAAAGGAGTGGAAAAACCTGCCTTTGTCTGTTTTCACATAATTTGAGTGCTGTAAGGGCGAATAGCCTTCTATTAAATTAGCGCTTTCATCGCCAATGCCATTTGTTATCAGGCGAAATTCAAGCATCGGCCATTACACGATGAAAAATGTCACATTATCACAACATTTTTCCATTATACGAACATTCCCGATTGTTTATCGCTGCCGGTTTAGGGGACAGGCGCGTTTTACCCGACTGCCAAAGGATGGTTATGTTTTAATGTCAAATCTTTCGCAGGTTCTAAAAAGTCTTAACCTTTTACGGATTAAAACATATTGTCGGTGTCATTAGTTTTTTACATTTTTTGATATTGAAATAATATACCTACAATATTATTTAATAAAAAAAGTTGAGGAATAGTTCGTTTTTTAATGCTTTTTCATGCAGTCAGGCTTTTAAGTTCATTTAATTATTTATACTCGTTTATTAAACGAGTGATAACTATGCTATCACTGTTTACTCCTGTAGGGATTAAAGGCGCGAGGGTCGTTGTTAAAGCCTATATAGCCGTATCCTGTCTGTCTCCTGTTCTTGCAGATGTACTACGAAAAACGATAACTCGTTCAATAATCGTTTCGCCAAACGCTACCCCGAAACGCATTAATTCTTGTCTTCGGACTAGTACCTGGACGAGACGATGAAACTTTTGTCGTGTTACGTTTTACGGAATATTTCCATCGGGACAGTGGAACACGCCGGATCGTTTAGCCGGTGTCGTAATATGAATTATTAGCGAATGTATATCATTAGTGTCATTAACGGAGCGTGTCGTGTCACAAATATTTCGTAAAACTTACTATTCCATTCCATTAAACGCGTAGTCGTTAATTGATAGCTGCTATTAGTTAAACGTTAAATAACACGTGTTTCTTTAAACAATCGACCCAATGGATCTTTTGAATTTTTCTAATGCCTAATATCGAAACGAATGCATTGGCCTCAGTATACATACACCTACCTTTGAACGTCCTATAAGGACGTGCTTGTGACGTCATTCCTCTTTGAAAGTTTAAATCGATGTTAATGTATTCCAATGGAATACAAAACTAACTTAAGTAAGAAGTAATTGTTTCAGTTTAAGGTCTTTCCTTAATTTCTTAGTCCCAGGGTTTACAGTTCCGCTAAGGTATGATACGTTAGTCCAGTCCTAATATAAAAAAAAACCTGCTTCGCCACTGACCAGTTTGCCTAGGTACCGAGCGTTAGAAAATTCATATCTGATTAGTAGAAATGTGTTAAATCGATATAAAACCTTTTTATAAAAAACATACATGCAGGAAACGCAATTACTGACCATCGTTTGTTTTTAAGACACTTAGAAACATTATATCACTACATAGTATAAAACAAATTCGCCCCGCTGTCTGTATGTGTGTGCTTAGATCTTCAACGGATTTTGATGCGGTTTTCTTTAATAGAAAGAGGAAGGTTTATATGTATAATTCATCCATAATATAGTAGATAAATACTGATATAATTTTACAGGTTTCTAATGCGATGCCGAAAACAAACATTCAGCATTGCACCCGTGCGAAGCCGTGGTGGAATATTTACTGGTTACGTTATATATCAAGAACTGGCCTAGTACTTATATATCAAACCCTGATATTGATACGAATTTCGATAAAGTTTCCTTCTTTATCATATCGCCCGTTCCAATGAATCAGTGTCAAACAGTGAGTCATTACGAAACAACGGCGGTCGCCGCCCGTTGCCCGGCAAAGGTCGCCGATCACAGATTATAAAAGAGAGAAACGACAGCGTAACGTTTCCAATTACGCAACCGGTCGATCCATCAGAACTGGTTCGGCCGTTGCATTGTCTTTCCCGCGACGCTTCGTACGCTGGAAGCTTTCTAATCCGCCACCCGGTCTGCGGCAGCGGACTTACTTCTTGCGGCTTACGTCACCGTTTTACGTAAACGATGTCCGATGCCTTCGGGGCGGCGCGGAAGAAGCGAAAATGTTCTCGTCGCTGGACCTACAATAGACTTCCCGACAGATGACAGGGTATCATGGAAATATTATACAACTAGTATGGTAGGGCCACGCGACAGTCCACGATGTGTGAGAAGTTGACAAACGAGCTGGCGGTTCACCCGATATTAAGTGATGACCGCCGCCCTTCGACATTTGCAACTCAAGTAGGGTTGCAGATGTGTTGCCAACTATAAAAGTGAGCACCGACTACCTCACTCACCAGAATAAACGCAGAAGTATAACACTTCCACTTGGCACAGGTCTTCTGTGAGGTCGTGGTACTTACCCGGACGGACCTGCCCATTCGTGCAACACCCGCAGACTTGTGTCGCCCTACTTCAGCTAAATTTCAATGACATTTGTATTTGGTCATTATGTACTTAATTTTACAAATTGTTAACCATTTTCGGATACAAATTGAATCAAATGTATTACATTTCCACCATACCTATTTACTATTATCGGAAGTTTTCGCTTTAAAACCTCGTCCGCCGCTAAGAGCGCGCTTATGGTGACGTTTCCAACGGACTTGCGCTGCTACTTTCGCGGTAATATAATATTCTACTATGGCAAAATTGTAGGTAAGAAATGGCATGTTTTTTTAACGACGGCTGACCAGACAAATTGAATTAGCAATAATACGTGATGACGTCACGTCCTCCCGCCACGGACTACGGATTTGCACATTCCGCGATCTTTACGCGCTCTCCCGAATTCTTACACAAATGTGGGATGTTGTATGGAAAATAAAGAAACAAAGATTCTTTTATCTTTTAAACAAAGATTCGTTTATTTTCAACACGCAAACAAGTAGAAAAATATCTAACATGCTAACCGCCTATTGTATTCTATTTTGTGTGGAACGGTTTGGGTAGTAAGTCCCAACGACCAATGCGATCTAGAATTTCTATTGTAGTCTTCCCTTCGAAACCATTTCCCCTTACAGTACGATAACATTATCCTGTGTTGTAAGAACGGTTTACATACTTAAATTTAACGTGGACAAAAAAACCAGACCCGAAACAAAATCAAAATTAATCTGTGGGCCGTACAAGCAGTCGTCTCGTGTGGGAATCGAACCCACCACCCCGGGTGCTGAAGCCTTGTATATAACCTTGGTAATTGCGCCACTCCGTTCGCCCAATAAGTTTATCAAAAATCGTCCGTAGCTTATAGCCACTACGGGAATCGAACTCACATTTTCCGCATTCGCTCACAGACGCTTCACTACATAGAATAAAAACAAAGTCGCCCCGCTCTCTGTATGTATGCTTAGATGTTTAAAACTACGCAACGGATCTTGATTCGGTATTTTTAGAGAGATTCAAGAAGATTTATTAGTATAATACATTGTATCCGCGCGAAGCCGGGGCGGATCGATAGTTAACTACTAAGCTAAATAGCTAATCAGCTAACCGCCTGTCATTGTTGTCAACCTCTTACTATGTCGATTACTTGGCCTTTAATGTCCGACGAGGACGTCTTCGGCCGCTTTCGCTAAGTCACTTTCTCACCATTAATTTTCTTCATCGCCCTTTTCGGCGAAATAAAAGTTTACTTCAAAATCGACAAATCCAACATGGTTCGAATAGCCCTTTTTTGTTACATATCTTGGGACTTATATTTTGAATTTGTATAAGCCAGTTCTCCAGGAATAAGTGTCCTATAATTCGATTGAAGAATTGGTTCATATATCTAACATCTCAATCTATATGGCATTATTTCATTAAAGAATATATCAATCATATGAAATGGGTTGGGTTCATTCAAAATAGACCACAGCCGAGACTCGAGCAAGGCCTGACAAATATTGGAATTCAATATAAGAGATATAAACAATGATTTCTTGACTTTATGGCTTGGGTTTTTTGAACATTTTACGGGCGTTTTACAGCATAAATGGACAAAGTTCCTATGGTAAATTTATTTATAACTGTGAGCTTCTCGATTACTTGTTTGTATGTCTGAACAAGGCAAGTTGAAAATAGTTATATTTAACATCATGTATTGTCATTTTTTATGTGAAAAGTGGTCAAGCGAGAAGGCGGTTCACCTGATGTTAAGTGATTACCAACGCCCATGGCAATCTACAACACTTGAGGGTTTGCAGACGCATTGCCAACCTTGAAGATAGATGACATGATTTCTAGACCATAATTCTTCCCTCCCAATTTAGAGAATTCCACTCTCTACATATTCCATTTCTTCCAGGACTACATGACGGCCTTCAACTTCGCGAACGAGGATGAGGCACGAGCGCTCAAGAACACGCTAATTGAAAAGATCGAGTTGCGGAAGCAGAGGAGGGAAGGTGAGGAAACGGATAGAAATGGACACGGTCCATATTTAAACTTTTATTGTAGTAATCCTCGCACATAGGTGAAGCATTAATCGCTTAAAATGCTCAAGAACAATGTAGATAAAAGACCTTGAGATTTTAGTAGGGATGGCCGTCGGCCGCTTAGCTTAGTGGCTAATGTGTTTGGGCGCGAATCGGGGGGACGGGGCCTCGATTCCCGCATCGGTGGAAAACTTCTCTTTGTTTTGTCTCCAAATTTTAATTCCATTGTCCATATTTATCGAATGTGATCTTTCAGGATTTATTTATTTACTTCACAAAGATACACATCAAAACGTGCTAAGAAATACATAAATATGTAGCATTTTAAACTAAATGGTATCTTGATTACAGGTAAAACGACATTCAAAAGTGATTATATTCTCAACAGTTAAAAAAAGAATATGTAATAAAAACAAAAATAACAATATTTTTTTATTTTTGATTAAGGCGATATTCACAGGCTGTTCGATCGCTGAAGCCGTTATTAATCTTTTTCTTTGAGTTCGTTTTGTTCTGAATTAAAAAAAAAAATCATTGCGATTAATTTGTTCTAAATTTCAAACCATCCGGACGTCCGGAAGTGGTTGAAAGGCGATCGTATTGCATTGTTGGATATATTAAAACAGGTCAACCTATTAAAAGCGTGTTGAAAATAGCACGCGATCATAAACCCGGCAATTTGTTTGGTACACGATTACACGATGTACTACTGCTGCCTGGAATCCGCATTTAGTAGCGGTCCCCGAGTCAAGTCATCGACCGGGTGGATGTATAAGTGAACATACTATACGTTAAAGATTAACGGCCGCTTTCAATACTCTATCTACAGTTTATTTTTAATGTGAAAAGTTGCCAAGCGAGAGGGCGGTTCACCTGGTGTTAAGTGAATACCGCCGCCCATGGACATCTGCTACACCCGAAGTTTACAGATGCGCTACAACACTTTAATACTACCCCGGCCACCTCACTCACCAGCCGGAGTGCAGAAGTGTAACACTACCACATTACGCCGGTCTTCTGTGAGGTCGTGGTACTTACTCGGACGAGCCTGCCCATTCGTGCAGACAGCCGAGGCTGCTGCGTGACCCTACCACAGTTAAATAGATAGTTTTGGTTACTAGCTATAGGTATTTGACATTAGCTCCATAATACTTACCTCAAAATTCCATCTCCAGTAACCAATCCTATCTGTGGATATAATATTGAAACCGGCCGTAAATTTCATAATGCTATGATTTCACTCGTCCGTGTTTATTGACTGGTGGCGGTCTACGCAGCGCCAGCGCGCTACATAATGCATTGATGTTTACCAACAGACAATCCTCAGTCAATAAACACGCAGGCCGGTTATACTTTGCCAGCGAATTTCTTCGGCAGGTATGTCATTTGGCGCCCCATGTGCGATTTGTTACATCAAGTATCGCACTTTGTATGATTTTCAAGTAGTCCGTGCAGTGGCCATTTTGTTTTTTGTTCGTAATATTTTCCCGCGCAAAAAAGGCACGTGCATCTCAGATAGTAGTCGTGAACTTCATTAGTCTTATATGTTAGAAGCGCTTCAAATTAATTATTTTTATATATCTCTTTTTTATGCTATCTGGAATACGTGTGTTTATTTAAACTTTTAGTTTCGTAATGAAAACGTAAGGTGCCAATCGTATATAAAATATGTTGTTGGATTTCATGCTCTTTGCACAATAGAAAACATATAGGTTATAAATGAGGTGTTTTGAAAGAAAGAAAGAAAGTATTATGTAGTGTAGTGTATTGACACAACATACGTTAACAACAAAGTTGAAGTATAAAATATGTTTAAAATATATCTTTATTTTTTATATTATAGGAAATTAAAGTCAATAACGCTTTGAGTAGACTAGCGATCTCAGGTTAGAACCACAATGGCCCACGTAACACTTGAATTTACAGTTTTTAAAATTATTTAAATTTTTAGTTTTTTTAATTGTTGGAACTTGTTAAAACAAAGTTATATCTAAATAATATAATCTAGGATTGTTTAGAAATATTCGCGTGAAGTCGTTTGTTTTGTTTTACGATGGTGGAATTTAATCTTTAGTAAACAAGCCCGTTCCGCTTGGGAGCTACGCATCTATTTTTAATTTTTAATTAAAGTAAAAAAAAAAACAATTATTTGATAATGGTCATGGCACGAAACCCGTTAAATATACTAAATATCAAAAGCGTTAAGATTTGATGAAGTTTCGATATAATTTTAAAAATAATTCTTCTAGTTACACTGCGAACTGTCGATGTGGATGAGATATTAGAAATCAAATCTGTTATCTAATTAAACTCCAGTCGATAAATAAGACGTAACAATTAAAGTTTTCGTTCCGAATCGTTACGAGTCTGTTGCTTATAGCGTTTTCGTGTATAAAGCGATTACTTATCCAAGATGAATTATCCAGAAAATAGCTTTTTTATACAATTTATTTACTAAACTCACATTTAAGTTTAATCTCGAGTGAAGACTGGCACAAAAATAAAAAACAATCATTGATTTTATAGAGCCCAGTTAATGACAGTTAACTCATTTAATGTTTTAATTTTATTAACTCTAAAAATTTACCCATAGACGTACATTGATTGTTCGATTGAAAGTGCAAAGGTAACGAATTATAAATAAATGTTTACTTTAAAATTTGTAGCAAAGACGGATGGACATTTTTCTTATGAATTGAACTCAGGTGTTGCTTTAACCACTAAGCTAAACGGCTGATTGCCTCACCGGCGAAAATCTCGACGTATTTTATCTACCTTGTTTATTCCCATTTCTAGTAATCCCTGGTGCATCTACTACCTTTGTCTCCTTTACAGCAGACAAACAGTTTCACAACGGTAATTCGGATGATTCGAGAGGTCGCCACTGCTGTTTAAAATTTCAATTTTATAGTACTAATGCAGGTGGCTCGTGTCAGTCTGTGGGGGAGGCATATGTTCACCAGTGGACTTAACAGACTGAAATCATGATGCCAGCGCTAATCTCAGCACCTTTTCTATATGAGAAGGTGGCAAGCAAGCTAGCGGTTCACCTGATGTCAAGTGATAGCCGCCGCCCATGGATCGCACTAACAGCGCCTCATAATAAAGTGGGTCCCGCCTACCTCACTCGCCAGACGAAACGCAAGAGTGTAACACTTCCACTTCACGCCCGTCTCCTGTGAGGTCGCGGTACCTACTCGGACGGGCCTGCACATTCATGCAACAGCTGACTGTTACGTGGCCCCACCACGCTTAAGATAGAACGTGTCCGCTTGGTCGCAGAGAGGCGGCTGAGGTCGATGCACGGCGCGAGGCCCAATAGCTCCGGCTCCCAGAGGTCGGTGAGGCAAAACGGTGTCGCGCCAGTCGCGCCGGTGCCCTCCCAGTCGCCGGTGCCAGCGCCCCAGCCCGTGAAGGCAGCCAACGTACCGGGTGAGTGAAACCCTCTAGTGAAACTCTCTAACCTCTTTAGGGCGGCAATCGGAGGGATAGCGTTCGTCTAAGGCCTACGATTGGAATGAATATTTACGTCAGGGCCAATGAAGTTCATCGTCGACTTCCCACCTTCCCAACAGTTCCTAACGCAAGCCTTTCTCAAAGGCCAACGATTCAACAGGGTCTGATTTGCCTTTAGCTCAAGTAGGTCTTGGTCTAGGGCGGCAAAACTTGGCGCGGTAAAAGCGCGCCTTTCGCCTCTCGCTTCTTTGCGTAGACGATATTCCGTAAAAATTAGAATAACCAGACCAAGCGATCATGATGAGTAGGTACCGTTTTCCTTTTTTATTCCTATACTTCATTAGATTTCTCTTGCTTTACAGCGAGTAGCAACGGCGGCAATGTTGTATTTGCCTAGGCCGACCAACCGATCCAATCGATCACTAGATCATAACTTTAATCTAGGGCCACAATCCTTTTAAAAGTCTTTGCTAAGTGCAAACGGTACTAACGAAAGACATTGTCAAAGACAAACAACCCTAAGAAATGTATTTGGCGACAACACGCTGACTACAGTTGGCATTATGTTTTAACATCAATTACTATTATATTACTATGACCTATAGGGCACTGTAGAAAGTGTTGAAAATGTAAGAAAATGTTGAATAGTATAATTTGGTTCGCTTTCATAATACCAGGCGGCGGTTACACATTGAAAGGCAAAAAGCCTAAAACGCGTAAGCTGACGAAGGCGGACATCGGTTTCCCCGAGAACTTCAAGCACATATCACACGTCGGCTGGGATGCTAACAAAGGTTAGTTTAGTATGACATGAAAAGATAGTAACTCCAACTGTTACTTTTGTTCGTCGCTTTTCGTCATGTTTTTTTATCTGTGGTCGCACTCATATGTAGATGAATAATTTTTAACTACTTAATTTTACCGAGGTTTGTTGATTAAAAAATTTGCAGTTCTCGAAAGAAATATATAGCGGGTCTAATTTTAGCAAAGCGACCTTCAGTTTAAATTATAAAACTGCTCAAATGAAAAAAAAACAATAAAATAACAAAAAAAAAAACAAATTCTACGCACTCTTAACGTGCCCTAAATATTTATTTTTAACGAATTTTATTATTTGATGTGCTTTTTTAAAAATTATAGTAGATGGCAAAATTTCTTCTCTGGACAGTTTCAACTTCCAAACCTAAAAACCTGCTTTTACGATGTTCGTATATACTAGAACCGATGCCGAATCAAATAAATGCTTCGAAATTTGGCCGGATAGTTGCAAACCCACAAACTTGACGGCAGTGGGTTTTTCAATGTTCGTATATACCGGAACCGATGCCAAAACCAAATCAAACGCCCCATTCGCAGGGTTCGACGTGGACCTCCCCGCCGAGGAGATGCGCTCGTTCCTCTCGAAGGCGGGCATCTCGGAGACTCAGCTCCAGGACCGGGACACGCGCCAGTTCATCTACGACTTCATCAACAGGAACGGCGGAATCGACGCCGTGAAAGACGACCTCCAAGAGACCCCTCGCCCGCCCAAGAGTAAGCGTTTAGCTGTAGACAATGGAGACGGACACCCGTAGTGCGGATGGGTGTCCCTCGGGGATCGGTTCTATGACCGTTACTATTATTGGTGTAATATTTTCATTGTGATTTTTTACTGTCAGATATATGATGGATCTAGCAACCGTTAGGGCTAGTTTTTCTTTTTTTTTTGTATGTATATTACTAATTGTTCGCGTAAATGGCGGAGAAAATGATATTGTCTATAACTCATTGATACACAATTGATATTGTGGTCCCCTAACTGAGATATAAAACCTTTTTTCACTCTCATATCGTATCCAGCCTCGTCCTTGCGTACGAACCGTCGCGATCGCTGCAACTTTCCACCTTCCAGTAACGTATTGTGAGAAGCCTTTATACCTTAAACTACCAGATCGCATTGGCGTACGGAATGCCGCCGAGCACCGTGGTGATCCTTATTTCTTTGCAATTAAAAGTTGTTTTCGTTTGCAGGCTCCTCGCGGTCCGTCGCCCCGCAGTCCGCGCCCCCCGCGCCCCCCGCCCCGCCGGCGCCGCCCGCACCGGCCGTGCCCTCGCGCACCCCCGCACACGCGCACCCACCCGCCCCTCGTAAGTGTATACAGAATTAAGATACTGCGTTTATTTAATGAAATATTTTAGCTTCTAAATTTGTCTGATTATGATTTCGTGTATTTTTGCTTATGGCATAACAAACTTTTTTTTTTTTGACTTTTTAGTCATCTTGTCGACACGAGTTAGAGTTTGTATCCCAGCATCGCCTTTGCGTCCTTGAAAAAGGACTGTGACTTTTGACCATGTGCAATGAAGGTCGTTATGTATTGTAGCATCCCGAGCGCCCCCGCCCCCGCCAGCGCGAGCCGTGCCCCCGCCCCCGCCCCCGCCGCCCTCTTTGGCGCCGAGGAATCCGCCCCCGCGTCCGCCGCAACGTAAGTAACAGACATAAGCATACGAACACACACACATCCGGACATCACGTTATTTAATATTGCATCCAATAAAATGTTTGATTATTAAATGGTTGATTAACGATGGTTATTCTATGAGTTCTGTTAAATATTTAGCTTCATCAATTTTGGGTAGTTACGTACCCTGACTCCATTGCGAAACCACTGATATGTTTTCTTAGTATTAAGATCACTTAATTGCTTTCGATAATGAATATTATAAGCTAACTAGCTGATCCGGCAACGTTGCTTTGCCATAATTTATCCGAAAAAAAAAATATTTTTTTTTAGAGTGAGCCACCCTTGGCACTTAGGGGTATAAAAAAATAGCCACAAACCTACTCTCATACGTACTGAATATACATATAAAATTTCAACAAAATCGGTCAAGACGTCTCAGAGGAGTACAAACACTAAGACTGTGACACAACAATTTTATATATTAGATTTATTTAACCGATACATTTGACAGTTAAACCACTTTAACCTTACGCCACGGATTATTATACACTTACCAGTACATATTGAGGCTAACAACTCGCATTTGTGGTACATTCGCAGCGCTGCCCGGCGCCTCTGGGGGCCCTCCGTGCGCGCCTCCCCCTCCGCCGCCGGGGGTGCCTCCCCCCCCTCCGCCGCCGCCTCCCCCGGTGCCGGCGCCCCCCGCCCCGCCGGCGCCCCCCGCGGAGCCCCCCGCGCAGGATGCGCGCGCCGCCCTCATGGAGAGCATACGCAGCGGCAAGAACCTCAAGGTGATTGTGGTGTGTTGTGTGATAGCCAGCGGCCGGTTTCAATAAATCCACAGAGCATTTAACTCGCACGGGTATGAAGATGAATAAAGGTTACTTTGGAAGTTAAAACGGAGGGAGCGTATACGGTGAAAAGATGAAAATAATTCGAATCACTTAACGAAATAATTTAATACATCTAATGACAAATACACGACATCTGAATTAATTACAAGCCACTTTCAATATTCTATCTACAGATAGATTTGGTTACTATCGATAGGTATTTGACATTAGCTGCATAATACTTACGTCAAAACTCGTATCTCCTGTAACCAAATGTACCTGTAGATTGAGTATTGGAAACGGCCGTAGTGGACGCTGATTATTGCAAGAAATGCAATTAAAAAGGTCCTCTGTTGTTATTCCAGAACTGCATTTTTTTATTTGACCTGTATAATAATTACAAAATGCAAATTGATAAATAATGCAATTATAATGACGAAATTCGCACTCGACTCACAGCACGTGGAGGTGGGATCGAAGTCGTCGCTGAACGAAGACAACAGGAGCAATTTGCTCAGCGAGATCAGACAAGGCGTCGAGCTGAAATCGGTGAGTGAGAAAAAAAAAAGGAATCAACAGTACCGTTGGTAGATATAGGATACAACATAACCGGTCATGAGATACATGCTGATTTAAAAAAAAGAGAAAATTTTAAAAGTACACCCTAATTATACTCATCTCAATCTGATCCGGGCTATCCTTACATATCAATCAATCTATTGACGTCGCTTTGTATAATCAATTGCTTATGCACGGACCTTATGTGGGTTTTCGATTTCATTACTATGAAAAGGTTCATCGATTCCATTCTAAACCCCTTGGCCAACGCAAGGGTTGGCGGAAAACAGGCGTGCAGAGAGACTTCAGATGCACTAAAGAACTACCAATTCTATAAATGCTTGATGATAACATAACAGGTCATTTAAATAACATCCAAAGTCATCATAACAAACACCCAGATCTGGAAAAATATGTGCGGGTCACACAAATACTTGTCCCGTGTGGGAATCGCCACCGAATCATGCTCTAAGTGGCTTAGCTAAAACGATAACTTCACTGTAACTCGTGGATGCCAGTGTTTTGGGGGCATTTTAGTTTGGGACGAGGAGGTATACAAAGTTATTGCGTATGATCGATCTTCGAATGTGTTCAAAAATCAAAATCATTTATTCATCGACATAAAAAACTTACACTTCATCTATCTGATCATCTATCTACCACCGATTCGTCAGGTGTCGCGCTCGACGAGCAGCTCGGGCGAGCGGTCGAGGGCGGAGGCGCCGGCGTGCGGGCTGGCGGGCGCCCTAGCGCGCGCTCTGCAGGAGCGCAACCGCGCCATCCACTCCTCCGACTCGGAGGACAGCGACGCCGACAGCGACGGCGAGTGGGACGAGTGACGGCGCCGTTCGCCGACGCGGTTCGCCGACACCGCGCGCCGACGCCGCGGCCGCCGACACCGCGCGCCGACGCCGCGGCCGCTTACACGGTTTCGGCCGGCAGTGACGGCGCTTTCGCCGAAACCGCCCGCCGGCAACGCGGCCGACGGTTCGGCGATGCCCTGCGCCGACACCACGTCCGCCTACACGGTTTCGGCGTCAGTGGCCCTTCGCCGACATCGCTGCCGCTATTTTGGCGACAACGTGCCGCACCGCGTCCGTCTAAACGGTTTCGGCGTCAGTGGCCGACTTCGTGCACCGACATGTGCGACACTGTCCGCGTCCGGTGATCCATCAACGGTGCTCGCGAACGCCCTCGGTCGACGAATCTTTTGCCGACGCACCGCTCGCCGACTCCGCGGCACTAGTTAAGCAACGCAGAGCGTTGTTCCCGCGTCCGCCTACACGCTTTCGGCGTCAGTGGTCCTTCGCCGACGTCTTACACCGACGTGTGCGTTACTGGTGGCGGTCCGTCGACGGGGTCGGGCTCGCGAACGCCCCCGACCGACAAATTGTCCGCGGAAACCGTTCACCGAACGATGTCTATAGTCCGATACTACGACGCGTTGTTCACCGACACCGCTTCTGATCGGACGTGTTACGTAGGTCGTAGACTGGCTGGCATCGAGCGGCGGCCGTCAGGTGACAAAGTGTTAACCGACACAGCACAAAAAACATTCTATAAACAATGTCCACGAACAAATTGTAAATTGGAGCAGTGTTGCTTCGCAATGTCCTTCACTGTTTTCACCCGTGCGTCCCCCCCCCCCCCCCCCCCCCTTATAGCGTACGTCTAATACTTAACAGCCTCCGAACTTCCTCATTCTCAATCTTTCTTCATCTATAATAATAATATACTATTTTATTCACCACTGCGACGGTGCGAGGTTTGCTTTTCTCAGAATTTTGAAAACTTGAACATGCTTTTAAATATTTGTAATTACAAACATATTGAAACTAAAAAAATATGTTTATAGATGAATATTTGCGTTCTAAGTAATACATTACAACGAGTGTCGCGGAGACCCTGATTTCATTATTATCAAAATTAAGCATAGACTATGTGAACAAGTTTCATTCCATAGATAAAAAAAGAGTAAGAATCAATTAAATGACGTAAGATGGGGGAGAAGGATCAAAACCATCGAAACACATAAATTCACTTGTTCAACAAACGACGAACGCGAAACATTGAATGTGGTGCTAGATAAAAAAATATATATTTTTCGAAAATAATTTTCTTTTCTACTTTACATGACCAAATATTTGGCCTTTCGGGATAATGTACATGATGCATTACAAATAATTTCCAAGCAGTGAAAATACTCCAAAAGATAACAAAAAAACTTATCAGAAATCATCAAAAGCAGATTCCAATCAATTATAAAATATTAAAATAATAACATTATTTATAATCTCACTTCAAAATTTGGAAGTGAGGTTTTCAAAAGAAGGAAAGGATTAGCTCAACAATTTTTACGTTATAGCTTCCGGAATAAGATACTCTGAATCATATTCGCGGCAGGAATATCCGTGAAATCTTTTCGCCACCGTCCCTCTATGAAGCAAATTTAGTAGTTCTCCATATTGAACATTCAAATCCCGAGTGTGTCATATAGCCAATTTATTACAACAGTTTGCTCAACTGATACATTAAATTACTATCTGACCCCATAGAGGAGAAAGGTTGTTTTTTTTTTTAAATAGAAAGGTGACCGTGGATTTTTTTGTGATTTATCTGTAAAAACTGAGTCATTGTAACAAAAATTTTTTATAAACACGTGTAAATCGATAATTTTCATACAACGTTACAGTTAATGGCGTACAGGAGCAATTTTATAACTATAGTTTGTCGACGTATTATTATTTTAGTAGTTAGTAATCAAATATCGTATTAACGTTAATTTGACATATTTTTTTTTTAATTATTTCCTATTTATAACCTCGATGTAAATCTTCGTAATGTAAATGTGTATATAGTTTTTCGGTGGGCGTATGACTGAAGAACGTTATGTATATTTAATTTCTATCGATTTAGTGATAAATGCATGAAGACGATGGTTTTTTATACACTAAGTTATTACGTGATGTCGCACCGAGTCTACAACAAACGATCTTCGTTCTAGACGGTGATGAGAGACGGTTTTGATTTATCGGAGATTTATTGTTAATCTATGCAATAACTAGTTTTAAGTTACATTTATCATATGGATAGCACGGCTTCGTTATTCGCGTCTTTTACTTTTGACATTTTCAGCGTGCAACGCGTTTCAAAACTACGTCGGGGTGGAATCGACCTGACACTGGCTTCATTGTACAATGAAATTTTGATACATCTCATATGGCGTACCGCACATGTTCGTATATGATTTGCAGGGCCGGATTTAGGGGAGGGTAACCCAACCCGGTTGCGGTTGCGGGGCCTCCACAAACGAGGGGCCCCCACAATAGAGACTTCGTAAAAAAAATTATTTATTTATTTATTTAAACTTTTTGCACAAACATTTGTGTACAAAGGCGGACTTAATGCCATCAGCATTATCTCCCAGTCAACCTTGGGGTGGTCCAGAAAAGTTAGGGTAGGTGCATTTATAACAAATTTACAACAACAGAAAAAAAAATAAACCAATCAAAAGATTTTCAAATATGTACATTACATATGAAATCTACCAACAAAATACTACTCTAATAATATCTGATAAAACTATACAATACCATACATATATATAAAATAAAGTAAACATATTAATGCACGATACATACACATATACATGATATAAGATATACATACTTACATACTCATATTTTATATATAAATAAATATAATATAAAGTATGTATATATTATATTTATATATTATATATAACGATTCAGAGAATCTGCTGACAGTTTTTTAAGGAAGTGCTCGCGAGTTTTCCTTATAAATGCGGAGCGACTTTTAGCAGTCTTGATTTTGAGAGGCAGCGCGTTCCACAAAATAATGGACTGAACTAAGAAAGACGAGTGCATGAAACCAGTACGATGAGAAGGACATTAAAAGAGTGGTTAGTGCTCTTAAGGAGCGGCGTTGGCGAATGGGTAACCACTGAAGTTGGGAACGATAGTGAGACACATGGTCATACTTACGAAGATTGAAAATGAATCGAATGCAGTTATTCAGAAGACGGTCTAGTTTATTGAGGTGATCTGCATTCAGGTCAAAGTAGCACACGTCGCCATAGTCGATTAAAGGAAGGATTAAGGACTGCACGAGCGTAGCTTTACTTTTAGATGGTAAAAAATGTTTAAGTCTGTATAGGTAACGTAGAACACTTGTGACCCACTGGCGATTTGGTCTTTCCAGCTCAGGGTCATATCGATAAGCAAACCAAGGTTTTTCTTTTCAAAATTCTTTCCTTCTTCAAAATTCTAATTCAGACTAGAAAACAATAGTAAACAACTTTTGCTTTCATATTTTTTTCGCGTTTTACTCTTACCTACAGTCCTTTGTACGAACATGATAACATTAAATATTAACAGAAATCAATAGAAAATATTTTGGGGCTAAGAGGCCTCCATTCCTTTGTTGCCCGGAGGCCTCCAGACCTCTAAATCTGGCCCTGATGATTTGTATCTTAATTAATAAGGTGCCAATATTTGCATTAATTTAATACGCGCCATTTCAATGGATTTACATTATAATGCAATGATATACAAATCGAACTTTCGATAGAGCAATGAAATAATAATTTGTGCAAAACGCGTCAGACGTACAAATATGCGGGAGCAATCGATTTTTTCGTGCCATTCCGTCTGCAATTTAATCAAATCTGACGCACTGAGACTAATCAAATAATAATTACAAGTAAATGAACTTGTCGTGTCGAGGATAGTATAGATTAGAAAAGTCACATTGATTACTAGCGAATTGAACGCTAGTAATCGATGCCTACAAACGTGACCGCTAAACAGCCTTCAAACTATATTAAACATTCGTTATATGTAAATATTGTAGTATAAATAAATAATAACATCCGTTATCCCTCGTATATTATATATATTGAAACATTAGTTCCTATAAACCTCACTAATTTCAACTCGAGCCGCCCACTTTTACCATTTACCTATAATTTACACAGATGTATAATTCATACTTCGAAGGAAAGTATCGTTCGGTCAATTACATACCATTGGTTTTATGCTTTAATCCATCAAACCAGAAAGAAGCCTATTTGATTTATTGTGTGTTATAATTTATTTAACAATTAATGCGAATACTGTAAAGCCAGTGGGGTCCACCCCGACAAACTTAAGTTGTTTACTCATATCTAAGTAACTGTTCCATCCTTTTTACATTAACGACTCTCCGATGACAGTTTGTTTCGTTCGCGGAAAGTGCTAATCAGCGGGTGAGTGCTTTGCCAGTACGTAGGTTGCTCTGATACTATGACTATTTAATGAGCCATTAGCAAAGTTATTAAAAGCTCAATATAATTTTATAAGATAACTGAATGTATGAGTTTTCTAATAGTCGTACATAAATGACGTTTAACATACACTGTTTTCATTATTCTTTAGTATTATTCTACGCTGTTCTTCTCTTGAAAATTAGTAAAACACATTTTTAGCTGAATTGTAGAAGATAATTACTATAGTTTTAGCTTACTGTTACTGAATTACATATTTATATGAGGCATTAGGAGCATTTTATTAAACTCAATAGTAACATGTCATCTTATGTCGGAACAACTAACGTGCTGTACACACAATCATCTAAAGCTATGCACTTTTCTCGAAGAATTATTGGTTCTTACATGCAGTATGCTTAAAATCGCTAACAAAGCTACGTCTGTGATGTGAACATGCAATCGCTCTTCGAAGTCCGCAAATGAGAGGCCATGTTATATTAACGTAGCGTTTAACTTTGTACATTGTAAAAAGACGCAAAGCTATTTTTATAATGTCGAAATTTACGTTTTCTATTCTAACGACCTGGCGTATAGATTATGCCGGCTTGATGAGACTAACCGTGTAAGATTAATACCACCTGTACACTATGTTGATTAAATAAATGGTTATTATAAATCGCATTTTTCTACTTTACTACCTATATTAAGCAATAAAAATTTGAAACGATTACTGTAATCCTATAAAAGGAATGTTGTTAAACTAATATTAATATCGCATAGTTATAAATTCGTTGAAGAATGATTGAACACGTTTTATAGATACTGCACTAGTTTAAATAAATGTAGTACCTAACTATAGAACTAACATTAGTCGTTAGTGTCCAGAAAAGAAAACTGTTCACACAAAGGAAATAAATTTTGTAATGCTATTGAAATTGTTTTGTTCCCTGTACCATGTTCATTTCATGGTTCATTTGTGAAAACCGAAGCGATGCCAAGGTACATTAAAATTGTAATATTAACTACTAAATGAAATATTTTTCTATTTAAATTACATCAATTTGCGGTCTGCGGTTATTTAACGTGGTACATTTAAAATTGTAGTATCTACATACTTTCTTTAGGTCAAACTTTTGTATACTTATGTCATCATTTTTATCATTCATTAAAAAAATTTTTTTTCACCTATACGCTGGCATCTTATACATACATATTGTATATAACATTGCCCATTTATATTATATTACATTGAAGGCAACCGAAGTTTTAATAAATGAAAAAGCATTTGTTTTTAGATTGACATTTATTATTACAACTAATCTGTAATTTTAATTATTCGGGACTTAGCAATCTAATTAATAAAAGTTATCACAAAAATAATAATCATAAAAAACAATCTTTGATACTATACTCAGAACTCAATACGTCTTGAATAGAACCCAAATCGTATGTTCCTTTCCTACATGGAGTGCTGATTGAAATGCTAACAGGTCCCTAACAATTTTCGGCATGTTTGGAATTCCAATCATTATTTAATAGTACCTTATCTACAATATCATTATATCTCCTTAATGAAAATATGACGAAAACGAAAATTTGGGTACAAACTATTGTAACGAATATAATATATTAATCTTATTTTACAGCTACGCAAAGGATTATTAATTATACAGAAAACCCAGATCTTGTACAAAATATATTGATCATAACCGTAGACGACTTATAATTAGAGCGGCAAAACATTTATTCAGCAACTAATAAAACTCGCTTAACCTTTCATGGGAGCTCAAGCTATTTTTTTTAAATGAAATATCAAACGAGTGTCCATTTTAATTAGGTTTACCGTAGGTAGCTCTCACTCTAGAAAACCTAGTGACTAATTGCTATTTACAAGACTAAAAACATTGCTATCCTAAATTTAACAGTCACCTTATTCTAGAAGAAAATAGGAAATCTGATTAAAATGCCAGTCATTTTGGAAAAATGTTTGCTTTTTTTATGGAAATCCGAGAATAACTAAAAACAAATAAGCATATGTCATGATGAGGTATTTAATACAGATAAAATATTACTTCTATTTAAGTAACCTTATTGCTTAGGGCCTACACTTTGAGACTATTAAAAACACTGTATTAGAATTTAATTCTTTCATTGGCGAAGTTCAGTCTCTATCTTAATAATAATAATAATCCATTAGCAAAAAAAAAAATAATTCAATGACAGCCTATACGCAAACGAACGTCTTTGTACGGCTGTCAAAGGCATCGATCTATATATACATGCGATTAAAACATTTTAAATTTGTTTTATATTTTCGAGCCTTAAAACAACAGAGACAATGATTTGCTTTAGTCAATAAGGAAATGTTGAAAGAAACGACTTATTTTTTTAATGCCCGACAACACATATCTAGATTACTACTAACATCTTAAGACGAAAATCTTAACAAGACAGTAATTATGGCATGGCATATAATATATATTACAATATGGCAGCCTTATAGCTGGTAAAATATATTCACAGGGGGAGTACAACTATGACTTAAATAAATAGAAACCAATTTCTTAAATGGTTTAAAAAGCTCAAAATTTTCAGGATAAATGTAAATGATTAGGCTCACCTGTTAACAACAGCTACCATATGTATAACAAAACACACAGAGCAAAGTTAGTTTCTTAATAAAAGAATAGCATATGGAAATAGTTTGTAAGAGCATATAAAAATCCTGTAACAAGCAACATAATTCAATCATGAATTTACACACACAGGTATATGTTCAAAGGTTTTATAAAAAAAATTAAAACTCGTTCCACTAACAAACAGCAATTGGTTTAAAAATAGTGACTTACAAAGTGAATGGATTATTTAATGTTTTCTAATTACTACTGAACTATTAATTAAAAACATTGCAATATTTAAATATATTATCCACCCCATATATTTTTTTTATGTTTAGTATCATATTAAGCAAAAGTACAATACAAAGCCTTGAAGATACTTAGCCGATATATATTTTAAACAGACATATAGACAAATGCATGTTGCATTATTATACTGAAGTCTATGACTTAAAACTGAGTCTTTTGATAATGACCCATCCATAATTCTCTTAAACCCACAATTTCTCACTCTATTATATATTCTCAAAAGTTCGCTTAATACATGCAGAGTTTTGCTATAATTCACTTTAACATATTCAAAACTTATCAAGTTGAATTAAAATAAAGATCAAGGTTTTTACTAAAATTCCTTTATACCGCATCGTAAATAGGTTATAAATTGAATCCTCTAAATGTTTCATTTTGTTTAGTTTTCAAGTTGTTTAGTAATACACAATATAACATGGTCAAAAACAAAGATAGTTAACACTGCATAATTTAATTTCTTAGGTATGTACATATAATATAAGTATATAACATACTACTACAAAGCTACTCGAAAATTGAAACTTAAGTTAATGTTGTATATAATGCACAGTTTTGAATGAATGTTTAAGAAATTTTTAATATTATTAAAAAATTAACAATAGAGAGACTTATAATGGAAAGTACAAGCCAGTTTACTCAATTTCTCGCTATTAAACTAAGGTAGTCAACCGGTCTTAATATATCATGCCCAATGGGCCAAATATCACTTAATCACTAAGGAAATGTTTCCAGCTTTGGTAGACGAAAGCCTGTTGAATAATTAGGAATCCAACAAACAGTTCCATTTTTTAGCTTACAGTCAACACAGATCTATATTGATTAAACACTTACATTGTTTATACATAATCACACATAACGTCATATATGTATTCAATCGTCTATTGTTATAACGGTCAGGATCTCTTCGTCGTCCGTCAAGTTGATCACTTTGTTCGGGATCATTGTCCGTTTTTCGTCCTTCGCCTCGTATAGGGAGAGCACGTCCGATATTATGGGCGTGTGGACCATCATGTGGAGGTTGGCGTCCGACGAGTTCTGGCTCTCCTCGTCCTGAGTCGCGTACCCTGGCCCCGCCGCCTCCTCCTCGTCGTCGCTGTGCCCGTAGAACTTTTCGTCGTCTTTCTCGTCTTTGGGCACGTACGAGTTGATCAGCTGCCCCAGGTCCTCGTCGCACGTGAACACTTTGGAGGGGTCGGAGTCCGGTCTGTCGCATTCGTGCATCGAGAAGGACTTGTACGACGTGAAGTATTTGCGGCACGACTGGCACTGGTTCTGCAGGTGCGCCCGATAGTGGTTGTGCAGGTTGGGGAACTCGCCGCCGCAGACCGCGCACCGCTCCGGCTTGACCATGGTGCGGTAGTGCATCTTCTGCGCGGACTTGTGGGCCGCCTTCATGTGCCTGATGAACGGCCCGTAGCGGACGAATTTCTCGCCGCAGCGGCGGCACTTTATCGGCTTCTTGTCGTACTTCCTGCTCCTGTGCGAGAACGCGTGTATGTTGAACGCGTCGATCGTCTTGAACTTGTGCGGGCAGAAGCGGCACGATATCGAGCCAGACACGCGGTGTATGTGGTCGTGTTTGCGCTGCGAGTTCTTCTTGGTGGTGGGCTTGAAGCAGAACGAGCACTCCTCGTACCTGGGCCGCAGGTCGCTCTCGTTGCTCTCGTCCACCTCCTCGTCGCTCTCTATCGCGCACAAGTGGTTGTCGTAGTCCAGCTGGGAGTAGAAGTACTCGGAGCACTTCTTGCAACGGTTCTCCTCGTGGTACGCGAGATGCTTGTGGAGGTTGAAGAAGACCTTGTTGCAGATGTGGCACTTCTCCTCGGTGGATTCCTTTGGCAGCACTATCCACTCCTTGTCGTCGCCGTGGACGTCCCTCATGTGGTAAATCATCTCCCTGAACGCGACGAAGGTCTCGTCGCAGTGCTCACACTTGGTCGGATTGTCGACGTTGTGCTGCGACAAGTGGTGGTTCTTGTGCTTGTTGTAGAGCGTTATCGTGTTGAATTTCCTGTTGCAGTACATGCAACCGTAGTAGCCGATGGTGCGGTGGTATATCTTATGCGTGCTCAAAGCGTACTCGTTCTCGAATACTTTGAAGCAGTAATCGCAAACTATCTCCTTCTTGCCCTCCGACACCTCCTTGCAGACTTTGACGCCGTGCTGCGTGCGCAAGTGGCAGTCCAATTTCACTTGCAGGTGGAAAGCCTTGTAGCATACGTGGCATTTCACCTTCTTAGGGTAGATCTCGGTGTCGCCTACCAGCTTTTTCTTCTCGCAGCTGAACGCCAAGTGCCCCTCCAGGAACCGGAGCGAGCTGAAGTAATCGAAGCAGTAGTTGCACCTCAGCGAGTTGTGGTAGTCTATGTGCCGCTCGAAGTTGCCTTTGCTCGCCAACACTTTCAGACAGATGGAGCACTGGAGCTCTTTCAGGGGGCCGTTCAGCGTCTTCTCTGTCCGCTCTGCGATCCAGCTCTCGGTGATGTCGTGGGCATCCCGCAGGTGATAGTGCAGGTCGTACCCCCTCGTGAAGGTCTCGTCGCAGTGCATGCATTTCAGCGGCTCATCAATGTACTTCTGCGTTAGATGGGCCTTGATGTGGATCCGGTGGTTCTTCAGAGAGATGGTTTTCTTGCCGCAGAACTTGCATTTGAAGAACTCCGGCTTTCTTAGGTGCGCCTCCTCGTGATGCTGCAGTCGCCTCTCGTCGAGGAACACCTTAGCGCAGAGTTTGCACGAAAAGTAGTTCTGGGCCGGTGCGTCCGGGTCGGCTTTGATCATTTTGCTCTCGGGGTGCGTGCGCCTTAAGTGGCGTATGAGCTTCGCCAGGTCCGGGTAGAAGCGGGCGCAAATCGGGCACTTCACCTTGTCCTTCCTGAGATTCGCTATCCGGGTTTTGTGCGACTGGTGGTCGAAGTTGTGGCCCTTTACGTGCCGCCGGTGGTAGTCTTCGTCGATGAAACCCTTGCCGCATACCGTGCATTTGTACGGGCCGTTTTCGTCCTCGTAGTGGGTCCTAATGTGGAGCTCGTGCCGTTTCTTGTTGGTGAATTGGACGCCACAGATGTGGCACTCGTGGCGAGCGCCGAAGAGCGAGGTCTTGGATTTATGCCAGATGATGTGGTGTTTGAGGGAGACCTCAGAGTCGCAGACCTTCCCGCAGTGGTGGCAGGTGTGGGTTCCGTCGAACACCGTCTTGTCGGCTGTGTTAGGGAGCACGCTGCCGACGACCGTGTTGTTTACGCTCTCGCCGCGTTTGAAGTGAATCGCCATGTGGGACAGGTAGACCTTCCTGAACTGGAACATCCGCTTGCAAATGGAGCACTGGTAGTCCTTGTTCTTGAAACGCGTCTGCTTGTGGTAGTTCATGTGGGCCTGTGCGGCGCGCAGGTGCTTGCTACGACGGTTGCAGATGTTGCATGTCAGTAGCGCCGGATCCAGGTTGGGGTCCTTGTAGTGCTGGCGCATGTGCAGCCGGTAGTGGCATTGGAACCGGAATGTCTGCAAGAAACAATGGCAGTTAGCAAATATTCAAACTTCGAACTATAGTATTGCTATACACAAATAAATACGAAACTGTGGTAGGGCCACGTCGCACAAATGGTCAGGTCCGTTCCGATAAGTAGCACGACCTTACATGGAGTGAAATGGAAGTCTCCATACTTGTGCGTTTCGTCTGGTGAGTGAGGTAGCCGGGGCTCACTATATTATAAAGTGGCAACGCGTCTGCAAACTCACGGGTGATGCAAATCTCCATGAGCGGTTATCACTTAACATCAGGTGAATCAGCACAGCTCGCTTGCCACCTTCTCGCGTAAAAAAAACCCCACAAACCTCCAACAAACCTTACCTCCTTACAGACGAAGCACTCCAACTGCTTCTCCATGCTGTTGCCCACGTTGGAGTGCCAGTTGACGTGGCGCTTCAGCGATATGAGCGTGGGCATCTGCTTGCCGCATATGGGGCAGGTGAAGCCGGCCAGGTTGACCAGCGGCCCGCCCCCCATCTCCGGCGGAACCGACCCGGGGCCGTTGTGACTCTGGTCCGCGACCAGGGGTTCCGCCTTCGTCACAACGACCTCACAAAAATCCGCCAGGTCGGCGCCCTCCAGCTTAGGCGCCTGCGGCTGCTTCAGTCTGTGCACGAGCTTGATGTGGTTCGCCAGGGCGCTGCAGCTCTTGAAGCGCTGGTCACATTCGGCGCACGTGTACAGGTTGCGCGGCTTCACGTTCACCGACGTGTGCTTCTGGTTGTGCTCGTTGATCGCGCTCACCTTCATCTCGACGTCGCAGATCAGACAGCGCACCGTGCAGCTCTTGAGGTTGATCTTCGCGCGTTTTGTGCCGGAGCTCATGTTGTGTTTGGTGCGCTTGTGGTGCAGCAGCAGCCGCCTGTAGGAGAACTGCTTCTCGCAGATGTCGCACGTGTTGTCGTCGCCGTCCTCCTGGCTGGAATCCGTGTCCGACTGGCGGTCGGTCTCGTTCAGCAATGTTTCGGAGTTGTTCAGCTCGGGCGGTTCCGTCTTCACCTCCAGCTCGCCGGAGCGGTGGCGCTGCTCGTGGCTGACTAGCGCCTTCTTGTACGTGAACCGCTTGTCGCACATGCTGCACTTCAGCGGGCCGCTGGGCACGTTCGCGTTGCTGTAGATCGAGGATACGGAGACGTCGTCGTCCGCTTGTCCCGCCCTGAAATAAAGCGAGTTTGGTCTATTTGTACTCTTACTATTTAACGACGGGTAAACGAAGAATAAATTGAAAATCAACTGGTCTAAATATGACAAAGAACGGTAGGAAAAACTTAAGACACTCATTAAATTGACGGTATTATCTGTTAACGTACCCCTCATCGGCGACGTCGCCGTCGTCTATATTCGACATGTGCGCGGCCAAGTGGGTGATCAGTTGGTCCTGCGTCGCCAACTTCTTGCTGCATATGCGGCACTCGAAGAACGGCTCCCTGGAGCTGGTCTCGCCCTTGTTGCACCGGGGCTCGAAGTGCATGTTCTTTATGTGGATGAAGTAAGAATTCTTCCTGCTCATCACCTTCTGGCAGATGGGGCAGGTGAACGACACCGAGTCGGTCCTTCTTGCTGCAGCTCTCGAAATGAGCGCCATGGCGGTAGTAGTCGTCGAAGCGCTGTCCGCAGTAGTAGCAGGGGACGGCGACCTTGCCGTTGTCCGGGCCGGCGGAGCTGTTCCGCTTCAACACCGCCGCGTGCACTACCCTCATGTGCTTCTCCAGGTTCTCAATGTTCTTGAAGTTGGACGTGCACATTTCGCAGTTCAACCGCTTCGGCAGTGCGGTCTCCGCGTCGATCGGTTGCAAGGTGACCAGTAGCTCCTTTATGCCGGACTTGGGCGGGGTCACTTGGCAGGTCTCCATGTGACGTTTGAGCATAATCTTCAGTTTGAAGGTCCTATCGCATCGCTCGCAGGTCAGTTTGTCTTCGGCGTCCAACGCGTCCACCGTCGTCTCGGGCTCGGCCGCCGGCACTGGGGCGCTCTCGGCGGCGTCCTTCAACGACCTTCTGGAGTGCACCTTGGTGTGCGCGGCGACGCTCTTCTTCGAGTGGAACGCCTTGTCGCATATTTGGCACTTGAACTCGCCCCTCAGTGGCTCGTCGGAGTCGGTCTCGATGGAGAGGTGGGAGCCGCTGTGGTCGTCGTAGTCGGAGTCGACGTAGCACGAGTTGAGGGACCTCCTTGGTCTTTTCTCGGAGGACCTCAGCTCCGCGAGCCGCTTGGTGGTGCCCGGCCGGAAGTCGTGCGACTGGCTGCTGGATGAGGCATTGTCGACGCTTTCCCGGCTGCGTTTGCGGGTGCGGCTGTCGACGGTGACCTTGGCCTCTAGTGCGGGTTTGTTGTTGCCGGATACATCAGTGTTGTTTGAGAAGGCGGAGTCGCTGCTCTGTCTGTTGGGCGGTGAAGGTGTGTTGCTGAAACCTATCGTAAATTATTTTTTTAACTTAAAAACTAACCATGAGGCCTGAATCCTCATGCTGTAGCTGTGAATTTATTTAATTAAAATTTCTTTAAATACCTCTGACCCACCAAACACCAGAGGCACACCCTCTGAACTACAGGCATTGCAATTTTTTTTTTATATTGTAACATGATAAGTGAGCCGGTTTACCTAATGTTGATTGATTGATAGGTGGCAGTCACCTATAGATATTCAACGTGGTACTACTAACACGACCATAAATCAACACACATATAGAAGTTAACTTTTTAAAATTGTATTGAACATTTACTTTCTTTAAACATCAATATTTATCGAGTTATTAAATTTTCCAAAACAAATAATTTTAGAACATCCTTACGTATAAAATTGCAACGTAAACTTCATTTGTAAAGGTCAAATAGCATATGAATTGATTGAATGAATTTAAAAAGAGATAAAACCTACTGTTAGAAGGAGGCTTTTAATGCGACGTTGTGGCAACGAATGAAAAAGTCTCTGAATGTATGAATCAATCAGTTTTAGTTGTATGGGATGTTACAAATTTTGTTTCTTTTTATTTAATTATTTTGTTTGAAAATTATTATTTTTTTAATAATGGATTTTTTAAACGTTTATATTTTTTATGATTATTGGCAAGGAGCGTTAGAAGCGTGTTCATTTATTGTCGCAGTTGTAACGTCAGGCTGTATAACTGATGAATATTGTCAACCTTTAAGGACGGGCCTCGGCTACCTCGCCAGGTGCAACACAAAAGTATACATATTTCCACTTCACGCCGGTCTTTCGGCTGTGCTACTTTCGCAGACGAGCCTGCCCCCTATTGTACAACAACCGTAGCTGTTGCGTAGTCCTACCACGTCGAAACGAGTTTTAAACTTTTACTTTGCTTTACTTACAACTTCCCTTAAATCTATAATCGTTATGACAAAGCTGTGCCTACATAATCTATTGTGCACACCATTGTTTCTTAACCATTTTTTATATTGCGCAAATATAAACAATTGCGATGTGTTATGTGCGAAAAAGTGATGTGCACAACCACTTTCATTCTTTTTATTTCAGCCCCTTCCTACTTTTGCGGAAAGATTGATTTTATCCACTGCCCCTGATATTGTCGAGGCTTTGAGAAGTTCAGACTAAGCACAAAGATTAAAAACTATACACCCTTTCCAAATTGTATATCAAAACATATTAATGAGAAATAGCCGTTGACATTAATTACAAAAAAAGACAAAAAGTTAAATCAGGTTGACAAGGCGACGCACTTTTGATCTTTTGTTTCATATGAATGTTGTCAATAAAAAATGATATGTTTTTTTAAAACTCATCGATCCCTTGACTGTACAAAATTGTAGTTCATTAATTAAAGAAAAAAAAAGAAATCAACAAAGCTGCGTAATTTTGCGGTTATACAGCAAAATTAACTGTGTCTTTGGCTTTTACATGAATTATTCGTTGAGCAACCGGCAAACAAAATTTTATGCCAGTACACTGAGTCACTGCAGAAACACAAATGGGAAACTTAAGCTGTAATATGTATATATATTGTGGTATATTGACAGCTCAAAGAGATAATAGAACAGATTGCCAGTACTTTCTTCACAATCATGCCCTTAAAAAAAAACATGTTTTTTTCAACAGCTAATAAAATTATTAGTATCTTTAAATCTCCACCATTGCAGACTAGACTGCTTTGCAAACTACAAAAAGAAATGGGTGAGAAGAATTCACCTTACAGCTTTACCACTGAAATCAAATGGTTGTTGCGAGGAAAAATAGTTTAATATGTATATTTGAAATTTAAATTGTTTATAGCACTTAATCTTTGCACATGCCGAAGACGTGGGTTCGATTCCCACAGCAGCGACAATCTTTACATACTTTTTCTACATATTTTAATGTATATTTGAATTGATTAAAGGTTTGAGGCTGTATCAGAAACACTTTATTTTTAACAGACAATGTCAATGCCTTTATAAAGTTTAAAAAAATACTTGTAACAAAATTATTGTTCAATATCCATTTACTAAGTGAGAAGCTTCTAATTATATTACCAAAAATGTGAATACACCTGTTGGGTAGCATGAAAGAGCAATTAAGCAAATTAGTTACAGCAACTGGAATATTTTCCAAATGATAGGAATGATTTTTTAAGAGGATGACTTCTCCTCACACAATTTACATCTTTTCACGAGTATGTAATCCATGTAACGAAAGCTTTGACAACATTCATCAATGGTGTATTGAAAACTAAATAGGAAAAATTTATTGATAATCATTTACATACACATGTTTTTCAAAGATAATCCACATATTAGTTATCCTTCCTTACAGCTGGTTTCAATATTCTATCTAGAAATAGATTGGTTTGCTGAAGATAGAATTTTGAGTATTATGGAGCTCATATCAAATACCTATAGCTAGTAACCAAATCTAGCTGTAGATAGAATATTGAAACTGGTCATAAGTAAAATATAAACCCAAATATGAATAATTTTAATAAAGTAGCCTTAAATTTTTCATGTTATTACATGGTAATATCAAACTTTATAAAACTATATTGTAATTTGTTCTTTTAGGAAATGTATCTTTTGTATACAGGTCTTATTTTTTCAACTGATTGTGACTCTGATATATTACAAATGCTACCTCTCAAGGGTTAAAATGAAACTTTATAAAACTTGTAATTGGTTCTTTTAGGAAATGTATCTTTTGTATACAGGTCTTATTTTTACAACTGATTGTGACTCTGATATATGACAAATGCTACCCCTCAGGGGTCACGCCAGACTGAGAAACAATGGTGTACAAATTTATAGTCTAAATTACTTAAAATTGTAGATATGATGGTCATGCAAGAGTACCAGGTGGCGGTATGTAGTTGCGCCGAAGCTCCTGATCCGATCTTTCACACTGCAATTTAAAAATATGAGCACTGCTGAGTTTCTGTATGCACTCTGAGCAAATTTTATCAGGTAGTCCGTCCCCTTCATGTACCTAAAATAAGATGTTGATGTTAAATTGATAGGTATCATATTTAAAATTTTAAGACCTAGCTAGTTTGTACTTCTCATCTTTTGATTAGCACAATAAAATATTTAAATTTCTAAAAAAGTAATGGTGACATCTCTCATACGAATTTTCATTGTAAAATCATATTCAAAATTGTTTGTATGCTGGAAAGGATATAACAATGATTGCATGCCAAGCATTGCTAAAACAATGTAGATAAAAGACTAAGATTTTCATCGGTGTGGCAATCAGCCGTTTAGCTTAATGGCTTAAGTGTCAGACCGCGAATGCCGAAAACGTGGGTTCGATTCCCACAGCGGCGACAATATTTTCGTACTTTTTCCAAATTGTAAGTTTTTTATTGTCAAATAATACTTTATCTAATAATATATTATTGTGTTGTTGTGTGTTAAGTTTTTTGTAATCATTCTCACCATATGCAATGATACAAAGAAAAGGTTTAGATAGAAAGGATCCAATTAAAAGAAAATTGTGTGAAAAAAATATATTATCAAATGATGAAGTATGAATCACTAAAGTCTTGTGCAACAACTCTTTTTATAGAATCCTGTTTAAGAATTCGATAATTTGAGAAAATTAGAGCCTTTGCCATCTAATTTAATAGGTATTTTTAGAGGACAATGTCTGTCTGTATTTTTGATAAACACAACGTCTGTTGAGGAAAAAACTATGTATAAGCAAACTCTTTTGTACGATAAAGTTTAATGTTACGGTGAAAAATTAATTATTTTATGAAAAGTATCTGATATATAACATCCTTCAAACAAGGCTCATTATGTTTGTATGTGATTAAGATCATCAAAATTATAATTCACCTTAACTCGAGCGCATTCCATCACCATCTCAGCGAGTTGCAGATTGTTGTCCACTGTAAAGATGGAATAGAAGTCGCCGAGTTTGAGGCAAAGCCTGCATTTTCCGAGCTTGAGGGCCATATTGATTTCTTCTCATGAAACTTCATGACACTATAAAATCATGTCTGCCAAACATCATTTTATGATAATAACAACGCAAGAAGATATTAAAGTGGATTATTATTTACATTTCTATAATTACTGATACACGTTACAAAAATTAAGCAAGAATATTTAAAATACCCAAGTTGCCGGTATACTCCATTAGGAGTAGTTAAGTTAAGATTACTGATTAGTGTTACCATTACCAGTATCACATACATTTTATTACAAGACCATTTCAATCGAGAACAGTATTTTTTTTATGTAGCTAATTGTGAGCCTTTGCCAGCTTTGCCGGAAGAATAAAGCGGGTAGGTAAAGGTAGCTGGTGCACTGTGATGACACGATGACATTAGCTGGTCACTGTCTGCTCTGCTTCATCCTTGCGTCTACTGTTAACGAAAGATTGACAATTCGACTAATAGATATTAACTAGGCCGAACCATCCAAGAGCCCTTCAGGAGATTCGAATCTTGATAATCTAAAGTAGTGTTTAACACTTTAGGAAAAATTTAATACAGCCAGTACAAATCTTCTAAATTTTTTTATTGAAAAACATATAGATATGAAAATAAACAATAAGGAAGGTAGGCTGTTTATAACCTTTCAGAGTCCCTAAAATACTATATACCTGTATTCTTGTATACTTTTACCCGAATAGATTTATGACAAATATAATTGAAATTTTGAAGATTTCATTGGCGTCATTGGAGAGTTTTTTTCCCAAAGCTGACAAATAGGTTATATACATTCACGCCCAGACGCTTTAATAATGTTTTGAATTCGGAAGGCGTGGGTTTGATTCCCGCCGCGGCGAAAATGTGTTCATCAGTTTTTCTATAATTTTGTGTCAATCTAGCCTTAAGCACAGGCCCAACCTCTTGATTTTTGGTTCTCAACAATTTGGAGTGTGCATTGGAGTTGCACAATCTGATTCCTCCGGTCCTTTTCCATCATTGTACAACTAGGCGTTCAGCGGGGCTCCGCCCTTAAATTGTCGAGATTCCACGCACAAAAACGAAGCGATTCGCTTCGCCAAATTCCGTACAGGTCAGGTAGGAATGGAACAACCTGCTGGCGTCGATCTTTCCGTCCGATTACAACGTTGGCGTCTTCAAGGCAAGAGTGGATAGGAAAGAAAATATATTATAATCAATTGGAATCAATTGGACAGGGATACTTCAAAACTGTGCAAGGGTAGGATATGAATTGCTGTTTCAGTAACAATATATTATGTCGACATTGCTTTGCAATAATGGCTCCAACAGATACAATTAGTGGATTAGATTATGTTCAAAGTGAGTCAGAAGATCATACCAATTCTATGGAGAAGCTCGAGTCGAAGATCTTGAGTGGAATAAATTAAAATCTCTAAGAGATAAATATTTTAAAAACTCCATTAATTTTAATGTATCTATTGTTTTATGGAAAAAAATATGAGAAGTATTGATATTAATTCATTATTAAATCTGTCTCCCTCCATCACGAACGATCTTCTGCTTCACTTTGCTCCACGACTTCTAAGCCAACACGATGCGACGCCAGGTTTGCTGGGGACGTCCAGGCCTCCTTTTTCCTTGAGGATTGCAGTCCAATGCCTGTTTAGGAATGTAATTGATATCTCTCCGGAGCGTACGACTAATTCATTTCCACTTGCGACGGTTGATCTGGCGGTGAATCGGGCTCTCGTGGCTTCTTTCCAAGTTAGAGTTCTCTTCTTATGTTCTAAGTTAGAGAGCTCAGGCCAATAAATTCCGAGTACGTGACGAAGACGTCGATTAACAAAGACTTGGATTTGGCGTGAGATGTTCTTTGTTACTATCCACATTTCGCACCCGTAGGGCAGCACGCTCAACACAAATAAACAAGAACAGAGCAATGATCGAATAAGGTATGGTTGTCAGAAGCGACAATTACCTTTACTTTTTGTTTCTCATTGGTGGAAAGATCTTTTGCTTTTAGTGATTAAAGTTTTCTCATTGCTATTAAATCAGTTTCAGACGTGTGAAAATGCTCCTGTGTGTAGAAATATTTTCGGAAATATTTGTTAAATGCTCAAACAAAATCTTTGAGCTCCTACACTTTTTTCTCTTCACATTAATTGTGGATTGTGTGCAAAGATGGCGGATACAACGGACAACTGGGTCGAAGCAGTAACATTATATCTATATTCTTACAATTACATATCTAGTTTCACCTATCCCGATCTTTGTCATCAAATCTTGCAATTAAATTAATATTTGTATTAAGAATACTTATAATATTCTATATCTTATTATTTACTTGTGTTATTATCTGGTGGAAAATTATTTTCTGATTTGGCAACTTTCGTCCCATGCTACATGTGGATTTCCCGATTCTGCAATTTGTTAAAAAATTATTATTTTGTCCGCTGGCCATGTCAAATCGGTGACAGGCGCCAGCGATAGCGCGAGAATTAAAATTTTATTTGTAAAATCTGACTACAAAAATCTGATTACAAAATCTGACTCAGTCATATGTTTTTTTTGACTCAGTCATCTGTTTTTCAGTATATATGTCTTATCTATGATCTGACTGAAGATGACAGCCATTTAAGGTCTCGTACAAACGAAGTTTGAAAATAAAAAAACATATTTTTCAGAGTAATTTTTAATGGTTACTTACAAAATTTCTCTTGTTATATGTTATTATTAGATATTTTGAACTTAATAATTATAATTTATAATCTTTTTTTCTGAACCGCCAGCTCCTGTGCTACCTTCCGAACATAAAAAATAAGTAAATAAGAGTAATGATAAAACAAGATAAATAATCTTCAGAGGTCTCAGAACAACCACGTCCTCTTCCTCGTCCTCTTGCACGACCACGCCCGCAACTTTCTTCGACGTTTCTTTCACTAATATTAATGTTTATATATAATATAATTTAATGAATATTTAGATTGTATTTTCGTACAAACCCAAAATAATAAATATTAATAACTACGGTACCCGCGGCTGCCGGTAATAGTAGGCGCCCAGTAAAAGTAAAGTAAAGTATCAGTCTATACATTTCCCACAGCTGGGCAAAGGCCTCCTCTGTACAGAGGGTATCAGGGCATAGTCCACCACGCGGCCCCACTGCGGATTGACGGACTTCACATATCTCCGAAAAATTTTTTTTTATAATTTTGAAAATATGCAGGTTTTCTCATGATGTTTTCCTTCACCGATGAGTACATAATAATCCAGCACTTAAAATCAACAATTTCGTTGGTGCTGGCACCGGCGTTCGAGCTCAGGTTGCTCGAGTATATTAAATAAAAGGCAGCTCAGTGTCCGAGCGCTTGGCTCGGACACTGAGCTGTCACGGCTCTACCCGGCCCAGTATTGTACACAGTTATTTAAGTAATAGAATCTTATCGAAAACACTTAAATTTTGGGGGAGTACATAATGTTATTTTCATGGTACTATAGTACCCAAAGGCTTACTTGGTGTTAACGTAGGTGCATCATATGATTATGAACGCTAACAAGTCAGTAATAAAGTTTATTTTGTTATTAATATAATGATCGAGGTTCATGTCAAGGTTTGTTGTATCTTCTAATTTTCTATTCTTCTATACCACATCCTTATTCTCTTTTGGCGTTTAATGTTGTTGCGTCTTCTGTGCACGATGAAGAGAAAATACGAGCGTTCGTACCGACCTGAGTGGGGACAAAATCCTTTGCTTCCTTCCTGGATTTCCAGAGCTAAGGAGGATCCTGATATTACATTTTGCAAAACTTGCAATTAAAAACTAATCACAACTACATACACGCTTGCAGTTGTTACCAAATTATATTATTCCAAAAGGGTTTTAAGATCAAAATTTTGAACTTACTTTATAATTGTTTCAAATTTTGCAATATCTCTTTTAAGTTTACCTATTTCAAATGCGGAAAATAGGGGGTAAAAGACCTAGAGGCCGTAATCCTAAGGGTGGGCGGATCAAATTTCTGAAAACTTAGAAATCCCCATAAGCCCCGCACTCCACCAGGCGACAAAGCGAAATCGATTGAGATAGTTCTTTGACCAATTGAATATGTGTTACGATCCTCAGCAGTGAGGGAATGACTGAAATGAAGATGTCAAATGCCTCATGCAAAAGAACCTCTATATCATTAATGATACTGTACTGTCTTCAACGACACAATAAAATTATGGCATCTTTTTGGCATTTTTTGGAGTTGAATTTGACAGATTTTTGCTAGTGTCTGGCAGATTCACCTATTTTGAGATGGTCACCCTGCTCGGTCGGCGGAAGTGGAAGAAGAGTGGACTGTGGGTTTTGTAGGAGTGAGTACTAAGTTAAATCGAGTACCTGTTACGACTGTTCCTGTTCCTTAAAAGTAACAGAGACAAATATCTGTTACAAAATAACAGCCTGTTACTTAATACTAGTTGTGACAATTTGTGTAACTGTTACCACAGTAACAGCTGTTACATTATTTTACTCTATGGTAACTTCCGTACTTCTCTTTCTAACAAAGCTACAAGACCGATGGAAGAAAAAGAAAGAGTTTACAACAGTGACAGTGTCCAGTTACAACTGTGACAAGGTGTCTTAGTTTTTATCTCTTTCTAACTGAGGTAACAGTCGTAATCATGAATAAAGAAAATTTGTGTGACAGCGTGTTAAGGAACAACTTGTTTGGAACAGGAACTTTTATTTGAGTTTGTTAGTAACAGGTACAGTCTGTTATCTCGAAATACCTGTTACGATAATTAAGCGCCTCAGCCTCACTAGTGTGGGTGTGGGTTATATTCTCTTTGTGGGTGGTGTCCGGTGTGGGAGGCTGGAAGCTTGGAAGGATCAATCAATACACCATTATCGTACATAAATGCCATATTGGTTCTAAGCGAGGCAACATTGCGTTTCATACTTTGTATTTGTATTGTAATCCAAAAACATTTAATATATATATTTCTACTATATATTTTCTGAGTTCTAATCTAAAAGCATTTTTAGAAGTGAA